TTTCTAATATCATATAAAATTGTGTTACTTTTAGCTTAATCAAACAAATGTAATTAATCTTATTCTTTAATAAGAATCGATTTTAGCTGAAGTTATTAAGACTTTTAAAATTGTTTTGCTTATGTTTCATTTTAATGAATTTCAACTTGTATATAAGAACAAAATACTATGATTGCTAAAACTAATTGCCTTATTGGATTTTAAAATTTCAGTTGGAGACTTGATATTTTATCGTTAATTGGCTCTGCTAGTAATTGGTTAGTATTCTTTTATGAATTGTTTTTGAGTTTATCTAGCCAAGTTAATTTTATAAGGACTTTTGCCAATTATATCAAAGCTTCTTATTTTTTTTGTATTTTCCCTGGTTGATTAATAAGTAGTTGTATTCTATTTTGGTTGGATGTTGACTAGATTTAATAAACTGAGTTATTTCATTATATCCACTTTAATGAAAATTAAAGTATTTAAAGATGAAAAGTATTAGTTGGAATTAATAAAATGTAAAGAATTTATTATTAACAAATACAAAAGGAATACAATTGAATATAAATGTATTAAGATCTTTAAATATTTTTTAATATAACTAAATACTTAATTTACTATATAATTTTTGAAGTAAATAATAATATGTTTCCTTTTGTGGACAACTTGTTGAGAAATGATTTTCCTTTATTTTTTTTCGACGATATTTTTATTCCAGGACCAGGAATTAGAGTTTAAGTTCCTCGTCCACCATACACAAATAGACAATTCAGAGATTAAGCTCCAAAAGTAATTTGATGGAGAATTTATTGAAGCCACCAAGTTTGAAGTTAATGTAGAGTGTGAAAAAATCATTGAAAAATTATTCAGAAACACAAGGATAATACTGGGCTATATTGGGAGATGAAGCATATGAAAAAGGTGATTACTTTAGGGCAATAACACATTATACAAAAGCAATCGAAATATCAGAGGGAACAGAGGGTTCATTTTTTAGAAGTAGAGGATTAGCTTTGAAATAAGCAGGAAGCTTGGAGCCAGTATGAAATTGATATTATATCACTTTAGGCTTATCGAGATGCTATAACAGCAATAGAATTGGATGATAAAAATATAAAGGCTCATCTGTTATGTGGACAAATATTGGCTGAACGTGGAAAGAGTGCAGATAATACATAAGATATTGAGATGGCTATAACAAGATTAACAAAGTCTAGGACATTGTGTGCAGGATAAAAAAAGGAATATTATGAGGATGAGTTAAGTAAGTACATTTATAGAGCTAAAAAATTGTTGTGGTACAAAAATTAAGAAATAAATAATAAAAATAAAAGAGTAGCGATAGAAAATTATAAACTTTTTTTGCATTCAAGATAGAATTTAAATGGAGAGGAACGTAAAAAAGAATTAGAAGGATTTATAAATTCAATAGGAAATCCTGATTAGAAATAAGTATATGATATTCCAAGTTATTTGATATGTAAAATAACATTGGTAATAATAAAATGAGATTATGATGTAGGAATTGATGGAAAATCCTGTAGTGAATGACGCTGGTTAAACATATGAACGTGATATGTTAATAGAGGCTATAAAGAAGAATGGTCCAAGTGATCCTACAACAAGATAACCTATAAGCAAGAACTTTTATCCTAATTTGAATGTGAAGTAGGCAACATAAGACTTTTTATTGAAAAATCCATGGGCTTTTGAATTTCAGAAGGGTGAAGAGTATCAAAGTATTGAGTTCTGATTATAATTATATTTAGTTATAATCCGTTTTTATTATAATAAAAATAATGAGAGTATGCATATTGCTATTAGGGATATTAATGTTAGGGACAATGGCTTAAGATAATGAGGTTGTTATCTAATTATTGGCTGAATTAAGATAAGAGGCAGTTGATTAATTGGGACTTTTGCATGCAAGATTTTAACCAATTAAATAAGCAAAATTAGATTAAATTGCAGTGATTTAGTAAGCAATATCAGAACAAAAGGGAGAGTGTTATAATAGATAGCAAGATGTAATAAGGATATGATAAATATGTTTAGGTTGAAGCAAAGTAAAATGAAATAGATTTGGCTAATGAATATAAGAATTGGATGAAAGCAAGATAAGAAAGTAATAATAATCGTATTGGTGTACTTTCAACAAATGTATGCGAAAAGAATAATAATTCTTTAAATAAAGTGAAAAATGCTAGAGTACTTTTAAGATTGATTGCTTACTTAAGAGCAACTTTGTAAGCATAATTATCAACATCATTTGCAGAAGTGAAAGAGAACACAATATCTGAGATATCCCATATTGTTACTGCTTATAAAGAATATAGAAAGATGAATATGTTATAAACAAAATAAGAAGAGATTGAATTGAATGGAACAATTGAATAATTGATTGAAATGCTTAATTAAATGGAAAGAGAAATTTAAGATGATGTTTCAAATGGATAGAATGGTTAAGTATAAATTGGAGTTACATTCTCTGAATTTAAAGTAAGAATTGAAAAAGAAAATGATATATTTAACAGATAAATTGAAGTTCAAGATGATTTAATAACTGTACTTATAAAATATTATATAGCATTTCTAAAACTAATTAACTACTTTATATGGAAGAGTAGATAAATGTCAATCAAGATTAAAAGAGATAGAATATACATTATTAGTAGAAGAAGAAGATTTAAAATATGATTAATAATGGGTAGATGAAGATAGACAAAAATTAGAAGAAGAAATAGAATTATTTGATTGGCTTATTAAACATTATTAAACTGGCAATTTTGATGATGAAGTAGATTAAAATACATCTGATTCAAATGGTGAATCTAGTAATGATGGATAATCTGTAAATTATAAGTTTATAATTAGGATGTAAATGGAAATGATAGAGATGGAGTTATAGATTATACTCCATTAAAAGAAGTATCTAATGCTTGGGATTCTGAAGATGAAGATAGTAATAATAATAATTAGAATGATACTTCTGAAGATTAACAAGATAGAGGAGATGTAATTGATTATACACCTTATGAAGAGAAAGATGTTGATTGGGATTCATTATTATAGAAAAAATAAAATAAGAATCATCATTCATCAAAAAAACATCATACTCATAAGTCCAAAAAATGATTTATTCATTAAATCATAGCTTATTTCATATAATATTATATATATTCACATTTTGGTATACTTTAATGGTTAGGATATCAAATTCTCATCCTGGAGACGTGAGTTCAATTCCTGGTATCGCAATTTTGTTTTTCTTTTTATTATAATTTAACTATACTTAATTACTAATTGTGATCTTTTGTTCTTTTTCAAACTTTATTTAATGAATACTAGTTGGAGACAAAAGTTTTAAAAAGATAAACTTTATCCAAGACATCCTATGGCACATAAAAATGGTACTTTTATCTATTATTTATTAGGTGGAGTCCATATGAATTAAGAAGAGGATACTAAGCTTTTTTAAGTTGCTGGAGCAATGATGAAATAAATAGGTACTAAAATTGCCAAAGGTGATTTTAATCTTGCTACCATTCCTAAACCTATATGTTTGACAGCTCCCTTAACTAGTAATGAATGTCTTCTTTTGTATACCATCTTATTTTATATTCCTAGTGATTTCGATTATTCCTACATTTATCTTACAGAAGCTGCACAATGTAGAGATGCCTTGAAAAGAATGTAATTAATTGTAATCAATGAAATTGCTTATCTACATGGAACACATACTTTTTTAAAATCATTAGCTCCAATTGATCCTATGGTTGGAGAAACTTGTCACAGAATTAAAGAAGATGGAACTCAATTTTATTGTGAATTCATTAAAGCTGATCCTCCAACTACTCTATATCATGTTATTGGAAATGGATGGTAAACCTATGGAGGAGAAGTAGTCCATGCTGATATTCATCCAACATTTTCTTAACTTATTGGAAGAAATCTTAAACCTAAATATATCAAGTTTAATGATGGCAAACTCTATGAGATTACAGTCCCTCCTATGATTATTAATGGATTATTGAAAGGAGATCGGGTACTTAATAAATTAGATGGTTTCCTTATTAAATGTGTTCAAGATAAACTAGAAGCATAAATCAATTTTAGTTATGTTTATGAAGACAATACAACCAAAATTAAAAATAAGTTAATGTTCTGGTCATCATAATAATAAAAACAACTTTCAGATTTAGTTGATGTTAAAATAAACAAATTAATTAATGTAATTAATAATATTATTAATCAGACTGATGACGAAAATAATAATACAAGTTTCACTATTTCAACAGGATCAGGATCATGGCTATCCTATTTTGAAATTGATGGAGATGTCTGTTGGAGAATTGATGATCCCATTTCTCCATGGATTGAACCTTCTTATTTATTACCTAGTGATTCAGCATTTAGATAAGATAAAATACTTTTGCTAAAAGGATAAAATGATGCTGCCCAAACGTATTTATGTATTTAATCTTAGTTCACGAAATAGTATTGAAAAGTAAGGATTAAAGGATTCCAATTTAAGAAAGAAAAGAAGATGAGTTTTTGAATGTATAAAATATATTATATCAGACATTTTAAAGATTAATTCATTTCAAATCATATAATTTTTAAACTAATTAAAGAATTTATTGATCTAAATTACTCTTCTCTTACTACAAGCATTTCTAACAACGAACACAATCTTTACATAAAATAATATCATTTGTGTAGTTCATTGTTTTTAATAAAATTAAGAATAATTATTTGTTGTATTGTTTTAACTAAAATAAATAGATGATTAATTTACATGTTTATCATCTAATTCACTAAGTGTTGGTAAAATGTATGTATCCAATAGTTGTCTATAATTTTAGGTTTCTCTTTCAATTTCTTAAAGTTTTAATTTTTAGATCTGTTAATCTTATTCATCATATAATTATGTGTTTGATCTGATAATTTCATGTTTTTTGATAAATAATTCGATTGGTGCAATTAATGAATCAATATCTAAAATATTATGATTCTTCAATTTATATTTTTTGATAATGATCATACAACCATAAGCTTCTCTTTCTTATTTAAGTAAGCCTGGCAAAAATTTCATATCTTATAAGACTCCTTGTTTCCATATTAAATATCTTTATTCAATTTATGAATTAAATTAAACAGCAAATTAATAAGAATATAGAAATGTATTTTCAATAATTAATAATTGCTGTAAATTTAATTTTTAATTAAAATGTTATAGAATTTCGATACTAATTTAGATCATTAATAATTAAGCAGTACATTAAGTGAAACAATCTTCAATCATATTTCTCATTCTACTAGAAGTTAATGATTAATTAGCAAAACTAGATAATTTTGTAGGTGTTGTTAATCGAATCATTCTATCTATAAATTAAACAATTTATTCCCATTCCTCTTCATTAAACATCATTCCAATTTTAATTATCATATTTTTAACTGAATGAATACTATATTTAGCTAATTTAACATTTTAATTTTGAATACAATTTTCGAATAATTTTAAAAATTCAGGTAATAATCCTCTTAATTTTTGAAAATATCTTTTCATTAAATTAATAATTAAAGAAAATCCTTTTTTACATGAATCCTTAAACCAATCATTGTTAGAATTGGCAACAGAATGATTTTATTGAAAAGTAAATTAAATTTCATCAAAAATAGGTCTAAGCACAGTACTAAATACCATTTTCCAAAATTCAGCACTAAATGCATAACCAAATTATTATAAAGATTCAAATAAAGTTTCCATAGATTTAGCTTATATTTTATTTCTTTTATCTCCTGCTAATCCAGATAATACTCCAAGTAAGGGAATCCAAATTTTTTCAAGTTATACTGCTGTTGATGCATTTCTAACAGTAGCTTCTGGTTCTTCAAATTCATTCCAATTAAGTTTAGGTATAATCTATGCTTGATTTGATAAATATCCTAGACATTATATAGTAAAATCAATTGATTTTAATGCCATATCTTCTTAATTGTTACCTGCTAAAATTTTTAAAGTCTAAATTAAATCAATAAAAACATCTTAAAGTAAATCTAGATTATGTTCCATGATTTAAGATAGAATTTAAAAAGCTATTTTACAAATTTTATCATTTTCTTCTTTCAAACCCAATGTAATTAAACCAAAAATCATTCTCCAACCAGATCTAATATTGTGTTTATGGTTTAAAACTAAATGATTAATACAAGAAAGAATAAATTCTTTTACATCTAAATTTGATTACAAAAATATATATTCGAAAGGTTTTAATACATCTCTTTAGAATTGGAAATCATATAATTCATCTTTCTGTAAAAATTTTATACTTAATTATTTTAATGAATCTACAGTAAACATAGCTACTTTCTTCTCTTTCACTGCAACTTCATTAATGTGATCTTTTACAATATTCCACATCTTAGTCCATACAAAACTAACTCTCTTCATATTATAATCACAAACTTCTACTAATTTTTAAAGACAATATAAACGAGGATGAGATTAATAAATTTCTTATTTTGACATATAACATAATGCATTGATAAATTCTTAAATTGCTTCATCATCTAATTATTTTGATTATATAAATATCTTATCTATTATATCAGATTCTAATAATAATTCTGGTAAAATTGATATATTTCCATCAAAATTATCTTTAGATTACTATATCATTCTCATCTCATCAAGTCGACTAATCATTTATAAAATACTTTTCCATCCATTCTCCCTTAATCCATTTCCTATTAAAGGTACAGTTTATAATATTTATTTTATCAAATTGATATGTTTATTTGATATCAATCCTAAATGATTAAGTCTTGTAGCCTTTATTAATGTATTCATATAATCTTACAATGGAATTGAAAAAAAAGAACATAATTTAATAAATAATACTAAACCTTAAATACATTGATTTGATACTTAATCCATCTAATCATTATTAAAAACATATAAAAACATTTCAAATGAAGGTTTACCTATACATTCTAAAAAAGGTTTAATTAAATAAGCCATATCCTAATTTATAACTTAATAAATAGTTTCATGCTAATCTTATTTAGTTTTAATTAATTCACTTCCTTATTTTAAGAGAGCTTCTTTTTCTCTCTAAAATAAATCTTATTTCTTTCTAATACTTTAAGTTAGTGATTCCTTCATGAATACACGATTTTTCTCTTTCTCTCTTACTGCTAATGGTTATTTTAAAATAGAATTATAAGTTTGAGTTAAATAATCTGATGGTAAATCTTCACCATCATTTATTGATCGAGCTAATTTTTAAAAGTCACTTAATTTCATTTTCTCTGCAACTGAAGGATTATGTAAATCTGTTTATAACATAACCAACAAATAACAATAAGTATAAATACTACCACTAGATTTAAAAGCTGAATTTGGATTTTCTTTATAATATCTATCTGAGAATTTTTATACTACTCTATCAACTTACATTGCTTCTCCTGGTAAAGTAAATTAATCTAAATAATATCTTAAAGCTTATTCAACTGTAAGATCTTTGAATTTTAACATATCAGTAAATTCACTTAAAACTTTAATATTTAATTATTAGTGTCCTCCTAAAAAAGCTCCTATTGCATCTTTACTTACTTATTGTTAGTTTTCTCTGAAAAATTTAGCTATCTCTTTTGCACTAAATTAATTAAATAAAATTACTCATTTTAAATTACTTAAGCATCTAATAAATGTTTTATTCCTTTTTCAGGATTCTTTTTAAATATTTAACATCCTTTCATTATTTCTTATTTTAATTATCTTTGAATTTCAATTGGATTTATATACATTACTGTTGTATTCTCACTAACTAAAGCATTTTAATCTTCCATTTAGGGTGATCCAATTTCCTCTGAAGGAGTGATTATAAATGAATCAAATACTTTATTTAAACCTTCAATTACATAAGATAATGCCTTTATAGCCAAATTTTTTAAAAGAATCTCTTACTACGCTTAAATCTAATATTCTGCTTTTTAATATATAGAAACTACAATAATTTCATAGAAAGTATTAATAACTTTTGACATCAAACATTCATGTTTTGTATGACAGTCATAATTTATATAAAACTCTAATCCAGTCTCTGGTCTTTCTAATATACTACATAAACTCTCAAGAGCAGTTTACTTATGTAATACATTAGAATTAGCACTTAAAAGTATATTTAAATAAATTTAATTTATGAAAATAGCCATTTCATGTTTTATATGTTTTCTCATTATGTTAACTAATCGTTGAAAAATTCTAAAACTAAATTAATATAAGGTTTTTTCTGTTTCTAAACAATATTTTAATAATTAATTGCATAATCTCTCTTTTGTTGTTTTAATGAATTTTTCATTTTTACTAAGAACAAAATCAGGAGTTTCAAGAATGTATAATAGACATTCAAGAATAATTTATTAATTTTTTGCTAATTGTAAAGTAGTCTTATTAAGCAATAAATTGCATAAACTATCATACAATTACAAGGCACAATCAAGATTTTCTTCAAACTACTTTACTGCACCACTATATGTACTCTAAGCTTATTCTACATATTCTTAATGTTATTTTTTGCATATGAATGAACAAATTGGTACTTTATGATCTTTACAATAAAGATTGGCTGATTTTCTACACATTATACAATAACCAAAATAACCTGCTGGCTGCTTTTTTTCATTTACTATATCAGATTAAGAAGAGAATTTAAGTTGACTTTTATTTAAACATACCATATCAACCAATTAGAGCATAACCAATTATGTTAATTTTGAGACTGAATCCTCTTTTATAGACATTCTACGTTTATTTCTTTAAATTGTAAAAACCTAATAATCATAATAAAAATATTTACTTCTCCTTCAACAGCTTGAAATGTGTAATTGATAATCTAATAAAGCATATTCTTAGCATTTCTATCTACTGTCTATGTTCTAGAACCTATCCTAAAATATATAGAATACGAGTATAAGAAAAGATTATAGTTTTGATAATTCTTGTGAGATTTTGTGATGTTACATAACAATAGGGATTTAAAACAAATGCAACTAATAATTTTAGACCTTGAATAATTATTTCATCCTTATCAAAAAGACAAGATGTTACAGAATTGATTAATACATCCATTATTGTCTAGATAAATTATAAATATGATGCCATACCTTTTTTTCGCCTTTATTATAATTGGAATCATTGAACAATTCTGAAAATTCATCTGTGTAGAATTCCTATGAAGTGTCTTCTATTCTTCCATCAATAAAACCATTTGAAACTAATTTCTAATTTGCTTCAATATTGATTCATTACAAATAATATAGATAAAGCTAATTAAGTTAGTTTTGTTTATCTCATATTGATAGTCAGTCTAAAAACTACCATATGCTTTCCTAATTTTGGCAGGCGCTCAAATTTAATAAGATCTTAATTTCTTTACTCTATAAATACCAATCATTTTATTCAAAAAGTCTTTGAAAGAAGGATACTATTTCGGAATATTCTTTCTAACTTTCTCTAAATAGTCAAATAATATATCATGAAACTTTGTCACTACTTATTGTCTATTCATTAATAAATAAATTATGGGAAATTGTGTGACCAATAGAACAAAAATCACTACCAATCTTGATAAACCATAAAAACAATCTATACATCAAGCATTCTTTAAATAAACTTTAACAAATCCTGAGTATTATTTGCTACCCATTCTTTAGATCGAGAAACCAATTCTTGCTTTTTGAGGAAAATTTCATTGAAATTTTTGATGACATTCCATATTTGGGACAATATACATATTGGTTTTTATTGGGATTACAAAATAATGAATTAAAAGGCATAGAATATCAAACAATCTTATAATTTTCAGAAATCTTTATTTTAGGCAGTTCTTAAAATGAAATCCTCAGATTACCAAATAGAGTATCTCTCATTGTTGCAATAATTACACTTTTTGGCAATTTAAATATACAAAATTCAATCAAAGAATTTTCATCTATGTCAATCACTTATCTTTTAACATCCAAATGTTTAAAAGTCTTTCTTGCTATGATGATTAGAAAATAAAACATAAATGAATTACCTATAAAATCATTTGTTGATTCAATTTTTTCAAAATTTGATGTTAATGTCCCAATTTTATAATTTGTAAAATTTGTTGATATGTTTATGCCTTCATTAGAAGAAATCATTGAAGACTATTTTTATGATAAATTTTTAGGTGAATAGAAATTGTTTTATTCTCCATAATTGAGTAATCCATCCCATATTTTAAATTAAGAATGGCTTGCCCTAATGTACTTATGTTTTATGCATAAAGATACTATTAAATTAGAATTGCTTTATTCTAATTTATTAAATGAGAATTGCTTTGAATTATTGACTAATCTATTAACATAAGCTACTACAAGTCTATTATTCATAATTAAATGTGAACATGCAGGTAGAAAATATATTTTTGGAGCTTATACTAATTTTGAATGGAAAGATGATGCTTTACCTAATGGAAGTAAAGAAGATTGTATTTTCTAAATGTTTCCATAATTTCGAGTTTACAAAACAAAAAATGATAAATTCACAAGATCATAATATATATATTTAAATTCAAAAAATGAAGAATTAGTTAAAGGAATAGGATTTGGAGGAGAATTAGCTAAAGATTTTAGAATATTCTTACATTCAGATCTTTAAAGTGTTTAGTGTAAAAGTCATGACAAGACTTATGAACCAGGGGAATTAATGCCGTTAAAATAAGGAAAGATTAATTTATTGGAGATTTGGACAATCTAATAGATTTAAGGTACAACTTAATTCAAGGATTTAATCTAATAAAAAATGGAGGATTAGATTGAATTAGAAGAATTTGAATTGCCTTAAATTCATTTAGATGAAGATATTATTTCTGATAGATCAAATGATCATTCTTAAATGAGTCAATCTATAAATGAATAAAAATAAAGGGATTCTTGTGATTGTGGAGAGGGTTCTAGTTAAAATGGATTTGAAGAAGAAATTATAATAAAGAATGATGGATTTGTAGAAATAAAGAAAAATTAATAGGATTTTGAAGTTGTTGAATTAATTGACAGTGTAAATATAAATGATATTTGATTAGAATAATAAAACAAGTATCAAATTTGAAAATCAAATGAATAACAATGTTTAATTTGAAGAAGTAGTTATTAAAACAACAGAGAATATGGAATCATCTGCTGTATAAGTAGTTTATAATGTACAATCAGGGAAATTTGGAGATGTTGAAGAAGATGAAAAGTAAAAGTATATATTAAATAAAAGTTGGAATGGTGATAATTCAGATTGGAAAGGTGACATTAGTAATTCAAATAAATAAAAGAAAATGTTTGTAAGTTAAGACTTTAATGCAATAAATGAAAATCTTTAAGTATCCACTAATACAGAATTATGATTATTTTTGTAATAATAAAAATAATTTACTCAATTTTTTAATTAGTAATATTCTATATTTGAATATAATGAGAGGTTCAGAAAGATTGTTATATATGGGCAATTTTAATTGTTTATGTGCAGGTGTGAATGAAAATGAATCTTTATGGTAAATGAAAAGAATTATTGTAACAGATACTTACATATATTATTTTCCATACACAAATTATACAATAAAAACACCTAAAATAAATGAGGATTGGACTAATTATAAGGATTTACCATCAACTATACCTTAAATATAAGAGAGAATGCAATATATAAAATAGAATAAGTTAGATCCTGATTCTGTTACAGCACCTCCTCTTCAAGTACAATAGGTTTCAGATAAATAAGTTTCCATGATTCCTATTGAATAATTAGTTTATTATTTGTAAAAGAATGGATATAATACGAGTATTTCAACAATCTAGGGATAAGCTCTATGTTTAATTAATAAATTAAGCAAAGAAGTATAATATTTGATTGCTTAAAATTAAGCGGATAATTTAAAATTCTTTAGATCTATAATTGTTGGAAATGCTTTTCAAAAATATTAAATTTTTAGAAATCTAAATAATATTTAATTAAACTAAACAGTTGTCACATGGCTTTAAGATAGTATTAATGAAGTAATTGCTAAATTAGATTGCAACAATGAAAATTTAATTTCAACTTATAAAGTATTATGTGAATGCAATAATCTAGTTAATGGTCTCATCTTTAAATTTAATTTGAATGACCACCTTAAAACATTGTAAATACTCCTGTAATCAATCAAACATGAATAGTTAATCAATCTAACTCTTAAAAATTGTCAACTTAAATCAAGCATGATTTCAGAAATTACATCTATTCTTTAAAATTGTCCTTATATTGAATAATTAGATTTCAGTTAAAATTGCTTAGATGATAGAGGTATTGATTAGATTGCAAGACTTTTTGAAAATTGTTTAGAAATTAACCTTATTAATTTATCAGCTAATGTTATTTAAGGCAAAGAATCATATTTAGAAATCTTTCTACTCAAAGCAGGTACTATACTTAATAAAGTTACTATTGATTTAAGCTAAAATCAATTAACAGATTCTAGTATTGTCACTATTGAAAACAGAATTATTAATGAAGAAAATTGTTAGATTATTAATATCAATCTTAGTTATAATCGATATTCAAAAAATGGATAAATATCCTTATTTAATTTATTCTCAAAAAAATCAAAACAAAATCTTATTTTCAAAATATATCCTTTACCTTACACATAGAATATTATTGAATAACTCTTTCAAATTAAAAAGAATTCTCAATAAGAAATAATTTTTGAGGAATCTTAAGAATTATAAGGATCTTAAGCGAGAAGAGGTCATTCAATTCTAAAATAATCTTAACATCATTTACATCATCCAACTATATATTAAAAAACAACTATATAATATAATCAACCTCCTTAAATTCCCTAAAGACATTAAATTACTTTCCTTAAAAAATAAACTAAAAAATAACTACCTACCAATACTAAAATATTGTAAGAAATTAGAAAAAAAGAAGAATAGATTTAATAAGTTATGGAATCAAATAATAATGATCCTCCTGTTGAAGAAATCTATTAAATTACAGAAGAAATTAAGTCATTTCAATATAACATCTCTCATAATATTGTCAATCAATTATTATAAATTATATGGAAAAAATTAAATGATGCTATCCTATATAGAGATAATTATTCTATAAGCTTTTTAACATTTTCCTCTTTTAACTTAGGAATGGATATTACTATATTTAAAGAAAAATATGTAAAATTGTCAAGAAAACTTTAAATAATTGAAAATAGAATAAATAAACTACTTAACTTTCAAATTGAGGAAAGCAAAATAAATAAAGAACTTGATGATTTAATTGCATTATGCCATAGACTTGATATTAGAGGAACTCCAATAGATTTTTTATTATAAATTAAATTAGAAAGAGAAACCATAATACGAAAATTAGTTTACTATGATTATGAATGGTAGTTTGAATATTATGATGATTTATTAAATGATTCAACCTAATTTATTTTTAGGGATCACGAATTTGCATCAAAATAACTTAAGTAAACTCTACCAGTTTCTCCTACTTTACTTTTACATCCCTTCAACATATGTTATTATGATTTAACTAAAATCTCAATAGAGGAATATGAACAATATTCAGAAGCTCTATCCAAAATTATAATTTATTAAAATTCTTATTAAGATAAGACACTTATCAATACATATAATTTAATGGATTTTGATAAAGAGGAAAGTGAAAAAATTTTGTATTTCGCTAAACTTGGTTAAAGAAGAGCAAAATTTATTATCTTTAATCATTTTGAAAATTTCAATTCAAACATTTGGAATGAAAATTCAGAAGAACATTAATTAAATTTTGTAAGACTAGTTGTTAATTATTATTCAGCTCAATATCGTAAACAGTAGTCGAGATATTATTTAGAAAAAGTATCACATAACTACAATGAAATGAAATTAGATGAAATTATATAAGATATTGATTTACAACAAATAGATTGTGAATATNCATCATCCAACTATATATTAAAAAACAACTATATAATATAATCAACCTCCTTAAATTCCCTAAAGACATTAAATTACTTTCCTTAAAAAATAAACTAAAAAATAACTACCTACCAATACTAAAATATTGTAAGAAATTAGAAAAAAAGAAGAATAGATTTAATAAGTTATGGAATCAAATAATAATGATCCTCCTGTTGAAGAAATCTATTAAATTACAGAAGAAATTAAGTCATTTCAATATAACATCTCTCATAATATTGTCAATCAATTATTATAAATTATATGGAAAAAATTAAATGATGCTATCCTATATAGAGATAATTATTCTATAAGCTTTTTAACATTTTCCTCTTTTAACTTAGGAATGGATATTACTATATTTAAAGAAAAATATGTAAAATTGTCAAGAAAACTTTAAATAATTGAAAATAGAATAAATAAACTACTTAACTTTCAAATTGAGGAAAGCAAAATAAATAAAGAACTTGATGATTTAATTGCATTATGCCATAGACTTGATATTAGAGGAACTCCAATAGATTTTTTATTATAAATTAAATTAGAAAGAGAAACCATAATACGAAAATTAGTTTACTATGATTATGAATGGTAGTTTGAATATTATGATGATTTATTAAATGATTCAACCTAATTTATTTTTAGGGATCACGAATTTGCATCAAAATAACTTAAGTAAACTCTACCAGTTTCTCCTACTTTACTTTTACATCCCTTCAACATATGTTATTATGATTTAACTAAAATCTCAATAGAGGAATATGAACAATATTCAGAAGCTCTATCCAAAATTATAATTTATTAAAATTCTTATTAAGATAAGACACTTATCAATACATATAATTTAATGGATTTTGATAAAGAGGAAAGTGAAAAAATTTTGTATTTCGCTAAACTTGGTTAAAGAAGAGCAAAATTTATTATCTTTAATCATTTTGAAAATTTCAATTCAAACATTTGGAATGAAAATTCAGAAGAACATTAATTAAATTTTGTAAGACTAGTTGTTAATTATTATTCAGCTCAATATCGTAAACAGTAGTCGAGATATTATTTAGAAAAAGTATCACATAACTACAATGAAATGAAATTAGATGAAATTATATAAGATATTGATTTACAACAAATAGATTGTGAATATCGATATTAAATATCTGACTTAAAAATCAAACATTAAAGAATAACCTTACCTGAATCTTTTAATGTAGAAATTAATTAATTCAAAACTATTTCTGATTATCCTTATTTAAATCGTAATCAATACGTTGATATTGAAGATCCTATTTATGTTTATGCATAAAGTGAATTAATTAAATAATTAAAGCATATAGTATCTTAAATTTAAGTTATGGAAAGTGAGAATTATGATAACAATTCAGTTTTAAATTCGGCTCGCCTTGTAATTGATATTTGCATGAATTCTCCTTGTCCATGCTTATTAGCTGATGACCTTTATATTTTTCTTACTATGACTTAAGTAAAAGCAAAGGATACTAATTTTTCAAAGTTATTTTATTTATTTTTACATTATGTAAGTCCATCAAAAATTTTGATATTTTTACTTTATGATTGGTTAGTAACTACTTATTAAGACTAAAAAATTTAATAATTAATGGCTGCATGGATAAACAATTCACCAATGATCTATTGGTTACCTTCACTTTAAGAAATAAATTTTAGATTAAATAAATCAAAGGTTATGATACATTATTTACACACGAAGATATTTTAAATAGAATTTAATGGTTATGCATCAGTTTTAGAGGTCATGAAATAGATATATGAAGAAATAAATACTGTAGATAAAGGAAGTTTCTGGCTTTATGTAAGAGTAGAATTGAAACAAGAATAGTAGGGATAGTTTAATATAATAAAATATTTGGATATTCCTCTTTTAGCCTAATTAGGTTTTTGGGAACATTTTTCAAGAATTAATTAATATTATAATGTACTCTCAATTGAACTAAAGAGAAGAATCTTTTGTATGGATAGTATTGATATTCAATAAATTTAAGAAATTATTTATTAATTTATTAATTATCCTTTTATTTGTTAGCATTACAATAATGACAGTATAAAAAAAATTATTATTATATTAATGTGTATAGAATCAATAAATGATTAAGAATAGAATACTTAAGATATCAATATATACAATTATATCTAATTTATACCTTTACACTTAAGAGATTAAATAGATATAGATGATTTAATCAATTAACATTAGGGAATGATTGCTTAATTTGCTTACTTTGATTAAACATAATTAACTAAATTAATTAAAATTATTTTTTCTTTTAATCCTTGTTTTAATGGATCAATTTTTTAAGTCAATTTTGAAAAAGAAAATTATGAAATGATAATTAATTATCATGGAATTTTCTTTTATCAAGGTACAACATTTATTTAATCCATTTTATATTCCGAAATAGTTGGAATATCAATTTCATCTAGTTAATTAAGATTGCATTGGTTTAGATAAAAGTTCAATAAATTTATTATAACATTTTAAGAAGATTAAAGTTTGGAATGCTATTAGGATATTTTATCTTATTTGGTTCTATTATCAAATGAAAAACCTGAATATTTCAGCCATTATTATGAGTATTCAAAAATAAGGTACAAATACAACCTTCATCTTACTAATTCATTTGATTAAAATGAAATTGTAGAATAATTGTTATCTTTAGTCTAGAAAACAGGAATCCAAAATATTTTAGATAGATATCAATAGAGTGAAATTTAAAAGTTTTTGGAAGACAGTCACTTATAAAGAGTTGCAAGAAAGTAGTTAAAACTGATTCAAATTTTTAAATAAACAATTCCTTTTCATCCTTTGGAACAGATATTTCCTTTTTAAAAAGATTGTCCTATAATTCAATTTCTTAAACCTAAATTACCTTAAAGCTTAGATATTAGTATTTATTTTGGTAAAGGAAGTAGAAATGAAATAAAGAGATTATTTGATCCAATTAGAGAACTCTTTCCTTCTGTAGAATATTTAGATGATTCACCTCATTCTTCAAGAGGAAAATCAGCAAAGGAATCTTTAAAGTTTGAAAATTAATTATTAGGTTCATAACATTAAAAGTCTTAAAGATCTAAAGGAATAAGTTCTGAAAGCAGGAAAGTTTCTTTAATTAATTCAAGAAAAACTTTAGAGTAAATTTAAACAAAATCAGAAGAAAAATAAGAAGTAAAATCTGAGCAATAAACTTATAGAAAAATTTCAAATGATAATATGTTTAAGTCTTAAGAAATTTAATCAGAGAAAAATTAGAAAGCTAGTTTTATCTATAAAATTTAAGAAGAAGAGGAAAACATTAAATCAGAATATAGTCCTAGTATATTGTAATAATAAAATCTCCGAGTAAGTTTATCTTTGAGTAAAACAGTAGAACATATTATGTTTTAATCAATTTAAAGTGAACAAAATAAACTGAAATCAGAAGGAGTTTAGAAGTCATAATAATCTGCAATTTTATTATAAAATTAATAAGTCTCATAAACCTAATCATCACAATAATTACTTGATGAAGATAATGAAAGCATATTTGGATCAGTAAATCCGCCACTATTAAAGAATGAATTGAAAAATCATTCACAATCTGAATAATTTATTAATTGAATTTATTATATAAATTTAAAATATATCTTCATGCATTTACACTCAATTTTTAATTATATTGAAATTTATACTCTTCATATTCTTAAATGAGAAAATCCCAATTTTACAACTATGATAAAAAATTAATATTTACTTGGTTATTAGTGAAATATCGCATATTATCTAAATAAAAATCAATTTCATTTAATAATTTATCTGTTTCAATTAAAAATTACTAATCAAACTATTCATTAAAATGATTTAACATGTAGACATATTAATCTTTTTTTTCGTTTACTTAAAAGCTTTCTTCAGGTAACATTATTTCTTTGGCATAATTAAGATCTGTAAAACACTTGTTTATATCTATTTTTTATAGAAGTTCCTAATTTAAACCCAATTTCTAAATATCCTCTTACATAAACTATATATAAACTTAATGTAAAAAGTTCTTCTTTTTTTTTTTCTAAAAGAAAGAACTCATTCTAAAAATTTAAAAATGTCTCATTAAGATTGGATTTTAATTCAAAAAGTTATTATCTAGAATTTTTAAATTTTAATAGAGTAATCAATAACACATCCATAATTTGTTTAGTAGATCTTAAAACAAAATCTTTTTAGGTTTACTAATTATGATTTTAATATTTTACAAAATGAGACTTTATCATACTTAAAGCTTTTCCAAATTCTTATGATTCATAGTATTTAGGAAGGGAAATACATAATTATGAAATCATTTCAATAGAAAATCCTAAACTTTATTATCCTTTATAAGTAAATTCAGCAAATTATTCTAAATTTTTTTAAATGATTTCATAGTTTGCTTATTCAGCATTTATATATGCTTAATAATCTTTATATTTTTCATATTACTCTTAATTGAATTTAATAGATAGTGTTCCTGTCTTTGATTATTTTTGATTGAGATTAAATTATTTTATAAAAATTTACTCATTATAAAATTTTGATTGAAATTATTTAGGATTCATTTCATTTAGAAAATGTAAACTAGAACAAACCGTTCTAATAATTGGTTTTTTATTATAGATTTACAGAAATATCTATTAACTTAAAAATGAATAATACAGTGAGTACTTTTAAAATGTTTTACTATTCCTTCATAATGATATCATAATCATCTATATCTTTGTATGGAAAAGATGGTATCTAATTAAATGATTAAATACTATATATTCAGGAAAGGCTGCACAAAGCAGATTTCTGAATTGAGCAAAATCCTATAGAGTTCTTTTAATCTTCCATTCCATAGGGTTTACTTAAATAGGAAATACAATTGTTTTTTAAAAAAAGTCCAAAATTCCTCCTCTTTCTTCAATAGGCCTTAAATAAAACTTCAAAAATTACGCACTAATTTCAAATTATAACTCAACATTTTCATCAATAAAAAAGTACAATTGTTTGCATTTAATAGTTTTTTCATATGGAAAAATATATATTTTTTCATTCTAATTGTATAAAAATAATTGATATACAAGTTTAATTGGGTCTTATTTTTAATTTTAAGCATGTATTTCCTTCTCAATAATTTAGTATGACCCTGAAATATCTGGCTATTCAGACTAATTTACTGGAATAGAGATTTAGAATGAGTCTAATTCTTAATTTATATGCTATAGTTTACTTTCTTGCTAATATTTTTAAATGATTAGAAATAATTCATCATAAGTCCATAGGCTTAAATCATAGCCTAACTATAATGAATTTAGTACCTTTTTGAGGTTCCTTGAGAAAGACGAACTACTCAAAGTCTTCTTGATTGTAACCTTTATTAATGATTTCTTCAATTAATAATTATTGCTCCTTTGTAAATTTAAAATTCATAATTATTAAATTAAATTTTTATTAATTTGATATAAAGTTTATTTAAAAGATCACAGTTTAGATCTTTTAGAAAATATTAAAATTATAATAATTCATAAAACATCATCAGAACCATTTTTTAACCCATAATTTAAGTTTCTCTTAGCCACTGAATAAATTCTTCGAAATCGCAATTAATCTATCACATTTAGAATCTATAACTTCATTTTCATAAACAACATCTTGTAATTTTTTAATAAATGGTTCAAGTGAATCCCTGCATCCTAATTACCAAAAAACAACATTTAAGTAATCAGTAAGACTAAAAATTAATAAATAAATGATTTTACTCGATATTTAGAATACCAATAATGGTTGCTGTAAATGTTGGTATTAAATATGCATTTAGATTGACTTAGCCAACTAAATGTTCAATATTTCTTGAATATCTAATAGCAAATGGATCATATAAAGTAAGCCTATTATTATTTACTTTGAATAGATATTTTTTCTGATAAAAATTTCCATTGCTCAAATTAATTTGTAGGTTTTCTAATTATTTAGGTGATTAGCTACTGGCCATAGTAAAAGATAGAGCAAAATGAACACCAATGTTTATAACAATAATTTTTCTTAATTATATAAAAGTGTCAATTGTTTTTGAAAATCTCAGTATATAATTAGTTAAATCCTATTTTTTTAAATAATCTTTTTCAACTTAGGGACTATAGTATAATAATTATTTAATAATTACTTATAGTAAGGTATTTTTATGGAGGAATCATTTTTGGGATTAGCATGATACTAAATTTAGAGAATGGTGTCTAGGATATTATTAAGATTATATGTTTCTTCTTGATATGGTTCTAATTGATAATTTTATTTTTAATATTCTAAGAGATATTTATCTGATATCATATGCTTTACATTTCTAATTTTTGTTTCTTTATAATTTTAATTCAAGATGTTGGTCATTTTGATAAATTAAGATGAAATTTGTTCATCTAGAATATTTTGAGTTGTTTTTTTATTTTCAATCTTTTTAGTTTTTAAAAGGAAGAGGTATTTTTTTTCATCATTTCCCAACAAGGCTATTTATCTTATGAATCGTTTTCTCCTTAAAAATATAATATGAATGGTCGGAAACATATTAGTAATGTAAATAGTTTCATAAGCTTAAGTTCTTTTGATTTAACCTTCAAATCCTAACATAGGAAGTTGATTCATCTAGAATTCATCGTTGATGGCATACAATTCATCAATTTAAATTTATTTAGGAATAAAGGAATTGATAGAATTACTTAATTATAATGGGAATTCTTCTTTAGAATTCATGTTGACTCTAAAGAGATTAATGTATATACATTTTAAAGCAGCTAAATAAACAAGTTATATAGTATGAATTTGATCATTTTTGAGTTGTTTATTTAAATCATTTAATTAGCAATACTGCTTTATCATTTCTTTAATTTATTGATTTTTTTGAATGATATTTAAAATAATTTGACATCTTTCATTTAGATTACTTGATGGAATTTCAAAGTAATTTGAATCTAAGATTTTTCCACAATTATAAATAATTTCTTCAACATAATCCCAAACTTGATGATCAAAGATAGAATTTTAAAGATAATTTAATGAGTAGATGGAGGCAATTTTTAAATTTAATTTAGAAGATTGTTGAATTGAATTGATTAATTATTATGATCTATCATCATTACATTATCCTAGACTTTTTAGATATTAAATAAATTATAAGCTGTTAAGAGGATTGTAGATACATAATTTATTAATAGCATTTAAACAATCTTTTCTAGTAGATTCACATGGAGTTTAGAGATAAGTTGATATTAATTAGGTGATAAATCTTTGTAATAAATGTAAGGGTATTGTACCAATGATTTGAGAGAATGCATCTGTCACAATAGAATCAGTAGGATTAGTAATATTAAGAATATGAAACATATACATACCTGTAATGGGGAATTTTTATGGTTTATATTACATACTTAAAGGTGTAATCTAGATATAATGATGAGCAAACTTTATATTATTACTATACTTCTTATGAGCAAGTTAATAAATTTTATGGGCTTCCTTCCAGAATTTTAAATAGTTTGTTTAATTCTATATAAAGAATTCATTAGTTTAACTGACCATAATCTCTAATTTTTGTTCTTCAATCTACATACCAGAAGATTCTGTTTGCTGGTCTAATCTTAACAATTTATAGAATTAATTAATCATCTTATATCTTCTAATTTTACTAATCATATAGTTTTTGAATTCCTCAGCACTATATGTCCCTAATTATAAAGAATTAAAATAACTGAGAAGTTCTGTCAAACTCTATTAATTATTGTCGACATCCTAAAACTTTATAGTCTTGAATTTAATTTTCTCTAATTGATAAACTTTCTCTGCATAGACTTATAATGGTTTTGGCACTTCTTTTAGAATTGATTATTCATCAAATAATCCAAATATGCCATTCTATTGATAATATCTCATTGGATACAAAAGAGTCTTATAATCCAAAGCAGCTAATTAATAACTCTTTTAATCTAGAGTGCCATTTGAAGGCAGTTATTAATTGTTTAATAATTGGTTTAATTATCCATTAAAACGTTATAGACACATTTACAATTAGACCATTCGTTAACTGATTAAATCAAAAGTAAATTCTTATTAATCAATTATTGTTGGTTATCTTTCAAAAAAGTACTTTTTGCATGATAGACTTGACTAGTATGCATTTGATATGATATCTAATAATTAATCATAAGCATTTTAAGCTTAACCAGCATAAGTAGGCTATGTAGGAGCATACTGTCGAAGACTTTCATCTAATTCAGTATACAATTAAAATTAAGATACAAAATTAAGGAATTTATTGCCCCACAATTATGGGGAAGACATCATTTACTCATATGATTAGGAAAGTTTAGGTAAAGTCTTAATGAAATTATAGCAATTGATTATTTAAGCATATTTTAAATTTTATTCAATTGATTATAAAACATGATTTCCTCCTCTTCCATGTTGGTTTAAAGATGCTTCATCTCTAACAAAATCTAATAATTTAAAATAAGCCTAGTTATAACAATACAAATCATTCTATTACATATTTGGTTTCATTTCTTATAATACATTTAATTCTTTCCATCCTTAATCTGTTGTATCTCTCTGTCTTTCACGAAAACCCATTAAAATTTTATTTTAAACCTCCTAAACTTTACTCTAATCTATTTGTTTTAGTGTATTCCATTGATTTAATTGTTATAGTGATTCAGTAAATAATTAATGAATTATTTATTGATCATATTCTTTTTGAATACCTAGAACTTCATGAGTTTCGTATTCTAATTACATCCAAAATTGATCAATAGTTTCTTAATTGCCTAAAATTAATTAATATGATTGAGCCGGCTCTCTTAATTGATTCATTAATACTAACTATCTAACCCAAGGTTGAGTAACAGTTATAGCTTTACATCCAAGTAAACATTACTTATTCCATTATTCTTAGTATATTCCTTGCAATTATACGAGAATATCTTCATTTAATTGTGAGCAATAATTTGAATCTTCCATCAAATATTAGTAAATGAATTCTAATAAATATTAGGCTAAGGGTAATAGATTCTTTTATCTTAAACACATAATTAAATTATTGAAATTAAAATGAGTTTGATGATTCTCCATAAAATCATAAATATTGGTAATATGAGATAGAATCTATTATACTAGGAAATTAGATATAGTTTGTAGAGTTCCATAAGAAATAGATTGTTTTGATATATAATCAGTAATTTGAGTGATGGTTTTGATGTCACATAGAATAACTTGATTAAAAATAGGTTTAAGCAGGCGACTACTTACATTAGCAGCTGTGCCCATTAACTCGATGGCAGCACTTGGTATAATACATTCTCTTAAAGGTTATTATGGCTAATCTTAGATTGGGATATAGGATAGATTATAAATAACAATAGATGGAAGATATTCACTTGTGGTTAGTTTAATACATGAATTATACAGCTTTGACCAATATTATTTTCTATAATAAATAGCTAAATATTTGTTGAGTACTTGTTCTCTCATAGTGGAGTCTTCATCTTTTGATACCACTTAAACAATAATCTGATTAGGTTGAGTTGGATAGAATTCTTTAGGAAATATCATTTGTCCTCTACCTAACATCAAGAATTTAACTGCCATTAACATGATCTCCTCTCCTTCTGTTTGTAGAGGTTAATCTTATTACTTACAACTTGGATCTCCAAATGCAAATTGCAGAAATCTATCATAAGTGTATCCATAAATATCAAGTATCATTCTATAGAAAAATTACAAGTAATCTAAACATGTACTCAATTTACTAATTACTTACAATATGCGTCTAAATTCTCTTAAGGAACCGTTGCCTCTATCAAATATATTTTTTAATAGATAAAAACCACTATTAATAGATCCTTATTATTTCTTAAATGGGTAGACCAACAATAATTCACATAAAAACATAAAGTATAACTTTAAAACTTTTAAATCTTGTATCTTTCCATGTTGATTATCATAACTATCAGAACTTCTTTAATCAATCTTTTTATCAAACACACTTTAAAATTTAGTCAAATCAAAAAAGAAAATCAATTATTATTCCTATGACATCTTAGATGGTTTGAATTGTAAATTATCTTCCATTCTATTCAATTCCTATCTCACCTGGAATGATCTCACTGGTGATAAATAAACTGATATAGCTTATAAATATCCTTCTTTATTCGATATTCCATTGATAAATAACATTCTTAATATTGCTATACATTCTAATTTCAATTCATAATCAGGTACTGATTCTATTATCCAAATTAACTATTGTAAAAATTCAACCTATTCTTTCTAATCTTTAATCTCATCAAAATTATAAGCTATCATCTTAACTGTCTTTTAAAGAGCTGATCTATACAAATGGAACTTAATTTTCTGATTCTCAGGAAATTCCTCTGGAAAATATAGCATTTCATCACTCAATTTCATTCCAAATGGAAAATCATCCGTCATCAATCCAAAATCACTGATATATGAAGATAAATCAGAATGAGTATATTGCTTTTAAGAATCATTCTCCAATTTTTCTATCTCTTTAATATTGAATTGTTTCTTTAAAATTGTATACTTCCTCATATTGTCCAAATATTGTTCTCCCTTATCTTTCTATTTTAAATACTCAATTAACATCTCTATTATTCTCTTTAATGAACTTAATAAAGGTCTCACATAACTAAAATCATGATTGAAAAACAGTTTCAACAAAAATATCGATAAAATATTAACTTTTAATATTTAATTTGGAATTCTGGCTGCCATGAATTAATTCATTGTCTATTAAGTATTTCTTTTAAATTGTGGATGTTATTGTATTGTTTCCTTTACCCAATTTGAAACTTAATTTAAAAATTATTCACTCTATTCATTCTAATTTTCCTTTGCATTCTTTATAAGCTTTCTAAAAAGGTTAAAAATTTTAAAAACAAGAGGAGCGTGATCCTAACTTAAAGCATTTTAATGTTATTGACTTCGATCCTATGGAGGTTGATTGTATTATACCCTTTATTAAGGAGGAGGTTGTCTAGGTTAAGTTGGGGGAATCCTTCCTGCATTTGGTCTAGGAGGCATTTATTATTGAACTTAATCTGGCAATGAATTCATACGAAAGATAATATCAAAAAAGGGTTAATACAATTGATTTATCTTATTTGCAGGTTAAAACTCTGCAATTATTGTCAGTATGTGTAATACGATTAAAAAATATCTAAAATAAGATGAAGCTGTCGGTTATATCGACATAGTTCTTATTGTAGAGTTTCCTTACTAAGGTTCCACTATTTAATTCATAAGGTTTGCTATATTTTTTTTCACAGTCTCCATATTCATCTTGTAATTTGTAAGTGGAGCTATTATTAATATTTTTTTAAATAAATATAATGCTCTCTTCTAAAGCTCAGCATCCTCTATATTATGAGCTTTTAGGGACTGTTTGATGAAAAAAGATTAGTAGATTTCACTCGATAATGATTCATCATGATTTTAAGCTTCACTTTGATAAAAGGAATCACGGAATTTCTTTAAATTATTTTATAACAAGTCCTTTTTTATCATTTTAGTCTTCCATTCCACTTATAGAAATGCCAAATCCAATGCTATCCTTCTATAATTTTGATAACTATTAGTTATTATTTGCTATTGAGGCTATTAATTTTAATTAAAAAATCCTATCTATTACATAGAATTAATAATATGGATTGTAAATGATTCATGATGCTTATGAAAAATCTTATGATTCTTAATAAACATTGACCAAAATCTAGTAATCTTTGATACTTACTCATAATCTAGATTAGATGATTCTTATTTCAGTAACTGCTAAGTTGCTTGTATCCAATCTTTTTGATCTTGTACCTCTACTTAATCTAACCATGGTAATACAACACTAAATATCTTCTTACATAAACTAGATAATTCCTATTCTGATTATCCACTCTCATCTAATTATTTTAAGGCTTTGTTGTATATTTTCAAATATCTCTTATTTACAGATATAGGATCATTTTAAATTAATCCAATTTTTTTAAGGAATTTGCTAAAATAAAAATTAGCGTGAAATGCTACTAATTTATCTGATTTATTAATCATTTCATATCCAAATTATAAAAATGACATCTTTAAGTCTGAGGGTAATTATTATTCTTAAAAGCATAATAAATAAGAACTAATTTAAAGCATATCTATCACTGATGATTTGTAGTAGTGATTTACATCAGAAAGCTTTGCTGTTAAATTATTAGGTAATTTATAAGTAAAATTCATTGGGCAATTATGTTCAATATCACTTAAAATTTTTCCATAATATTTAAAAAAATCATCGTTAACCTCTTTCATTCTCTAAAATAAAGATAATTAACTTATTTAATTTAAATCATTTCTTTGATTAGAATGAAATAAAATAGGATAGATTACATGATATCCAATAATCATTTAAACTTGATTGATATGATCATCATCAGAAAACTTGAAATTTTCTATCCAAATTTCAATGATTCTTTTTCTTAATGATATGGATTTATTCATTGCTACATTCAAAACCCATTTCTTTACTTTATCTTATGTAGAATAAAGTATCAACCTTAACATTCCTTAAATAGCTATTTTGCAGTCTTCATTTTAGGAAATGAATTATTTCAACATGCTACAATGTCTATTTAACAAACTATTGATTTATTAATTTGAAAGTATTAATTGATTATAAGCTTATTGCAATTGACTCTATTAAACTTTTCTATTTAAATTATTTTATTTTTATTTATCCAAAAGATCTTTTATATTATTTAAGATACAATTTTCTAAGAAATAATTATTTTTTTTTAAACAAGATGGGTTTCTTTTGCATAGTTAAAAGCCAAATTAAACAATCTCTATCTTGATTTCACTTATGACATTAATTAATTTTTAAAGATAAGATTAATGAAATGATTATTATAACTCTGGATTTAAGGGAGTTTAAACATTTAATAATCCTTTTTCTAAAGCAGAACTTAAATCTTCAATGAATTTATTAAAACGTTCCATCCTGTGTGCTAATTGACTTTTTTCTCTACATAATTTTTCTCTTAAGGGGAATGCTGTCGGTTCAGAAATAACTTATCTTACTGTTTTAATATATTGAAGACGTTCCCTCAATTATTCCCAGAGTCCTTTGATAGGTGTTTAATTAGATAATAGCGAACTGACTCCTTCTAATTATCTTTAAAATTATTAGATTTAACCTACATTATAAGATGATTAGAAGACATCAAAGTAATTAGCAGCCAAAGTGTTTAAGAATTTAACTAATGGCTTATCGATACATGAATTTAATTACATTTATGAAACTTTAAAAACGTAATTACGTCTGAGATTATTTGTGTCAGTAATAATTTTCTAGACAATATTGATAACTTAAGATCCATTTGATGGATTTGTTAGTTAAGATGTTAAATGCTAAAATAATTTTAAAAGTCCAGATATGATACCCATCTAAAAATTTAAAGATTCTTGTGATTAATGTTATTGATAAAACCATTCCATTAATGTGCAAAATTAACCATTTGGAGCTAAAGGTTATTAAATATTTTCTTAAACAATTCGAGTTAAATGGTTTTATAATTTATCCGATAATGCCCTATGGAATACTTTACTAAATATTTTCAAGATTAGTTTTAAAGACTTTAAAAATGAAGGAACATAATGAAAGATGTCAGATTGTACACATGTAAGTAATGGTTTCATAACTTTTTTTAATCGATCATCATTTTCAAATAAAGTTTTATCATTAGTAATTCCTTCCTATTATAATAAATCTTAAAGATATCGATATCCTGCTTACCTGATACTGGATTCAACTCTAAGAAGCCCTTCATATAGAATTTCAACTGTTTTAAATTTCATAGCAAGGATGGTAGGTTTCCCAGTTTGATTTTTATCAATATTTTTTTGAAGATGCTTTTGAATGTGATATATGTAGTTTAAAGTAGATATTGATTTTAAGAAGCCATAAACAGCAACAACCATATAACTCTACCATTTGATTTCAAAATCTATGTCTTCGATATTGATTTTAAATTCTAAGTCATCTAATCCATGAGATACATTAATATGAGCATTTTATAATTATTATTCATCGTTATTGAGAATCATTTTAGATTGTCTATAATAAGTTTCTTCATTTTGTTGTATGATTTTAAATGATAATTCTACAAATTCTTCTATGCATTGTATCAAAGTAGGTTCATTTTTAAATTGAACAATTTTAAATAAATAATACTAAAAAGTTTTATACTTACCTTATTTTTACAATAAATATGTTAATATTCTGAACCCGTTAGCATATCTTTGTGCAGTAATATCTGACATATTCTATTCTTCACATAATTGCTTAATGATTAAAACTAATTCTCTTATAACTGTATTTTAAGTGTATGGAGAATTAGGGATATCAGAATAGTCAATATTAACCCAATATAACTATTACAAGTTAAATCCTACAATTTCCTCTAAAGGGATGAGTTTGATTTGTTCTTCAAACATAGAATTCATTCCTTCACCAATATTCATATAAAATAATGGGCCAGGATTACCCTAATAGAAATTAGCAATTATATGATCAAACAATTCAGTACAAATCTACAACAATGATTTTTTGAATGTATTGCAATTTTAAGTTATAACTTTAACAATCTCTCTTAATTTATTCTATAAAATTAGAGTACTCTAATGTGAATGAGGTTATTTTGAATGATCAAAATTTAGATTTTAAATCAATTAGTTGATAGTTTAAAATAATAAATTCTTAGTGAGTTATTAAGATACAACTTTTATGGATTCTGACAATTATCTAAGTAAAATAAATGAACATTCTACAATTCTTTAATCAGGTATGTATGGTAATCCAATGATTTAGTTTGATGAATAATAATCCTAGAATTTAGGTCTAAGATTTTGAATTTCAGTAAGTAATTCAATAGAAATAGATCTGCAATTTAATCCTTCAGATGGTATCATTGTTCCTCCATAAGCTAGATATAATAATTATAAAATATTTACATTAAACAATCTATATTTTCCGACGACGATCATCTTCTTTCTGTAATTAGGTTTATTTTCCAAATTTCTCATAAACAAATTCTTCAAACAAACGAACTACAACTGTATAATAGACATTATAGGCCCATATCATATTTTCATTATTATTTTTAAAATGAGTAGTAAGTATTTTCTTATATTTATTAAGACAATTGCCCATAAGCAATTTATTCCAAATGAATTCATGTTGTTGAATATAAAAATCTTTGAAATTCATATTCTCTTCAGCTGTAAGCATATATCTCTTATTTAGACCCTTAAAAAGATGAGAGATCCATTTAATAACTTAAGGTTTTTCTCTAAGATATTTTTTAACAATATCCTCAGTCATTGCAAAAAGAGAATTTATATCTGGTTTGATTTACTTGAGTTATTAAATTTATTCACAATGATCATCTGCTAATTGAATGAAAAACATTTCAGATAAAGTTGTTACTACATTTTCTACATCCTCTTTTATTTTATGGAATGTAGCTGTTGTAATTGTCTAAATAATATTATGAAAATTGCTTAAACCAATAAAAACCTTCGTTACTGCTGCTATTAATTCTTCATCTTTATTTATCAATGAATCTTCTTCACATTAACGAGATTATAATTTCATATATAATGCCATCCCCTCTGGTATTTAATAATTATATAAATCATGATCAAATTATATTGGCATCTTATAATAACCTAAAAGCACCATTTTCACTATAGAATAACTATGCTATATAGAAGATTGTTTAAATAAATATGTAGCTAATTATTATTCTAATACATTCTGAAGAATTTCTACTGCACATCTTACTGTTTCAGAAAGATTTATCTTTAGATTCTATTACAACCCCTCTATTTGCACTTCTAAATATTAATTCTTAATAAATGGATTATCTGTGTGATTCCTCTTTACTTCTATAGGCCATTCAGATTTTCTAACCAAAGCACCCAACTTTGATAGTATTTTTAGAGATTTGAAAGATGGATCTAAAAATAAATTTACTTATTTTGAATATATATCTGCCATCTTATATTCTGATGGAAAAGTTAATAATTTTTCTATAAAAGGTTAGAGAAGATCTCCGAAAAATTCTCGCATCTCTTCCATACTCAAATTAGTTACAATATTTTCCAATAACATCAATGTTTTTTAAATTACTTAATTCTCTATCGTCGAAATATTATGTAATGCTCTAAATAAACACTATGCGAATACGGGATACTGTTTTGCTAAATTTATTTGAATTGTTTTTTACAAAGGAAAATTAGCGATTACTTCTGCAACTATATCTTAAATCTCAACTATTCCTGTTTAAAATAACTCAAACATGTTTAAAACAATATTCACACCACTCAAATTTAATTTATGATAGATTTCATATTATTATCTTTATAAAATTTATTATCTGTCATTTCGATCATATTTGTCACATAATTATTAAAAATATTTTGATAATCCTTCACCTTAGTCGTTATTTTATATCCTTTTTACAAGAGATAATAATAATCCTAAAAAATCAATAGGATAATAGGTTTCATGAGATTTCTTTACAAAAAATAAAATTAACTATTTTACTAATGGTTTAACTATTGGTTCTTCATTTTATTAACATTTCACCCTAGGAAATAATCTTATAGGTATTCTTAATAGTTTTTAAATTAATGAAATGTATTCATCCTAATCTTTTTATTAAACATTCTATGACTTTTAATTATTCATTTATATCAATTAATTTCCTCTACAATAACCAAATCTTGATGGTAATTCTGGTGTTGTTTACAATTCTCTCAAATATAAATTCAAAAGAAATTCTATATAATATTTAACAGATAACTTTGCTTAAGCCTAATTTTCTGGATGACTCAATATTTATAAGTGATCTTACAATAATAATGGTAGACAATGAGTTTCTGGACAAGTTTTAATTAAATTTACGGATATCTTTAGCAATAACTTTGAATTAGGTTCAAAAATATTCTTGAAATTTATAGGGTCTTAAAATTAAATGAAAAATTGCATAAATGTAGGTATAGTTTTCTTTTTATAATCCAAAATTTCGAAATGATTTCTTTGATGATCATGTAATTCATCAAATATCATTAATCCATTTTTCATAATCTTAGACATATAGTGGCATTGTAAATTACTCAAATATGGTTTACCTTCATTTTAAGCTTAAACTAAAGGTGCCAATCTTTATGAAATTTAACAATTTGGTCTATTTTTATATTTCATTACTATTTCCTTGTTTGTTGTTATTACAAAATGTAGCAACTTTTATAATATTTCATTTAATTAATCAAATATTTTTGATTTAACTTCTTTAGCAAAATCAACAAATTAATTATATGAATTAATACTTATGGAATTTACTTAATATTCTTCCTCATCATCATACGTAAAAACTTAGGTAGCAGCTTAATCTTATTAAGTTATAAGATTTTAATCAATTTCAATCTCATTCTCTTTTATATACTATTCTAATTGAGTTATGTATTTTTCATTCAGAGCTTCATTATTATTGCAAGGCAATGATGAAACATTTGTTTGAGATGTTGTTTTCTTGATATTACCCCATTTCTAAGTTCTATTTAATATATCTTTTATCTATTATATTTATTTTCTAATTTATGCTAATTTCATTCCAATCATCTAAAATAATCTATCTAACAATTTGTATTTAGGACTATGAGTTGTCACTTCCTTGAAAATTGAGTCAGTTTACTATTATTATTGTTAAGGTTGTTCGATATAATATTATAATAAATTCTTATCTATGAAATAAGTATTTTGTTTTGAAAATAATTCTAAAAACACTTTCATTAAATCTAATGCTTTTTCATGAATAGATAATTGCAAAGAAGAATCAAATAAAACTTTAAAAATGGTGTTGAAAATTTTATCCATATATTATTGATTATTAATAAATTCTATTTGCTATTTTTCTAAATTATTAGGTTATTATGTTTATTGTTCATTCTTTGGAAGATAACTTTAGACTACATTTTTAACAATATCTAACCAATTTTGATACATATTAGACTTTTAATATGGTGGTATTTTTAAATTCTTACCAATAATTGTTTCTTCATCAATCAATTCAGCTACATTTACATTTATTTCATTGATTTTATCTGTTATTTCATTTTATTAAATAGGATCTCGTTTTTAAATAAGCGATTGTTTGAGACGATAACTAATATCAATCCTTAGATGCATTAAATCAACAGGACAATGTTTAAGGGTTTTTATGATAGTGGAAACAACTGAATCTAATTTAATTGTATCAGACATATCTTTAATTATCCGTGATTAAGGCTGTATTGAACTATCATCCCTTTTGATTGTAAGAGCAAGTAATTATAAAAATTTAGAATAGGCATTAAAAAGTTCTTAAACAATATTTCTTGGGACTTTCTACAATAAATCTTAGAAATTAGTTTCATTTATCACTAAGTTCATAGTCTTTAAGGCTCTCTTCAAGATTTCTCTCATCTAAATTTTGGTCTACATATTATTTAATGATTACTTCATCTTTAACTATAGAATCTAAAACAAATATTGTGTAAATAAAAAATGTTGGTATATTAGTAACAAAGGATAAGCTATGGATATTTAGTCTAATGTCTTTCTCTTTTCTATCTTCATTATCTGTTGATAAAACATAATTCTGATCTTAAAATGGATTACTTTAATTATCTCCTAAGAGTTTCTTATATTGAGATCTCTTGAGTTCATTATTAAATTTAACTAAGAATTCAATCCGTTGCTCGAAGAAGGAATATAGTCTCAAAAGCAATTAATCTGAGAATAGAGTATTCGATCTTTAGAATTAATGAGATTATTATTGGTTCGACTTTAATAGATCATTGATTATGCGAATAGCTATAGCTGCATTATTTTCGTTGTCTTTTTCTAAAACAATTGTCATTTACTCAACAACTTGAAATGTCATGTGTTATAGAAGAATTTTCTTCTGTAATAATTCTAAGATGGCAGCTCGAATTAAAAATTTTGTATTGCGAGATGTTTAAGGATCAACATGTTGTAACACATAAACAATAAAACTTAAACAATTTTCAACGAAAATTCTCTAATTATTTTAAAGGACCTGCTAGAAACAATTTTATCAATTAATACATGATTTGTGTCTCTATTTCTTTCTTGATGTACCTCTTCTGAAATTCGAGCTAAACGTTCTCGAATATCCAAGATGTTTTTTTCTGTAAAGTTCTCATTATTATTGTTCATGTTGTTAATCTAATCTTTTAGTTTTTCAAAATAGGCAGGGTCAAGTTGAGACATTTTAATTAAATTAATGAAGAATTAGCTCCTTTTCTTTAAAATGAGAATCAGAAATTAACATAATTTTTGTTCTTAATTATAAATGCTTTCTTATCAAAATCTTGCGTAAAATGAATACTAAAAAGGAAAAGATATTCCATCTCCAAGCCCTCTTTCCAGACCTAAATAAAATAATACAAATTAACAACCTACGCCAGTTCCTCAACCGTTTAATACTTTATTACCACCTAATCTGTAAATGTTATGAATCATTATCTTAATAGTTTACATCCAAAGACAATATAAAATGAAAAAAAATCGTATATATTTGTTTCTTATCTAGAATTATATCGAATCATTCTCGAAATTAATCTTTTAGATCGGCATATCACAACAACTAAATCAATCCTCAAGAATAAACAAATTTTGAAAAACAATAATTATCCATGAAATAAGAAGGAGAAGACCTAAAGTAATATAATTTAGCTAGTTAGAACATAAATCAGGAAATTATAGAATGAGAATTAACAACTCAAAAAAGCGATCGATTAACTTCAATCTGAATTGTATTCAGTTTTCCTTCTAATCCTTTAGATAATCTTTTTAAAACCAAATGTCAAGTGAGTAAGAACTCAAAGCCAAATTTGATTAATAAGAGGAAATGATTATTAAGTTGAAATCAGAAGTTCGTATAAAATCAGAAACTCTCTAAGAGAACCAATAATAATAAGCCGAAATGGAAAAACTATAGAAAAAGTTGGAAGATTACAATCTCATAACTATAAAATCAAATGATTTAAATAAATCAATTAAAGATTTATAAGAATAAGTTTAAGATTAGAAGAAGCGATTAGTTATTCTCAGTTCAACTGAGCATGAAAATTGCAATTTAAAGGAGTATATTGAAATATACAAATAATAATTAAGAGAAAAGGATATTAAAATCTAATAGTATAGAGAATAATATGAACAATTGTTTATGGATAATAAGAAAATTAAAATCACTCTAGATTTATTAAATTTTGAATTCAAAAAACAATACGAAAATTCTAATGATTAATTGAATAGAGCAAATATTTAAATTATAGAACTTTAAGGGCAAGTGAGCTCTTAATAAAGTAATCTTGCTAATTTAACTGATTAAATTGAATTCTAAAAATAATAAATCAAGTAATTAGAAATTAAAGAAAAAGAATTATAAAGTACTAAAAATTAATTGTTAAAATTAGAAGATTCTGTTTAAAGCTCAAATCAATAAAATTAATTATGTAATCCATTTGTTACTACTATATATAGAATAAAAAGAAATAGAATAATTAACGATGACTTTAAAAAATGGCAAATAGGAATATCTAAATCAATAATAAAAACTAATTAATACTGAGTAGGAGATTAAGAAATAATCCGATCTAATTTTACAACTTTAAAAATAAAAAGATCAATTAATTTAATAATGTTAATACCTTTAATAAGAATTAAAAAAAAAACAAGGAAATTTAGATCAAAGCATAAATTATGCCCAAAATTATTAAATTGAAATGAAGAATACCTTAGATTAATAATCAAATTAAATTTAGTATATGGAAGCAGAATTATAAAAAAGAGATGCTATAATTTATAATTTAAATCAGCACAATCAATAATTAAAAAGTTAACTTGAATAATTTTCATAAGCTGATTCTGTAAATAAAAATGAGTTAAACAGTAATTTTGTAAAAATGAAAGAAATGCACAATGATTTAATTTTGTATGAGAAATAGGTGGATACTTTAAGTTTGGAACACCATTAAACAAAATTATAAAATTAAATGTTAATAGATAGAAACAACTAATTAGAATTGGAAGTTACAAAATTAAGAGTATTTGTATCTCTATTAAATAGGAATAATTAATTTAATAAGACAATCGAATGAGAAACTTAGAAAATGAATTGTAGACGTATTCATTTAACCAAAAGTTAAATTCAACATAGATGCCTTATACTTAAGATTAACTTTTTCCAAATTAATAATATATTTCTTATATTAATACACCTAAAGGGTCTTTTAATAACTAATTTAATTTTTATAAATGAGAGAGAATATATAATATTATATTATGAAATTGATGTTATATTAATTAATAAGATCATTATTTCTTGTTAATTAAATTATTTAAAATCTCCATTTTTTATTATTTTTATTTTACATCAAAATCTTCTCTTATCTATAAAACTACTTCCAATATATTTAGAGAATATTATTCAAAGCTTTATGGATAAAGTTATAGCAGTCCATCTAATTCACTTTTTGGATTATTTATTGATTTAATAAGAGTTGTTAAAATTTTATCATATTATTGGGCACTAGTCTTACCAACCTAAGTAATAAAATCTTATTCTATTGAATTCATAATAACATCCCTATCTCTCTACATTTATGGTATAAGTAATTCTTTATTTGAAAGTATCATCGTAATAGCAGCTTTCTTATCTTTTTCTTTCTTTTTCTTATCCTTATCCTATTCATTCACAAAGCTTAAGTTTGTTAATAATTTAGGAAAGAAACCTAAACACTTTTATAATTTATTTGATACCTTTTGGAATGCCTGTAATAAATTAATATGTAAATAGTAATTATTCTTAATATATAGTGATAAGTTGTTTAAAGATTAATTTTACTAATTTATTAAAATGTATTTAATTTAACATTAATATTTAAATATCCTTTAGATAATCTTTAAGAGTTAATAATGCTTAATCTATCAAATTTTCGTTTTACCATTTAGGAGCAAATAAAAATGGAATAATTTAATCATTAATTTCATTAAAAACTAATTTGCAAGATTTTTCTAACAATTAATTAATTATTTCATTGAAACCTCCAGTTAAATCTTAATAAAATATTTATTAGACTCTATCTGAAATTAATTCATTACAAAATTTTAAACAATATTCTTTTGTTTCATTAGAATATGTCATGCATTTATAATAATTATTAGTTTATAAAACTAAGAGATAAAGAGGTGAAACTTCTCCTTCTTATTCGCTACTAGGAAGTTCATTAATAAAATCTTTGCATTCCTTTTTCAATACTTCTGATAAAGTTCCACATACAGAACGAATAAATTCAATAAATATTTCTCCTTTTAGATTAGGACCTAAAATATCTAATTATTAATTGATAAAATGGAAAATATCTTCTGGGAAATAAGTTAATAAATCTTATTTAGTTCTAATAAGTTTAGTGATATTCTCTAAAGTTTATTATTCACTTTTATCTTTTCTAATTGCTTTTTCTGAAAAATCAATAATTAGATTATTAACATGATCTTAAAAAATTGGCATATAAGACTTCACTTTACATCTTAATGCAACATAAGATTCAGTTTATTCACCAACTCTACTAAGTAATTATTCATATGAATCAACCCAACTTAACAAATTTATTAAAGTACCAAATGATTCTGTTACTTTTTATTCATCTTCAAGGAAAGGGATTATTCTCTTTTCTACATTTACTTTATATTAATCTTCAATTATTTTAAATATATTATAATGTTTTGGAAAACATTTAACAGTATGATCAAATGCTAAAATCAAATCCGCAGAAGAAAACTTAGATTGTTCTAAAATTTAAACAGCATCATTTGCATCTTTCAACTTTTAATTAAACTTTTCATCGATACCTTTTTCTATTGTTTGTATTACTCTTTTTTTATATATCAAATCCTTCTTTCTTAATTCTCTAGATTTATCAGCTGTTTCGATTATCTAAAGTGCTTTTATTAATTATTAAGGCTTTTTTATAGATGCATCAATTGTGGTAAGAAATATCTCAAATATCTTATCATAAAACTTATTCTCAAATTCTGATAAACATTAGAATTCATTAAGTATAACACTCAAATCTTATTTATATTAAGGAGATGTATTAACAGCTTCAATGATATTATCTCTGATATCAACTAAAGCGATTAATTTATAATGAAGATTTTCATAGTCAGCATTTCCATTCTAAAATGTTTAATTCATTTTATCGATTTCTTCTTATACTTTAAAAATATATTTCATTTGATCAAGCATTAATCCTATATTTTTTCTATAAAAAAATATCCTTTCATAGCTAACTAATTCTCTATGAAATTGAGCATCTTTATCAAATTCTGAATTTAAATTTGTTATTTATTATTCACATTTTTCAACATTATTAAAACATTAATCCATAAAATTTTTTGTTTTATTTAATGCATCTATTTATGATTAAATCATCTTCTAAATTTTTTTATCTAATTCCAGTTGTTATTCAATAAATTAATTGAGTAATTTATCAAACTTCTCATCATCCTAATAACTTGGATTACTCAAGATTTCTATAATTGTTAGATTTGCAGCAGCTTTAGCTTCCTCTTCATTTTAAAATACTTTTTAGCATTAATGCATATTAATTAATAAATATAATTAAAAATATTTAATTGAGTATAAAATATATATTCCTCAAAGAATTGATGTATATGAATTTAATAACCAAAAGTTATTCTATCCTCTTAAGATTATATTGTAAAATGAAAGATTTGAAATATTTTGATGAAATAATAAATCATTATATAATTTTGTTTTAAGAATGGATTAAAATTTAATTAATTATATTTCATTCAGCAATTTCTTCATTTCTATTACTACTCTCATCTTAGTTAAATATTTATGAAACTTATTGAGAATAGATAACACCTCCAATTTTTAAGTTAATTTTAGCAGGAGTGTATGATTTTTGTCCAGTTTAAGCAAAACCCTAATAATAAAAAGATATATTACTTTAACTACTTTATCAACAACAAATTAATGTCTTTTATTAAGAATAGTTGCTGATTCTGGTTCATCAGGTACTAAAAATCGAATAAAATATTTTAATGCTAAAAACACTACTAGTAAAACTGAAAATATAACAATTTAATTAGTTTCTATAGTTTTAGAAGTATATACAATTAATCCAGAATTAGAGAAAATTCCAAAAAATGTGATAACTTCTAAAATAATAAGCCAATTTCCAATAGTAGCAGCACCTTAAGGAAAAGGTCTCCTTGAAACTCTGATTAACTTAAACTTATCTACTTAAATTTCAATTATATTAGAAACAAATGCTAAAATATAACATGATGGGAAAGCAAGCCCAAAAAGAGCAAGATATGAAAATTAGATTACAAGTTCCATATAATCATTGACTGTTCCATCTACTTCTTCATTAGTTTAATATGGTTCTAGTTCCATTTGATCATCAATAGCTGAATCAATTAATTTAAATGCATGTTCAACTTCTTTGGCAGTTTTTGATTTCATTTACTAGTATATTATAATTATAATAGTATACTTTAGTAACAAAAGCTTTAATATATGGAGTTGCTAATTCAGGAATGTTTTTACCTATATTAGATAAGAAAATGACTGTCATTTGATTTGATAAGACTTAAAAACAATCATCTTGTATTTCTTCACTTACTTTACATAATTGTAATTATGAAAAATATCCTGACAAAAAGGATATAATAAAAAAAGAATTGAAACTAAAATAATAAATATAATAGTTTACTTATTAACAAACATAAATATGAATATTTTTGCAATAAGAGAATTTTCATAAGATGACAATATCTTATGATTTTCATACATATTAAAAATATCACTTAATTTTGAATAAACAAAGTTAAAAAAGTTAATTTAAATAAAATTTAAAAGAGCTGGAACATTTTAAGAATAAAATGGATCAGCTTTCTATTATAACATTAAATTCTTAAAATAAAATATTCCTAACACACTACCAATAACACATCCAATAATTAAAAAACTAACAGCTAAAGAAAATAATTATTTCATTTTTCTAAGAAAAGGAGAATAAAATTCTTCATTTAAATCATCATTTGTAATTGATCTAATATATTTTCCTTAAAATGCAGGTCTTTCAGCTTCGTCTTCTTCAAAATTTTATTATCCAAATTAAACACTAAATAAAATTTATTCTCTTTTCCAAAATTCAATAAAGAAAGTACTCCATATGATAATAGCTAAAGAAAATAAAATAATGACAGTTGATTTAGCTTCTTCAGTAGAAGCAGAAATTAATCCTTAAGCAATAATTCCTATAATTGCCATATACCAAAGTTATTTAGTGAAATAACTTAAAAAAGAGAAATAAAGTGCTATTTTTTCACCAAAATAATCTCTCATAGAATTTATTGAAACATGCCATGGTATTCTAAAATTAAAAGCACTTGATTTTTCTAAACTATCTGAATCAAAATCAGTAGGTTCAGCTTCATCTTTTAATTCATTAAATAAATTTTTTAATTCATATTCATGTTCTGTATCTTCTTTAGGTTACATAAATTCTCCTTCAATAAGTTTTTCAAAAAATGGACTTTTAGGAATTGCTTATAATTAATAATGATCATGAATTGGAAAATAAGCAGTTACTATTAATTCTTTTAACATTTTTAATATATTAATATTTTTTAAAACTATTGCATGAGTAATTTTTATTTTTTCCATATTAATAAATTCTGATCTTAAACCTTTTTCATTAACTTCATATTTTCTCCACATTGAATTTCCAACTTCATTATTTGGTTAAAAGAATTCTGTATAAGGAGCAACAGGATCTACATTTAATCTACCCCATAAATTTAATAAAATTGATTTATTCTATGTTATTTCTCTAATAACACTTGGATGATTTTTATACCATAATTCATTTGCATCTCCTAAAGCTTTTCTAAATATTAATTTATATAAAAATGCTTAATTTTCTTATAAATATGTATTTCCCTTTTTTTTTAAATTTTATATTTTTTAACCAAAATGTAATAAGATTTCCATATAAATATAATATATTTCCCATTCCTTTCTTGTGATTTCTTTATCATTAATTAATTCAACTTTTTCATGACTCTAATCAATATTTAGTTCTTTAGCTATGATTTTCATTATTTTATCAGTTTCTTATTATTTTAAAATAGTATAAACTTAAAGTAAAGTATCATCCCATTAACAAATAATAGGATATAATGAATCACAATAGTTTCCTATACTTTAATTATGTTCCTATTAAATATTCTCTTCTATTTTAATTTCTTCTTAATCAATTTATTTTTTCTCTTTAAATTCTTACATCTTTCTAAAATTTTACAATTAATCAACTAATGCTTAATTTGGATCACCATTTTAATCTTTATTTTCTTTCCTTTCAGTTGTATCTTATTTTTTCTTATATTCATCATCTTTACTTTAAGCTTCTTTTCTTGAATCAAGAATTTCTTATAATTTTTTCTTTATTTCTTCATTATTTGCATATTATCTTATATAATTCTTTAATCTTAAAGGTCTGAAACTTTCATCAACTGGTTCCAAACTAAATAAATCAGCAAATCCTAATTCAATCTATTTTGTAACTTTCATATTTTAAGCTGATCTTTTTACTACTTCCTTACTACTTTTTAATATTAAAAATATAGATTCTCCAGTACCATTTATAAATTATCGACAATGTAAAAATCCATTTCTACATAATTTAGCCATTATTGTAAATCTTAATAATGTCAAAAAATCTTTTGGAGGAGTATTTTAACATGTCCATTCATATTTTTCTTAAAAATCATCTATTTTTGTTTTCTTTAAATATTAACCTTAACACCATTTCTTTTTAACTTTTTTAAATTAAGAAGTATCACTAATATCTACTTTTTACAATTCTTTTATTGGATCTAAAACCATATTAGGATTAACTTCCATTTTATCAGGTTCAATACCAATTTCATCTAAATATGCTTATTTTTTTTATTAAATAACTTCTCCTCCTTTTTTTTATTCATCTTCTTATAACTTTTAATCTTATTCTTATTTTTTATACATTCTTAAAAAATCTAAATATCTATCATAAGATGTTTTTTCTTATTTTTTTTATAGTTATTCTTTTTCTTCTCCAAATTATGAAGCAGTTTATAATGATTTCACAGTTTTTTATTTATCTTCTTTCTTTACATTTTTCTTTTTCTTCTTTTTAGAATTGCCTTCATCTTTTTTATCTTCATAATCATCTAAAGTTAAAAATGCTAATAAAAATGAACATCTTTCTTTTTTCATCTAAGATTTTGAAACTTCATCTGTCATTACAGTTAACATTTCATCATATATTTTTACAGCTTCTTTAAATGAAACTGGTTTATTTTCACAATTATCAGTATCTGGATTTTAAAATATTACAGCTAAATCTCCAATATTATAATCATCATATGTTCCTTTTACTTCTGCAAATTCATTTGGATTAAGAAATTCATCTTAAATTTTTTCTTCCTTATATTCTTTATCATTAATATCTTTATCAATAACATCTTTTGCAGTTTTCTTTTTTAAAAATTTTTTAGCATCAACTTAATTTGTAAAAAAACCTAAAATTTCTCTTAATGATTCTTCTTTTTAGTTTTAAATTTTTTATTATTTTAGTTTCTTAGAATTCAAAGACTATTTATTTTATACTTTTGATTTTCCTTAAATCTATTTAGCCTATTATGATTTTGGCTAACTTGACATTAAATTAAAATAATAAAATAATATAATAATTTGAAATTAGACAAATTATTTAATTACAAATGAATCTCTATTCAATTCAATCCTCTTCTTCACTACTAATTATCTATTTTGGACCACCGATCCGTCTATTAACATTTTACATTAAATATCTTGCATTACTTTCAGTTTAAAATCCCTAAAATCATTTAATAACTTTATTTATTTACCTTTACTGCTTTTTCAACAACAAATTCATGTCTTTTATTCAATAAAAGTGCTTCTGCTGGTTCATCAGGTACTAAAAATCTGATTATATATTTAAGTGTTAAAAATACAATTAAAAGTGTAGAAAATACTTAAACTTAGTTTTCTTTAATAATTTCAGAAGTAAATACAATCAAACCAGCATTTGTAAAAATAGCTAAAAATGAAATCATTTCAAATATAATCAACCAATTTCCTATTGTAGCAGCACCTTAAGGAAATGGTCTTCTTGAATAATTGAAGAAATTATATTTATCAACTTAGAGTTTAACTATATTCTGAACAAATGCTAATATATAACAAGCTGGAAATGCTAAACCAAAAAGTGATAAATAAGAGAATTAAATTACTAATTCCATATAGTCATTTACACTTCCATCAACTTCTTCATTAGTTTAATATGGTTCTAATTTTAATTGTCTTTCAATTTCTTCATCTATTTTATTAAATGGATGTTCAACTAATTTTTCATCCTTTTTTGTAATTAACTAATATTTATAATTAAGTTTTGTTTACTTTTAAAATAAATGCTTTAATAAGTGGAGCAACTAATTTAGGAATCTAAAGAGATATAATATTAGTTAAAAATATAGTTGTCATTTAATTAGATAGAATTTAAAAACAATCATTTGTAATTTATAAATTAACTTAACACAATTTAAGTTAGACAAAATAATTTGATAAAAAAGATGTAATAAAAAATTAAATAAAACTAGAATAAATATAAATATAATTACTTATTAACAAATCTAAAAATAGTGAATTTAGCTACAAGAGAATTTTCATAAGTAGATAAAATTTTATGATTTTCTAAAACATTAAATGATTATCCAACTGTATTATAAATAACATTAAAAACATTAATAGAAATAGCTTAAAGAATACTAGGTAATGTATTAGAAAGAGTTTAATCAAATTTTTCTTCAATCATTTTATTTTTAAGAAGATTAATACCTATAACGCATGCAATAACACATCCTATAATTATAGCACTAATTGATAAAGCTAAAAGTTATTTCATTTTTCTTTTGAAAGGAGAATAAAATTCTTCATTTAAATCATCATTTAACACTGATCTTATAAAATCTCCTTCAAATGCAGGACGTTCAGCTTCATCAGCTTCAAAATTTTATTAACCAAATCTTACACTAAAATAAACTTATTCTCTTTTCCAAAATTCCATAAAAAAAGTACTCCAAATAATAATAACAATTGAAAATCCAATAATAGCTGTTTATCTTAATTCTAAAGAAGAAGATGACATTATTCCTTATGTAACAATACTAATAATAGCCATATACCATAATTATTTAGCATAATAATTTAGAAAATTAAAATACAATGCAATTTTTTCTCCAAAATAATCACGAATTGAATCAATTGGAATATCCCATGGAACTCTATAATTAAATTGACTTTCTTTTTCCAAACTTTCAGAATCAAAATCTGTAGATTCAGCTTCATCTGCCAATTCTTTAAATAAATCTCTTAAATATTTTTCACCCTCTGAAGTTTCTTTATCAATAATAAATCCATTCTTTTTTAAAGGCTCAAAAAATTGTTTTTTTAATTCACCTTAACCTTTTAATTAATGTAAATCATGGATAGGAAAATAAGCAAAAATATATTGCATTTATAACATTTTTAAAATGTTTATATGTTTCAAAATAATTGAATTTGTAATCTTTATTTTTTCCATATTAATAAATTCTGAACGATGTTTATTTTCATTAATTTCATATTTTCTCCATAATGAAGAACCTGCACTACCTGTTGATTTAAAATATTCTGTATATGGAGCAACTGGAGTAATATTAAGTCTTCCCCATAAATTAAAAATTATTCTCTTATCTCCATTAAATTCTCTCCAAAAATTTTAGTTTTCAGCATACCATATTTGATTTGCATCTCCTAAAGCTTTAAGAAAAACTAGTTTATATAAAAAAGCAATATTATCTATTACTTCCTTCATTTTTTATTCTTTTGCCCATTAGATTTTTTTACCAAAACATAAAATACTTTCTAAATATAAATAATAAACTTGCCATTCTTCATCTGTTATTTATATATCATCAATCAATTCAACTTTTTCATGACTTTAATCAATATTTAAATCAGTTACAACTTCCTTTAATATTTTATCAACATCTCTTTGCTTTTTAATTACATTATATTTTAAATCTTTTCCTTTCCATTATCTTACTTTTATATATAATTTTAAACAATAATTTTCAACATCTTAACAATTTAAGTAATCAAATTCTGGTTCTTTATTTTATTCTTGTTCTTCTTAAGCTAATAAATTTCTCAAATCATCATCAATTATACGAACATAACTCTTTAATCTTAATGGTCTAAATTATTCATCAACAGGCTCAAGTGAAAATAAATCAGCAAATCCCATTTCTATTTATTTTGTTATTTTCATTTTCTAAGCCTATCTAGTTATTACTTATTAATGCCCTTTTACTACAACAAATATATGTTTCCCAGTTGTTGAAACAAACTATCTACAATGAACAAAAGCATTTCTACATAATTTATTAATAGCTGTTATCCTAACAAGAGTCAAAAAATCTTTTGGAGGTGTATTTTGACAAATCCAATCATAATCTACTTCATCATTCATTTTTTTAACTAAATATCCTCCTTTACTTAGTTATTTACTTATATTTTTGAATTGTTTTATATTATTTAAATCAATTTTAAGTAACTCTTTAAGTGGATCAATAATTAAATCCTCTTATTTTTTTTGTTTTTACCATTTTCGATAAAATTATTAAGAAAATGTGATTTCTGAAAATCTTTCACCTAAAATTTGCATACTTTCATTTCTTTACAATTAATATTATTCTTCTTCAAATTTTAATTATTCAGAATATAATTTCATAAACTTTAAATATTTTTAATAAGATGTTTCTTATTCTATTTTATCATTTTCTGAATTTTATTATGATTATTGTAAATTATTTTTTGATGGTTAATCTTTTAAGTTTTATAACAATTTAACTTCTTCTATATCAATAGGTTTATTATTATTAATATTACTTTAAGCCTATTATTATTATTCAATATGATTGTTATTTTATTGAGCTTCTTTATCTTTATCTTTATCTTTATCTTTATCATTATCTTTATTAGGTATCTAATTTTAATTATTTTGAGCATTTTCTATTTTTTATTTTTTTTCATCTTATTTCTTTGTCTTTTTTTCTGGTTTAACATAATCTCCTAATGTAAGATAGGATAATAAAAAGGAATCTCTTTCTTTTTTTAAATATGATTTAGAAACTTCATCTGTAATAACAGTAATAAATTTATCAAAAACTTTTTCTGCATCCATAAAAGTTACTTCTCCAACTTAAGCTTCTTCATCATCAGGATTTGGAAAAACAATAACTACATCACCAATATTACAATCACCATAAATATGTTTCATTTCTTAAAATTCATTTGGGTTCAAGAATTCATCTTAATATTTCTCAGCTTCTTCAGTATCATCACTACTCAGTAATTTCTTTTTGTTTTTTAAAAACCTTTTCACATCTATTTGATTAGTAAAAAATCCCAATATCTCTCTTAAAGATTACTCTTTTAAAGTTTAGATTTGCTACTACCTAATTTTTTTAGAACTTAAAGTCTAAGCTTTTTTTAATTTTGATTTTAATTCCTATTCATGTTATTCTTAATGAGCTTAAAGAACTTCAGCTAATGATTACCTAGATGCTCTTGAATTCCTTGAAACAGAATTGTTAGATTCCATTTAATTTATATATTTTATTATAATGCTTAAGAAATAGAATGAAATCTACACTTTCCAATAATATATCCAATTTTATAGTATATACTTTATAGATCTGTAAAATACTTTTGTAAATCTAATCAAAGTGGTTTAAATAGAATTCTTAAAATTATTTAGTTTCATTAATTAATTCATGCATTTTATTTCAGATCTCAAAATCTATAAATTTTTAACATTGAATTCAATCTCATAAAAAGTTGTACAATTTATATCAAATAACAATTAAGTCTTAGAATTTGTATATAAACTTTATTGTAAATTAGAAAAATATAGAATGAAGCAATGATTTTCATCCTTTAAAAAAAGAGAAATTAACTATTTATTAATTAGAATCATATCTATATATATAAATTATATTCATTAAAATTTAAATTAATGTAAGAATAGAATTTTATATTCGAAAGATAGACAAATATTAATAATAGATTTATTATTAAAAGATTATTGATTTAAGATGACACATCTTATACAAGAATTATTTATAAAGTATCTCTAAAAATTTGTTATGAAAAGATAATATCAAATTCTTCTCCAGTCTATTTATATAAGAAAGTATTGTAATATTAATTTAAATTAGGATAAAAATTTATAGTATTTTTGTGATTAATTAAATTCTCAAATAAATGAATGAAATATGTTGAATACTAAAAATATATTTTAAAATTAATTTGAAAATCATGGATTTATTGAAGAAACCAAAGTTTTTAATCCATTAAGATTTTTTTCTATGGCTAATTATAATAAGCTAGCAAAAAAATATGTAGGAGTCTTAATAAAGCATTTTTCAAATTAGTCAAGTTTTAATGAAAATTAAGCAGAACATTAGCAACTAAATGTAAATTGATATAGATACCTTTTTTAGAATGAATAATCCTGAGTTTATTTACATTTGAGACAATATAGATCTTGAATTTGATAAAATAATAATTATTATTCTATGAATTGACAGATTAATTTTTCCATAGTGGCTAAATCATAATCACTACTACATCCTTCACATTTCCATATATCTTTAAATACATTTACTTCAGTAACCAAATGACATTCATAACATGGAACATTTTTTAAAATCAGATCAAAACAAGGATCTTCAAAATCAGCCTAAATAAATATTAATAATTTTTACATCTTTAGAATATTCAGAGATTTTAAGAGTCTTACAACAAACATTTTTAACTCTTTTCATTTATTAATGTACCTCTTCATCTACACTAAGGATTGCACATATGTATATAAATGTTCTTAAAATAGACTAATCTTTCTTTTCTAAATCTATTTTTGCTCCTAGACTACTTTTTAGATGCCAAAATTTTAAAAAATTTTTCACATTTCCTTCTTCTTCTTCTTCTTCTTCAGCTTCTATTTCTTTTTAACTTCCATCTAAATTATCATCTGCAACAACAAAAGAATTTTCTTCATAATCTTCTTATTCTTATTCTATTTAATCTTCATCATCTTCAATAATACACCTTTTCATTTTTACTGTCAATTATTCAAAATTTTTTTAATTTTCCAATTACAAATATTCCTCATAATTTTATTTTTCTTTTTTGTAACTTTCAGAATATGCTGCTATCATATCATATAATCTTTAAGAATAAGAATTATTTATGAATTATACTAAGAGATTTATAATATCACTTTATAAATTTTTCATTTTCAAAATTTATAAATTAGTAGGTAAAAATTCTATTTCTTCAATTTAATTTTATCTTAATTCTTCTATTTTTTATAATATCTCAAATAATAAATGAATAAAAGGTTTTTATAATATAAGTGGTAAAAAGTCAGCAATTTTGAATCTATAATCATAAGCACCATCATTGTTAGTTTCATAATCGACTTCTTTTCCAAGATAATTATGTTTATCTTTATAAATGAGAGAAGTAAAGAATTTAGATTATTTAAATGTTACATGTTTAAATAAATTAGATTATTTAAAAGTATTTATGATGTAATCAATTTATGATTTTGCCATATCTTTTTATTATTTACCAGTATAAAGTAACAATTTTGTAGGAGAGGCTTTAACTATTTTAACACCTAATTACATTAATTTAGTAGTAAGTATACTAAAAAACTTGAAATTAAGTCTATTTAAAAGTTTACCTAAATATGGATCATAAAGAGGACTCTAACCTGAATATATCCATATATTAATATTGATAGTATGTTCATCTGATACTTACTCTTTATTTACTATTACATCATCCAACCATGAAGATACTAACATTTATAATAATTTAAATGCTAACTTAGCACCTCCAAGTTCATCTAAACTATCAAGCATATCTTATTTCCCATTTTAACCTACTAATGAACTTGCCTCTTTATCTAAATTTCTTATCTCTTCAGATTATGCTATTGTATTTATTGAAAAATGAAGAATATCAATTTCACAAGTATAACCAATATATATTCCAGGATTATCAAAATATGTCTTTGTAAATTCTGTTGGAAACAGATCTCTATTATCTTTCCCTAAACCACTTCCATACCAAGATAAACAATATGTTTTTTATCTTAGAACTCGTTAAAATAATATATCTGTTGTATAGTTTAATTTCTCAATATTATTCTTAAAAACATCTGTCTTACCTAAATTTGATGATGTAAGATTGCATAATGGAACTTTTACATATTTACAATGTTTTAAATATTAACCTACAACCTCTCTCATTCTAAAATAATCTTCCAATTGATATTTTACTATATTAAAATCCCATTAAAATTCTTTTCTTGATTCTCTATGAAGATTTGGAATACAAAATGTAGGAATCTAATATTAATCAAGCATCTTACTTTCAAACATAAAAATTATAATCCTTAACTCTACAAATATGCAAGTTCCTTATTACTTTATAAGATACATAACTTTGCTCCTTAACCTCTAGTTTCAAAATTATTGGAAATGTAATCAATGGCTAATTTGTCATCTTTCCTAAATAATTGAATTTAATAAATACATTGATTGAACTGTGATTTTATTTTTCTCAAGGAGTGATACATCAAAGAATTTGCTTAACTATTTCTTTTTAAATTCAAATTATTCTTAAACAGATTTCATATATTGATTTAAATCTGAACGATTCACTTTTTCTTCAGATTTCCTTACAATAATTATTAAGACTTCATCATTATTGAAAATTGACCAAACACCACAATTATCCTACAATTATAAATGAAGAATGATATATGATGATTGATATAAGGAATTAAAAAGTTTATCTAAATATTATTATTAACAAGATTGTTCGTAAACTATTTGTAAATCTTTAAATTAAAAAATGTTTTTTTATTTTTGAACATATTATCTATTAACTTTACACATAGCACCTAATTCTGTAACTAATTTAAAGATTAATGGAATCTTATGTTCATATAGACTTTCTGTATTTGGATTGGATTCATATTGAAACAATTAATTGTATTTCGTTTGAAATTCAGATTCATTCAAATCAATCTAATAGAGAAAATGAACTTTTTTATCTCTTGGCAAAGTTTTCTTAACAGTTTATTTATCAGGCTCTTTAGTGTATTGATTTGTATAAATTATTCTATCAACTTGTATTTACACACTTGTTGAGGTACCATTTTCTAACAAAATCCAAGTCAAGAAGAGACCTGGTTCAATTTCATAAAATTATAAAATTTACCAAACTGAATGTAAGAGTTGTTATTTATTAAATTTGATCATGTTCTTTAAATTACCCATATTGGTACTATTTTTATTTTATTGTTTATTTCTAAATTCTTTGGTCCAAATTTATTTTTGAAATTTGAGAAAATTTTTAAAATCAGTTTCCATATTATATTGATTATGTAATTGTTTTTAATTTTCATCATTATTTATTTATGTTTTTTTTTTTCCAGAGATTAATTTATTATCTTCTATTTCCATGGGTTAGAATCTAAATTATGCTAATTGATGAGCTAATTTATTAATTTATGTAAAATATTTATTAATTTTAGTTTATTATAGTCCTGAGGCTTTTTCTCTAAGTTTTTTTAATAACCATTCAGGTGGATCTACTTCAGGAATAGGGTTTTCAATATTTTAGAGAGCAGCTGGTATGACTAATAATTTTAATATAGTATTTTTAAGTCTTTCAATATAGTAATTCCAATCAACAATTTTAGATAAAGTTAAATCATCATCTTATAATTACGGTTCTTTGAGCCATTTTCTTAAGTATTTTTTTCTAATTTCTTGAGAAGATTCAAAAATAAGTAAAGGAATAGATCTTTCATTAACAGGAGTATTATGAGGTAATTTAGTTATGATATATTAACAATTTAAACTTCCTCCTTTCATTTAATCAGATCCTAAATACTCTGCTATTCTTTTGCCAGCAGTAATAGCTACTCCTTTTTATTTATCATATTCTGATATTTCTTTAGAAAGTACTCTGCTTTCTCCAATTAACTCTAATAGTTCTTATTATGAAATTCCTTCTCCTCCTGTAAGAAGTATTTTTAACAATTTTTTGCCTACTTCAGCACAAGCTTAATAACATTCAGTTAGATTAGAACCTTTAAGAAATTCTGAAAACAAATTTTATTAGAACAATTTGATGATTTATAATTCTCCTCTCCTTTTAATTTCAAAACCTTTGATTTCAGCAATAGATCCATTTTTATTATAAACAACATATCTTTTTTTAAGTTGTTTATTTTCTTCTCTAGCAGCAGGTATTATCATACATCTATATGGTCCATCAACTTCAAAAAAGATAGACATCTCATTTCTTATTCCATACTCTAAAGTTTCTGGATCTTTTAACCATTAATACTATTTATTCTTATATTTTTCATAGACTAATTCATTTAAAATTTAACATGGATAACTGAATTTTAAATTTCTACCACTTTAACATTTAATAACAAAATCTTCAGGAAAACCTGCTGGTAATAAACACCAAATACCATCTGTATCTAATTCTAATGGTAATCCTATTTAATCAACTCTCTGTTTTGCTGTAGATATAATCTATGAACCCATATGAGTTACTATACCAGCCATAGGCATTGAATACCAACGTGCACCTTTTCTCATAACATAACCATAAAATGAATTTAAAATAATCTTATGTGCTAATTATAATGATTCATATAATGCCATCAAATCATGACATTCCTTTATTCCAACTCCTTCTTTCTTTGCCTATTCTAATTTACTCTTATACACCTTTACTAATTCTTTAAATTCATATCTTCTATCTCTAAAATCTCTTACTGTTTATACATAAAAATCATTCTCTCTCATACAAACTGTATCTTTTCTTAATTGTACTTAATGCTAACGAGTTGATTTATATGACTTTTAACAATACAATTTCACTCTCTCCTTTACAGTCTTTATATATTAATCTACTGGCAAATCATTTAACCCTTTCAATTATAATCTCTTTTTATCTCCCCCCTCTATTGATATTAATTTCTTCTACTCCTCTAATTCTTTCCTTCCTTTCTCATTATGTTCTTATTCCAATTATTGAATTACAAATTCATATTCATTTCTATTCAATGGAAATACTTCCCCTTTCCATTACCACTCTAATGCTCTTTAACATTTATTTTATGGTTGATTAAAACAACATTGTGAACATGTCTTCTCTTATACTATTGATACTGGTTATAATCGATTTGTCAATATAATATTTGGATACATAGCAGCAACATCTAAATGGTATATCAATGGTTTCTCTTTGAATGTCTCTCCTCTTCCTATCAATACATCTAAACTCTATCTTATTTTTTCACTACATTTTTCTATCTCCTCCTCACCAAAACTCTCATTCTCTATCTTTCCTACAAATCTAATCAAACTCTCCACACCACTCCACATTGATTACATGCATTCTTTATCTATTACAAAATCTACATCAATATCACTTCTATATATTCCACTTCTTAAACATTCCACTTTACCACCTATGTAAGTTTCAGAATCTATTAAATGACCATTCCAAAATCCTTCTTATTAACTAATTGTTTTATTCGGAAATATTATCTCTCTTTAAAATGCTTAAGCCATTAATAAACACTCACATAAAGTACCTGAACCTTTTCTTAAAACTTCATCAGGTGACAATGGAATTATTGTACAAAGTGCTAAAATGAAATCATGAATATGCTTTTTATATAGCCAATAAGTTGCAACTGAATCAGAAATAGAATAACCTGCAAATTATTAACTATCCTAAAGTGCCATGGGTACCATTTTTTCTGGATCTACTTCAATAGGTTAATATCCTAATTTAGCTCTGGTTACTGCTTTTAAACCATGACTTCCTTAAGGGAGATATGCATCTCTTTCTACCCATGCAAAACAATCCATATGAATAATATATCTACCATAATATTCATTGCTATCTTCATTTCTTCTGATTCCTATTTCTTCACCTAAATAGAATCCATGAACTAAACATCTATCATCTATAAAAGGCCAATCAAAACGATCTCCATTAAATGATGATATAATAAGAGGTTTATAATCTAAAATAACCTTAAAAAATCTAAGAAGAAGTGCTTTTTCATCAGATTCATTGTAAATAATTACATTTGTAGAAAATTCAGGCTTTGGAGCATAATCAAAAGGTTAGACTTCTTAGCCTAATTTTTGCATATTTGTAATTAGTATACTATTTTGACTATGAGTGATTGAGATCATCATAATAGGATCATTTTTAGAATCTGGAAATTTAAGTGGTTATTTATATGTTTCAATATCAAAAGCAAGATATCTTAATTCTGGCATACCAATAATTTCTTTGATTTCTAAACATTTAATAATTCTTCTTTCTTTTAATGTAAATCTAAACCATTTACAACATCTTAAACCAGTATCAATGCATACTCTACAATGATATGGTACATCATATTCTCTAACTCCTATAAGTTAATCTAACAAATCTTTTGTAACCGAAGGTTTTGTTATAAGCATTTCATTTTCAGTGAATTTCCTTTAGTTTCTATCACATCTAGCTTTTAATTAATTTCTAACTTAGACCAAGTCTTGTATTAATCGAAATTGTAATTTAATAAATTTATCTTTTTTTCCACTCAAATGATCTGGTTTCTCCAAATCAACTCTATCAATAATATCAACTTTAAGTATTTATTTTTCATATTTATTTTCTAAATGCATTGCTAATTCTTAAATATATTCTTAATTGCACTCAACATAGAAATATGGTGGAATGTCATACATCAATTTAAGAAACTCCCCTAAATATCACTTAATATAATACCATCTTAAGTAATAACATAAACCAATAATGCAGTGAATTCTTTTTCACTCTCATCATAAGTACTTATAACTTTCATATTTGCTACCCATGCTTACATTTCATTTAGATTCCTAACCCATTCTACGTTAAATTTTAATTCGATCTCATCTAACTAATTTTGTTTTTGTTTCCGCATATTTAATTAATTTTTGGCGGTATATGTATTTATATAAATAACTCATTATTCTTGTACTGCATTTTTTATAGTTTTAAATAATTAAGTTGCCTCCAGAATCGATGAAAATTCCAAACAAAACCCTTGTAATTCTACGTAAATCTTCTTTGGATCAAATGCTTTATGTTTAATCAATGTTCTAATAAACACTGATACTAATCTAACTTATCTAGCTAATTGTTATGGCTGATTCTAAATTATCAATTATTTTTTATACAATCTTAAATTCTTCACAATTCACTATGCATTTAGTTATAAACATATTAAGAAATTAATCTGGTAAACTTATATTCTTTGATAGTTAATTCACTAATTCCAAAGTTTAAATACTGATCTTTATCTAAATTAAATACTCTAAATATCTAACTATTATTATTAAATTATACTCTTGAGAATTTAATCCCATTTTATGTAACTTTGTTATTATATCACTCACTAATTAAGGATTTTATTCAACTAAAAGTTTGAATTGAATTCCATCTATCTTATATTCTGGTTTTAATAGATTCAAAATCATTTAATGATCCCCTTATTACAATTTTGTACTTTATGCCAACCCCAATAAATGACGAAACCTCATCAATGGTGATATATTATAATCCCATATTGTTTAATGAATCAAATCTAATGTAATACTATCTTAAAATTTATTTTCGATTATCACTGGAATTGGTCTCATAAAATCACAAGAAAACTTCATCTCATTCAAATTCAACAAATCTGTTTATCTCAGTATTTGCTCTATTGACTACCCATACTCTATCATAGAGTTTTTTTGAATACATATTAGACATTATTACTTATGTTCTTCTCTAATTAGTTTATACATAAATCTGATAAGCATATATTTTAATCTAATTGTCGAATATTATATAGATATTATAATCGAATATGAGGGGCTTGGTTCTAAATATTATTATTGAAAATTACTTAATCTTATAAACTATTTATCATCAAATTGCACATCTCATTTTTACACTGTCCCTTTATTATTTTAAAATTCTCATCCAAAGTTTTATCAATCTCTACAGGGATTTTTGCTGATACTTACATTAACAACTTTAAATTATTTAATAATATGATTTTTTTACTAAATTTCTTATATCATATATATATTATTATACATATTCAATAAAGAATAGAACATAAGTGGTTGTAAATGAAATTCAATAGAGTATGTTGTTAATTAAAGTGTATGTTAAAATTATTTAATCTAATGATGATAGATATTGATATTTTTTATATTAACGGATGAAGGAACATAAAGATGGAATTTATTAAGGAGGATAAAATTCTAAATAGCAAAAACATGGGCTTGGAGTGTACTTATGGGATGTAGGTTCAGCATATTATGGAGAGTGGAAAAACGATTTGATAGATGGATAAGGAATTTTATTTTTAGGTGGATAGATTATAATCTAAGGAGGTTTTTAGAAAGGAGTTGCACATGGTTATTTAGTAATAAAAGTTGGTAAAAGAGTGTTTTATAGTTAATTTGATAAAGGAGAGGCTATATTCATATAGGAAGGAGAGAAAAAGATTACAATATAATAATCAAGTGCATAGATAACAAATGATTGTAATGATGATGCCGATAGAATATTATAAGGAATAAGTAAATTGTAATAAGGTGATTTGTAAATATAGTTGTTTAATCATTGTATATACTATGGGAATGTTGGTAAGGCAAATTTGCCAAATGGATTGGGGATAGAGATATCAAATTTGTTTTATTAATGTGGTTAATTTGTAGATGGGAAATTGAATGGTTTGGGTAGATTAGATTAATAGGAGGAGATTTATTAGGGATAATTTCAATAAGGTATATATCATGGGAATGGATTGATGATATTTAAGGATGAGAGAATCTAATGGGTGAAAGGTAAATATAATCAGGGACAATTGGTGGAGATCAAGAGCAGTGGTTATTTAGATTAAATGGAAACACCACAAGAATTAGTGTGTAATTTGTATTTATATCTTTATTAGTTACATTTAGTAAGAAACACAATTAATAGTATCTAATAACTCCAATCTCTAAAGATATTATTTTGGGTTATATAAGGTTGTTTGAAGTTATGTAATTTGTTAGACTTCGTGTTAATACTCTAACTGATATTAAATCATAACAGTACCCTCCTACAAGAAAATATAGTACTAATGCAAATACATTAAGTAAATCTGTTGAAGAAATTAAAAAATTATAAACTTAATTTAATACTAGAAATCTTAATTAATAAAATCAAATTTATGAAATCATTCTAGATTAACATGATGAAAATTAAACCTAAAGAAAAACTGATACATAATAATCTAGAACTAAAACTTAACCTACTGAAGATTATTATGAAAATAAAATTTCATTTGGATTACTAGAAATTCCAAGTCTTAAAAATTCCAGAAAAACTGCTGCTTTTTAATCTGAAGAACAATAATAATAAATTAAAAATAATAGTGAATATATTTAAAAAAGATCATCGTCTTAGAATGAAGTTAAATAAGTTTAACCATAATAAGTATAATAATAATTATAAACTAATGATCGTATGTTAACTCTGAAGAATATTTTAGAAGCTTAGAAATTAAAATACAATTCTGATTCCAAATAAAAAAAAACTGTTTTTGCTGATATTTAAACATCAACAGTTTAGAAAAGTAAATAGATTATATAAAAAAATAATAAAAATTTACAATGTCTAAGTGAGGTTGTTTAAAAAGAGTTAAATAGATCTCCACCTAGTGAAGAAAGAAGATCTACCATTAAACCTATTTATATATAATGTGATGAAAATGAATAATAGTAACTTAGTTCTTAAAAAACTCTGCCTAGTAAATTCAATGTTGATTATAATACGGCTTCTAATGATCATAAAACAAAAATTCATGGTTTGCTTAATAAATTTAATAGTATAAAAATCAAACCTACTATAAAATAAGGAACTTAAAACATAGGATTGTCAACAAAATCTTTAAGTTCAAAATAATCTATGTAAAAGGTTTATGATACAAATGAGGCACCTTTAAATAACATTTAAAATTGTATTTCTTTAGTATCGCATAAAAATACTGTTCAAGAAAGAAATTTATAAACATCATTTGAAAAATAATAATTTAAAAAGATGGATGAATCAAATTATCATTCTTGCAATGGTAATTGTACTCAAATTCAATTAGATGATTAGAACACTAAATATATTTAAGAAATTCGATAAGAATTAGCAGAATAAAAACAAATGCTAACTTAACTATTTTAATCTATGTAATAAAAATAACCATAAGTTAATAAAAATTAATATGTTAAAAGATTACCTAATACACCTCAAAGGAATATTTAAATATAATAATAATAGCCAAAATAAGTTTATGTTTATCCAGCATTTACATTTGTAAAATCAGTTTCTCCAGTAAGACTTTGAAAAATGATAATCACTTCCAATTTATAAAAATGTTTAATATATATTCTACTTTTATTATTTTTATTAAAATGTCAATTACAATCTCAACATGCCAATAAATTAGTCAATCACCTCTTAATTTAAGTACTGCAAAACAACTTTGGTCTTTTCCAAAAAGCAGTCGCTTTGGTAAATTAGAGAATCCAAATAAGTAACTGTGCTTTTAATTATTAGTTGTGCAGTTGCTTTTTATGATCTTCCTGATTAAAAAGAAAGGAGAGCTGCAGGTGTGGGCTATTCTTCTAAGTATAATAATTTCTATGTTCATATTAGATATGATTTTACTAAAAATGGACCTAAGACTCCTGCTCCTGGCACTTATAAGATAACTGGAGAATTAGATATTAATAAAACTAAAAATAGAGGGTTTCCCTTCGGTGTAAGCAGAGATGTATAAACAATTTATTATTTCTAGAAAATGTGGTAAAGTGGAATAATGGGTGGATTAAATAAAGTAACTCCAGGACCAGGAAAATATGAGGCTTAATCAACCCTCAGTTAAACAAGATATACTATGCGACCTAAAAACTCTTAAGATATTATGATTCTTACCAAAAATGTTCCAGGTTTGCATTTTCTATTTATTCTAGGACCTGGAGCTTATAATTATGTTTAAGGAATTGATTCTAAAGGAAGATATCCTATTTCCAAGTTTTCTAATAGTTGTGCTACTCTTTTTAATCCTCCAAGATCTAAGAGATTTGACAATAAATAATGTAAATTCAAATTTTCTATTTATCTCAGACAGCAATGATGTACCAGGACCAGGAAATTATAAATTAGATAACATAGGTATTTAAAAGGTAATCTTTTTATTTTTATTTTTTTAAGACTGGATTTTATCCTGTTTCTAATTTACATTCAAGTAAATGTAGAAGTTTCCCTCATGATATCCGAAAAACTTACTCAGTTTCTAGTATGTAAACTCCAGGACCTGGTTAATATCGATTACCTTCTGATTTTGGATATTATGAATCTAAATCAAAATCAATATCTAGAAATTGATCATAGAATTTATTTTTGCACATTATTAAGTGATTTTTTAGATTAATTTTATTATAATATATTGTTGTTATCATAAAATCTCATAATCAAAATTGTTGGGTCGATACAATTTTCTTTCAAAACTGTCCAACATATTGTTTACAATTTACAAATCATTTTCGTCATTTTTATTTTAATCATTTACAAAATTACTGTTACATTTAATCTATATTCTTTTTTTTGGTATCATAGATTATTTACTACGTGAAAAATGAATAGAAGTTTCCTTTAATAATGAACTATTGGCTTTAAGTGTTTTACTAAAATTACTTTCAGCTTATTCAACAGCTTATGCTAATAATAATCCTTTAAATTCTGTTCTATCAAGTGGATGCTTGTGAGAAAGTGTAGATACAGATTTGGATTTTTGACTAAAGATGATAATAATTAAAATACTTATGAATTATAAAAATAGGATTTGTTTAAGTTTAATTTTGAATAAGATTATTATTATTTTATTCATTCTTAGTTACTAATCCAGCATTAAAGGAAATGGAATTAAAATCCTAAAATAGTTAATAATATATTACACTTCCAACTGTATATGGTCTACTTGTTTGATTGAACTAAGCAGAATTAATGATTTAGTTTTATAGTAATTATACTGTTTGTGATTATTATTATTGATTATCTAATTATTGTAATGTAGATTCTATAACATCTTTATTTTATCTACAATTGGTTTAAGCAGTTGTTACTCTTTATAAACTTAATCTTGAAGGGAGAATGCCAGTTCTTTATTCCATTTCAAGATTAGTCATTCTTCTAAGAGTACTTTATTATTTAATATGTTCCATATTTTAAAGTCTTAATTCTTCTTTAATTTATTCAATTTGCATGTCTTTCTGAATTTTTTCGTTAATTGCTTTAACTCCTTGTTCTTCCATTTATAATATCTTTGGATTAATAAGTAAATTAACATATTTTTGACTTTGTTAATTTAATTTATTCCATAGATGATCTGGTCGACCCAGTAATGCTGTTCTTGAAAGGATTGGTTTAACAGAAATTGTATCTACTTAAACATCATTACGTTGTGAACTTAAGTTTTATAAACTACCTCTTTCTAATTTTCTTTAATGTAATCGCATAAGGTCTTCTTCTCTTGCCATATTATAGTATATTATTTTATTGCGTTGTAATTCTTATTTCTCTTTTTATTCCATTTATTTCAATTACCTTATTCTCTTTTCACCTTTTTCATGTTGTTCTTTTAATTATTTGAATACCTTTGCATTTGACTTTGCTTAATGTGGATTATTCCAAATATGAGTATTATCATTATAGTAATCATGTGTCTTTTTTTAATGCTCATTCATCGGAACTGTTTAATACCTACATTAATAAACTAAATACTCTGGTAATTTGGTTTAAAGATAATATTTATCAATCTCTTTTTTTGGGTAAGCTGGATGATTAATTATCATTTATAATTATTAATCAATTTCTTTTTTTTTAACAATAACAAATATTTATATTTCATTTAACAATTTATCAGTTCATCTTATATTCCATAATTAATCAAATTAATTCAAATATAATTCAATTTCATTAAACAAATAATTTACAAATCTTTTTAGTTTTAAGTTTTTATAACACTAAAAACTTTTAATTTTAATAAATTTTTGAAAAATAAACAGAACTAATAATAAAGGAATGGACAAACAATAAATACTGATTTCATCCAAACAAGACCTTTGGGATCTATAAACTCAAGTTAGTTACTAAATTAAAGATAATTGTCAATTATTGAAATTAATTGATGAGACAAATGAAAAAGTCATAGAAAAACTTATAAAATAATAAGAAAAACTTTAAATACTAATCAATAAATTGGATTACTTTCAAATATAACCAAAAGTCAGCTACCTTGATTCAATTTTGAAACATCAGTACTAATACGAATTAAAATTATCTGAAGATTTAGAATTGCCATGTTATAGAAATCGAATATTTTCCATTCGTTTTAATCTCATGTATCAAGACTAAATATTCATTAATGCAAACAAAATCATAGTTGAACTCGAGATGTATTATAATTAAATTATTTCTAAGTTGGACATATGACGAATTACCAAAAAAGTTGTAGCATAACAATCAAGGAGAATCAATATATAAAGGCTGTTAATAAGCATTTATTAAAGAAGGAGTAGGACGTCTTAACAAAATTTAGATAAAGGAAGTATCCTCTCATTTTCCAAGAGGATAATTTGTACTAGTAATTGTACCAGTAAATGATCATGGTGTAATCGGGAATCAAAAGTAATTATTTATTATTAAGGTATATTAGATTAGGTTAGATCAAAAAAGAGTGGATCAAACCATTAGTCTTATATGAATTTGTTGTTAAAGCAAAAAGATTCTCAAATCGTCATATTCCTTATTTCATTCGAAAAGATGGAAGTATTAGCATGAAACCTATCTGATTAATAATAAATAATTTATATATTATATTTAATTATTTAAATTTTCAGAAAGGTTATTACAAAGAGAATGAGTATAAATAAGTAATAATATTCAATTATTAATCTCAATTTCACTACTTTTATTCGTTTAATATTTTTTATCCGATTTCTCTCAATCTCCGAGCAGCAAATTTGTATACATCATTTATTTATACTTTTTATGTTAGTATTTCAGCAAAAATCACCATAAATATCTTTTCTAATCCAGTTTATTTTAAATATTCTTATAATCTTTTTGAATCTAATTATTGATCTGTTTAAGTTTTCAGAATTTAAATACTTAAGACTCCAACAACTATTTATTCATGTATAATTTTTATTTCATTTATTTGTTTAGTAAATAAGGTTTCTAAGAGTTGATTTGAGTAACCTAATTATTTATTATCACTAATTAATAAGATTTAGAGAATTTAATCTTGATCATCATAATTAAGTTTATAAATATCTCTGTCTTCAATATTTTGAATTGTTATTACTTATTTGATTTCATTTACTTTTGATATAATGGTTAATTATATTTAAATGTTTCGTTCATCAAGTAAATTTAATTTGACTTATCTCAATTAGATCTCTATCTAATTCTTTTGTTGGGAAATTTCTGAGTCAGCAATTTCATTTATCATAAATATTAATGTTATTATAATGCAATTTTTTTCAATATTTTCTAGGTGGTTCTTTAGTAGTAACAATCTTTGGTGCTAAAACTTAAGTAACAGGCTTGACTAACTCCTTAGATTAGATAAACTATTTATTTTAAGATGTGGTTCTTTTTTTCTCAACAGACAATTATTATGAAACTTTACTAGTCTATTATAATTATGTTCTTCTTTATCCAGATTATTATTATTATTATTATTATTATTATTATTATTATTGTTATTGATTATTAGAATTAAGATGATGATTATTATTATTTCCAATCTTTTTATCAGATTCAATTCCATTAGGTTTTGTTACTTATTATTATTATTGTTATTATAATGGCTATGTCATAATCATTAATTTATTTTCAGATAATAAGTCTTATTAAGTTTTAATTAGATTCTCATCCTTAATCCATTCAAATTTATAATCCCATTCAAAACCTATTTTCTTAAATGCATCCTTAATTATTAATTAAAATATATATACTTTAAAAAGACCTCTTAAATAATTATAATCTGGTTTATCTTCAAATTTTAAATTCTTACAATAATTAAGGTATTGACTCATTTCAATAGGAAATCCTTTGCAAAGTGCATCTGGAGATGTTTCAAGTTTTTTTTCCATAATTCTTTAATATTTATCTTTTTGATTATTAGCTTTCATATTTTACCAAGGTAATTAACCTCTAAGTAAATACATGAGTACATAACCAAGTGATTCTAAATCATCTCTTCTTGATTATTCCAAACCTAAATGCGTATTTACAGAAGCATAACGAGCAGTTCCAGTTAAACTTTTACCTTCACGATAAGGAATATGTCCTTCTTTTGTTAAATATCTCTTAGCCAATCCAAAATCAAGTATATATACACGAGTTGCTTTTTTACCTAAACCAATTAAAAAGTTATCTGGTTTTATATCACGATGTAAAAACTATTTAGTATGAATATATTCAATCCGTTAAATCATTTAATCACCCAACATAAGCACCTAAATTATACATATTACTTATTACTGTTTTCAGGGATAGTCTTTTGTTATTTTTATTAAACAACTCTTCCAAACTTTAACCCAGTAAATCCATGACGATGTAATTATAATCACCGTCTTGGCCTTAAGCATATATTCTAGGAATCCCTAACTTTGAGTTAATAATTCAAATACCTTTATCACTAGGATCAGATCCTTACAAGTAATTATATAACTTTGCCTCAAAAAATATTTATGGATGTTTTGTATCACTTCTTTCTAGTTTCATTGCATATTCTTCTTTCCCTTTAGCAACTAAATAAATTTCTCCAAAAGCACCACTCCCCACTCTCTTTATTAATTTATAAACCTTTCCAATCACTTAATTTGTCAGATCTTTACCAATAGGAGTGTCCATTTAATTATTCAATAACTATTATAATATAATTCAAAATTATTTATAGTATAAATATGCCAAGAGCATATAGATTGTCTATTAATAAACAAGCACTTTGCGGCTATAAAATATTCTAAAGTATGCTTGTATCCATGTAAAAATAAGTATAATTCTTCAATATATAATTCATTATTTTTACCTAGTATACTGAATAAACTATAAAAAACTATTAACAGGAAAAGTTGTTCTCATTTTATTATTCCCACACTATTGATTTATTGTATATCTATAACTTTTATTTTCAAATCACCATTTGAATTTATAGAAAGTCTTACATTCCATAATTATCAACTTTAATCAATAAGTGTTCCTATCTAATTTTTTGAGAATTTTAGGTTATTAAATTAATATTATGGTTTTTATAATAAATCCTAACCTAAATTAAACTGATTTATATTCTCTAACTTAAATAACAATGTGATTATTGGTGTTTTTTATGATTCTGAAATATTTAAGGGCTAATAAAATATTTATTCATTATTTAATTTTTAGTTTAACTACAAGGTTGAAGAAATTTCATTTGATTTATCTTAAAAAATAGAATTCAGTCCTTTATGTTAGCTTAACAAAGTTCTTGGAATTTCCTACTGATTATTTATTAACAATCAGTCTATCGATTTTAAATTTAATTATATTTCAATCCTTTAAGATCCTTAGTTTTGAATTAAGCTTAGTTATTTGAATAAACTAATCATCTTTAATTATTGATTTGGCTCTTAATAGAAAAAAAAAATTTGATTCTTAAATTTGAGTAATTTATTCTATATACACATTAGCATATCTTAATCTATTTTATTCTAATTTTTTTTATTTTATTCTTAAATATTCAATATTTTATATTAATTATATTAGATCTTGATTTTTTAAATTAGCTTGGTTTATTTATTTTTTTAAGCAATTTCTTTCATTTATAAATACTTATTATATAATTTCTCCTTTAATATCTATATTTAAATGGTTTTATGAGTTTTACTAATTGTAAATACAAGAAATTAAATTCTTTTTTCTTCATGCTTAATAAATGATCTATACTTTAAGATTTTAATTTCTTGTTTCTTTCTTAATTATGAATTGACAATGTATCACATAAAAATAATCCAAACATTCTTTGTTTAAGATTTTGAATTTAGAAATTATTAGATATAATAATTTTATGTTTGTATAAGAATTTAAAAATATATATTAAACAGTTAATGGATAAATCTGTTTTATTGGAAATGCAGCTTAAAGAAGCATTAGATAGAGAAGCGAATTTAAAAAAACTAAATGAGTCATTAATGAAAGCTATGGGAGATATTTCTAATCATGACAAAGGAAAAGAAATACAATTATTAAATTAATTACATGATTCAGAAATTTCTAAATTGAAGACAACTCTTAGTGAGAAAATAACTATTTTAGAATATGAAGTAACTTTATATTAATATTTAGTATCGAAATAAATGTTAGGAATTTAGTAAATTGGAAAAAAATTACAATCAATTAATGTTAGATTATGAAGAATTAGAGAATAAAGAAAAGTATTATTAATTATAAATTTATGGTAGAAAATGTTATAAATGTACTGACTTTTAACTTTAGATTACACAAATTATAAAATAAAATGAAATTTAGAAAGAAGGTTTGGCTAGAGAGTTTTCAGAAGCATTAAATAATTAAAAGTCAATTTTAGAATATGTATAAAATTCAAACTAATGAAAGGATTCTAATTGTCTGAAATTAAAAGTCAAATAACTTAACTTTGAATTAGAATAAGAATATAAAGAAAAAGAAAAATAATAAAAAATAATGCAAGAATTGGGTTAATTACATGAATAAGCAGTATTTTTATAAAATAAATTAGTAAAGAAGCTTATTGTAATAAATAGCTGATCTTAATAGAGTTCATAATGAAACTATTATCCAAAATAATTAATATTAAACCCTTAGTTAAACAAGAGAGCAATCATAAGCATAAAAAATTTGTTAGTTAGAATAAGATAAAATAATTTTAGAAAAACATTTATTAGAGTAGAAGTAATTAGTAATTAAAACTTTTTTAGAGATTAGAATCTTAAATTGGAAAACTAAATTAAATAACTTGAAATTTAATTAAGAGATAAAGAAAATAAATTAATGGAATAGAAGAATGAATTATCAAAAAAATTAATCAATGAAAAGAAAATTGCAGAATAATGTTAAGCTGTAGCTTTGAAATTAAAAAATGATTTTTAAAGGAAATAATCTCTACTTATTGAAGAATCATTAAAAAAAGAATAACAGTTAAAATCAGTTTAAACTTAATTAACAAGATAAAAAAGTAGAAATAAATATTATGAAAATGCATTAAGTTAAGTTAATTTATTAGAGATTAAAAATTCAACTCCTAAATAAATTAAACATAAAAAGAATAATTTTTCTAATGATTATAATAATTAAAACTAACTTGGGCATAAAAAGGTATTTAAAAGTTGATTTGTAGAATGCACTAAGTTAAGGTCATGTTAATAAAATAAAAATATTGCCATCTTCAATATAAAAAAGTGAAGCTGATTCTATTCATTTTAATTTAACTGATATGTTAAATTCTACAAGAAATCCAGATCAATAAAATCTTTCATGTAGGTAATCAAATGAAGATATTGGATCTCATATAGAATAATTCAATTGTGCTGCAAAATTTGTATTATTAATATATTTATGAATATAAGGTTTAGACAAATGAAGATTCAATTATTCCAATGTAATAATTGACAGATAGATAATTATCTCCAAGAACAAGAAGTATTTTTATCATTTTTTAAATTAATAGTTTAAACAGTTAATCCAAAAGGACCACCTTAAAGAGTAAGATAAATTCAAGCTGATTTATATAAAGAGAATATAGTTGTAAGGCCTAAAGGATGAAAATTATAAAATATTAAATTTAATATTTTCAGGCCCAATAATTCTCCTAAAATATTATTTCTCTTGAATCTTGGAATTTAATAATTAATCCATTCATTTTCTTTGAAAACTATTGTTTTAGTCATATCTTTCAAGTCTTTAGAATAAAAATATAAAAACTATTCCTCTTTAAGAATTGAACCTGTTTAATTTCGAAAGAAACAAAAACGGAATTATATTATATTTTTTTTATTTATTTTCAAAGAAGTATCCATGTATCTTTAAATTAAATACAATTTTTTAAATCTAATTCATATTCATATATAATATTTTTACAAATAAAAGACTTATTGATTTTGTAACAAGAATAATTAAAATATAGAAAAGATTTATCATTTTCTTATGAAGTTTCAAACTTTAGAACAGGGTTTGTTTTTATGAAGGGGACTTGGATTTAAAATAATTTATTTTTTCAATTGCTTCTCTCTTAAAATAATTTAAAAACTCACACACACTTGCAAAAATAACCATTGCAACATTAGCAATGATAAAACATACGTTTTGAATTCCTATGACATTAAGTGTGTACTTTTACATCTTCATCACTTTGATAGTACGTATCTAATTTACACTTGAATTAATAAAATTTCAATTTTACATTTATACAAAGTGGACAATTCAAAGATAATCCATTACAAATAACCAAATCGAATATTTTATGACAAGTACAACAACTTAAGAAGCCTACACTTATTTTGCACCATGGACAGACTATAATTGAGTCATTCATTATTCTTTTATAATTTTATAAATAAAAATATAAACAATTGTAATTGTGTATTAATGCGTCAAGTATTTCTTTTTAATATAATAAGCTAAGTTATTAAGTTATTTATATATTTAGTTATTATTAATAAGTAAATCGATAGAAAATTTTAGAGAAAAATTAATTATATCAATTTTTATGGTACTTCTAATTAAATAATGTTTTAGAGCATGTGTGATTACGAATTCCTTTTGATTCATTAAATAAAATGCTTCTCATTATTAGAAATGCTCTATTTGTATTTTTTTACTATGGAAATAATTACTGATAAAAAGTTTAATTTAGATTTTAATTGATTTTGGGTTTTTTAAATTGTCTTTTAGGAGAAACTGATTAACTTGATATTACAAATTAATTAAAGGATTCTAATAATTGATAAGTAGTTTACAATTTAAATCAATCGAACTAACTTTTTTTTTATTTTAAGGAGTTTAATGTGAAGAATTTTACCCATTTAATTTATTATTTTTTTAAAATGAATGATCAGTATTTTCTCTAACAGTTTAATTTGAAAATATTATACTATTAGATTTATTTTAGGAATATATTCTAGCCCTTTTATTTAAAGAATCAATTATTACGAAATCATTATCAAGACTAAAATCTTTTATTGCATTATTAGATTTCAAATATTTTTTTGGGGTTGTAGAACTAAATCTATTGAATTTCCGATTTTAAGTTAGAGTACCAAACATTCTAATATTTCTATTTTAATATGGGGTTTCCAATGTAAAATTCATTTATGAAAAGTTAATTTATTATGCCTTATTTTCAATGGTAGTCAATAATGGATATTTTTATTATTAGATGTAAAGAAATTATTTATTCCTTTCTAAACTAATCTTGAATAATCTTTCAACATTATCTTATTTTGATTGATAGTAAAGTATCATATTATCAATATTTTCTCTTTAATATCATAATAATCATACTAATTTAATTACAAAATGCCATATAATTTCCAAAAGGGATCTTCGTAAAACTAAAACAAAGATTTGTTGATTTTACTATATATTTGCCAATCTGTAGGCTATTTAATTTAAGAAACTAATTATTTAACTTTATTTTCAATTCCTGAGTTATGAATTTAATTGAGAATTTGAATGAAATTAAATGTTACTAATTTCTATTGAATGGCAGCAAGATAATCAAATTAATTTTGGTTCTTACATTTTTCCATCAATTCTGAGAGTCTAAGTTAGAATCTACCTAATAACCTATAAATATAAATATAGGACATATACTTTTTATTGGATTCTTAGAGTTGGAAGGTTTTGTATTTTTCTTAAAATTTAGGAATCAATTCAACTAAATAATCTTCTTTACCTTCTAATTTAAAACAAATTCCTTTAAACAATTGATCTAAATCATCAGAACTTAATTCCATAAGGTTTATTATTTAGTTTTTAAAAGAAATTAATCATTTGTAATAATAATATATAATAAAATTATACAAATATTAATTAGTTCTTTAAGTTTCTTTTGAATTTGAATACATATTATCATTCTATAATTTATATCTTAAAATTGATATTTAGATAACAAAATGTCATTTTGAAATAAATAAAACATCTATAGATTACATAGTAATATATTAAAAATTTTAATGAAGAAATAATTCCATTTAGGATAAAAATGAAATAAATAAATTAACAAAATTTGATTGAATATCTAATAAGAACCATAAGATAGTGGTAGATATAGAGAGAAATAAATTTTTGTAATAGTATAAATTTTAATTATAGAATAATAATTTCTTGATTGAAAATAAAAAGTATTTATTGCTTAAAAAAAAGTATCATATATTTCCAAAAGAAGGATACTCAGTTAAATTAATTCTAAGAAAACCATCAGAACTTTTAAATTTCTAGTAAATTTCATCAACTTAACTTTCTGAAATGATATTTAAAGATTAATACCTGCTTTGATTAAACCAGAATTATTAATGAATAAGTATAGGCTTTCTTATTTATTTAAATGAAGTGTATCTCTAATAACCTAAATAAAATGATAAAAATGATCAGACTTGCTTACTAAATATTTTTTGATAGATGTTCCATCTTAAAATTTAAGCCTTGATCTATGACTAATTTATAATAATATGGGACTAATTATGATTAAGGATTACACTCTATCTGGATATTTTTCTACAAAATTATCAGACATTTTTAAATTCTCACACTACATATATAAAATAAATAAATATAGTTTTCATAATGATTATTCTTCGCCTTTTTTGACAATTTTTTCCCAATATTAAATGGTATCATCAATATTACTAATGCAATGTTTGAGTTTATCTTCCATAAATTCACTTAATAGTGCATAACAAGGTCTAACAATGACTTTGAGAAAACCTATTTCTGATTTGGCCATAATATGTGGCTATATGTATATATATAAGATAAATTACAATATGTAAATCTTTCATGTAAGTTTATTAAGGGTATCCTAATTCTCCTTCAAGTTTATATTGAATGCTAAATTCTTGATTAACTCTTGCTGACCATAAAATAGATAAATTAGTTTTTTTACCTGCTCCTCCAAAATCACTTGCATGCATAATATAACCACTTAAAATTTTACAATCATTAAAATCTTTAGGTCGATTTTCAAAATCCTTTAATAATGTAAAATGTTCAGACATATCAGTACTTAATATATTTGATATAAGACCTTTTCTAAAATTTCTAAATTATTATTAATTGAGATTAACAAGTATATTACTTTAAGTATTTTTAAGTACTTAAATTGTTAACGCAGCATGATGTTATTCAAGTACACTTTTATCATGATATCTTATTGCTAAATCACTTAAACTATTTATTTCAAAAACATTTGTTTTGCCAGTGTGTCCTACATCATGTCCAAAACTACTTATCATTAATATAAATCTATTAAAATTATCTATAATATTAGTTTATGATGTTTAGGAAAGTTCCATACAAAAATAATGAGCAGTTTACATTACTGTAATTCCATGATCATAATTATGATATGGATTATTGTTTATATTATAATTATATTCCATTTCTTTTATAAAACTTTACAAATTCTCATATGGAATTTGATAATCATCTAAATGACCATTCTTTTTTAATATAGCCCAAACTACTCTATGTTTTTATATTTAAGATGTTAAGTCCATTATATTGAAATCAAAGGTATCAATCAAATCATCTTAATTATTTAAAGAAAATTCATTTAAATCTAATTCTTAAATTGATTAAAATTTTGATTTCTATGGCATTTCTGTTTTTCTATTTCTGGGTACAATTTAAGCATTTTGAATATCCCTAATTGATTTAGATCTTTTAAGAATCAATTATTATAATGGCATATATAAAGAAGCAACTGAATCTTTTACTTCTGGATTATTTTCTTCTAATTTATTTACAAAATTGATTGTTTCATGTTGAATTAATTATTTTCTAATTTTAGCTTTAATTTTTGAATCTATTTTTTTATCTGATTCTAATTATTTGAATTGTTCTTTAACCCATCCTTTAATACTTTCTGTAAAGATTACTGCAAATCCTTTATAGGTTTTTTCTTCAATTTTAAGAAATATCTCATATTGTTTATCATTGTCTTTCATCATTTTCCATTTATGATCTTAGAGATAATTTTCAATATTAGATACAACACTTTGATCAAATATCTTATTATATGATAATAGATTAGAATGAATCATAAGCGAATTAAATTAGATATTGAAATTAGTTTTAATTTATTATGGTATAGGTCTTGAAAGGAATAATAAATGACCACTTTTATCAAATTCGAAAATAAGTGAATCATTTGATCTAAGAAAGAATTTATAGAAGGCACTTTTATCAAAACATTCACGAATGAATCTAAGATATTTTTCATAGAAATGTTTGATTTCTGAATATAATCTTTGATCACATTATCGAATTAGATTCATTTAATAAATTCTAAAACATACTGTAACAGTTTAATCTTTAAAAACTATGTATACACTTTCATTATCCCAAACTTATATTTCTTATTAGTCTGTTTATAATCTATCATTAAATCAAGAATACTTATCAATTTTATATGTTTAAGTGAGAATATTATACATTTTTTCAATGAGTACAAATTTAGAAGCTCTAACGAATGAAATTCCAAGATCAAGGATCATATCAGCAATAGACAATGGACTAAAAAATTAGACTTTAGCATTTTGAATAGTTTATAATAGAAATTTGGATAGATTCTTGATTTCATCTATTAATTAGTATTCATTAGCAATTCTATTTAATAAAAGTAGGATACTTTAAAATATCTTAATTTTCAAGTTGTTTATTTTATTTTGAATGATAAATGAAGACAACATTATTTGCATATAAACCATAAGATGTAAGATGATTTATTTAAATTAATTTGGAACAAATAGATGAATTTTAGGAGAATCTGAAAATTTTGTTTTCAGGTAAAGTTTCTAATTCATCATTAATAGATTTATCAATAGGAATTTATTCAATACTATCTGTTTTGGATTAATAAAGTTCAATTTCATTATTAGAGTTGAACATAAAGAAACTAAAATTATCACAATTTAAAAGATTCTTGCTTAATTCTTTAAGTAAACTAAATATTGTATTATAAGAGACAGTTTCATCCATAAGTAATAAATGACTTTTCATGTATTTTGCAAATTAAAATTTAACCTATTTATATGCTTCACTAAGTTCGCTTTCGATTTGATAATTAATATCCGTATTTAATGATTATCCTCTAATCAAAAGGATTGGAGAAGATATATTTAATGGTGAAGTTTAATTAAAAAGACTACGAATATTATCATAAGTCTCATTAATTTTAGGATCAATAGTTTATCCATCTTTTAATTTAGAATGAAAGTGTGAAATTAATTTGAATGCTTTTTCCATTTCTGCAACTGTGTCTGTATATTTTAGTTCATCATAATGAATTCCTTTAATAAGATCGACATCAGTAATGCTAGACCTAGTTCTTTTCATTTATCTCTGAATTTCTTATTTCTCTTTTGGTAATTCATTAAGATAGTTTAATAAACTATATTTAATTTCTTCTTCATCTTCATCATCTAATTATTTTTGTTGATTGTTACTTAAATCATTTAGAATATTCATAAGTTTTTTTTCTTTTGTAGTGAAATTTATTTTAAGTATCTGTTTCTATTTCGCATCTATTTAATTGCTATCACCTAATTCTCTGATTATATGAAAAAATTTAACATAAGATCCCAACTATTAATTCATAATTAAAAATATTAGTTTTTAACATAAATGTATTTTAATTATAGCTCAATCAAAGTATAATTCATTGAATTAATGATCATCCAACAATTAAATCATACCATCATTCTCAACTAGAGTATTTGTCAACATTAAAGGTTATTATACATATAAATTCTCCATCTTATCTATTGTACTATCAGAATCCTCTCCTTTTACCTTCTTTATATTAGGAAGTAATAAATCTTCATTATCTGATTGTATCAAATCCTCAAGAGTTCGTTTCTTTGTTTTAATACGTTATTTTACTTGTAAACAATCATCTTATAATTATTACTATCCTAAAAAGTAATCTTTCAATTTCTACAACTTCTTATTGCCATTAAATCTAGTAATCTCATCAATGCCATATTTACTTTTCTTAAACCAATTGATTTCTTAATTATTGATTACATTATAATATTTTGTTATTTTACTCTATCAGAATTTTGCACACCTTTTCTAACTCCTGTTATTTTACTACTATTTGTTGTATTTATTTCTAATTTTTTTTTATTCATAACTATTTTACATCAGATATATTTTAATTTCTATGAGGCTTCAATTCCATTAAAGCAAACTAATCATCGCCATGTTCTCCTGATTTTCTCTTTATTTTCTTAAGTAAATTTCTAAAATTTATATTCATTCTCACCTTTAATCCTTTTTAAAATGTGGATGAATAAATTCATTTTCTTTCTAATCACTTCTTGACTTATGAAATCCATACATATTCATCTAATCATTCTTATTTCTAAAATAATTACCTATCTAACAAATGATGCAAAATTCCTATGTTTAAAATACATAGGCAACACTTAATCTTAAAATGCTATTACATTCTTCACCAAAAAACCTGAACCATCTTCATTCCAACCTACTATATCTTATAATTAAGGATTCTTTGCTTTATAAATTCAAAATACTTCCAAAATATCATAAGTTTTCTATAAAAATGCAGGTATTGAAGATTGACTACGGGATTTTGACATTAATAATACTGTATATTAATTAACAACTTCTATAATCAATATTAGAAAATCATCGAATATTCTTTTCTTCCTTAAGATATATCAAAAACCATTCTTATGAATATTCTCGATTAAAAATGCATCTACCCCCATTCAATAATCTTTATTTAATATTAAAAAAATCTGATTATAAATAATTTTAATCAGTTTCTAATTATGTAAGTATCATTGATATTACAACTTCAATCTTTCTGCTCTTGATCTTCTTCTTTATTGAGATGTATCTTTCTCTTAACTATTATCAAATCTTTTCATTCTATCTTCATTTATTGATGAATTTAATTATTTTAATGGTGAACCTTTAATATCCATCCTTGTATTTCTATTTTATTCTGCTCTATTTTCATTTCTCTTCTCTTATTTAATCCAAAAAGATCTATCTGTCTATATTTAGCTATTTTAATCTCGATTAGATTGCTAAAGTAATCTATCAACTTTAAAGGTCTTTGGATAATGCAAAGTTTAATCATTTTGATAATCAAATTATAATCTTTCTAGAATTCTCTGAGTAGTTAAATTATTGATTATCGTTTCTTCTTAAATATCATTATTTAATTCAGAATTCATCTACAAAGAAGACTACAATCTATAACGTTATGATTGTTATGATTAGAATGTACATGTATTTTATCTAATTATTTTATAGAAACTTTACAACGAATCATTTTCACATTCATTTCTATACACTTTTGATGGAAAGAATAAAGTCTAAATTTCTTCACTATCTTTTGAAATTCTCTCATTTATAATTTTTTTCATCTCCTCTTCATTTATTACCTTATCTTTCTCATAAATTATCCCATATTTCTAAATACATTACTTCAGATCCATCTTTTCACTCGAAATTAATTTATTATATTATGAAATCATGCTAGTTAGACAACTTTGAGATATACCATATTTATATAGGCATTTAAGATATCTTTTAAATTATGTTTTGAGATTTACTTACGATGTATTTATTAATATTTAGTATCAATAATTTTAACATTTTACATCAATTGGCATTATTGATTTATCATCTATTCCTTTAGATATTTATTCTCTCTCTCAAGTTCTTCTAATTTACTGATGAATTTATTCAATTGAATTTGTAAGTCCTTTAAATTCTAACTATCTTGCATATTAATTTTAAATTATAACAATCATTTATTATAGAGTATCATTATTATTTGTAATAAAAACTAGAGAATTTTTCAAATGGACACATATCATCATCATGAACATCTCTCGATTAAGATAATGTCAATATATTGAACTCTTCAGCAATGCATCTAGGACCACTTTCAATATCTAAACATTTCTAATTGATAAACAATTTATCAAAGTTAAATTCATCACACTGATACTTTATTGGCATCTTTTTAATATATCCTTATAACCAAGGATGTTAGTAGATTTCTAATCATATATTTATTGGTTTACATTTTCCACATAATCTCTTTGTTTTATCTTTATTACATAATTTTGTAATAAAATCTTAAAGATTTTTAGAGAAGAAATGAGGGTAGTTGATTGATTTCGAAACTATATTCTTAATCATATCCTATCTAGTTTTTGCATAAAATGGTGGTATTCCAGCCATCATTTCATAAAGCATCACACCTAATTAATAATAATCTTGAGTATAATTATGTCCTTTTTATTCAATCATTTCTGGAGCCATGTATTCTAAAGATCCACAGTAAGAATAATTTAATGATTCTTAAGTGTCTACAATTTTGCTAAGTCCAAAATCAGCAAGTTTTGGATATCCATCTTAATCAATTAATATGTTTTCTGGTTTTAAATCTCTATAAATAATATTTTAAGAATGTAAATATTGTAATCCTTCAAGAATTTGAATGAATAGCCATTTTGCTTATTCTTCATTAAATCGCTTTTGTTTTCTCAAATGGTAATAGAGTTCTCCACCAGGACAATAATCAAATACAAAGTACAATTTAGATTTCTGGAGATAATTTAATATGAATTACAGATTAGAATGCACAATATAGGTTAATGATTCTACGATGATTTAATCTTGTTAGTATTTACCTCTCCTTAAAAACCATTTCTTCTTTGTCTCTTTCAATCATTAATCTTTTGTCAATCACTTTCATAGCATAAAATTATCCATTCTCTTTATTTCTTACTAAATAAACTACTGAAAAACCCCCTGCAGCTAATTTCTTTATTATTTCAAACCAATCAATATTGATTGGCTCTTTTAATTGTTAACGAATTTAAGGGATGAGAAGAACTCCATTCAAATTAGGTAAATTATAATGCATGCAACTTAAATGATAATCCAAATGTATATTATTAGTTTTAAATCCAACAATCTCTGCTGGGTCATAATTTAATCTTAATTAACTTAATCTTCTTATAACTTCAGATAGTAACCATCCACAAGTTATGTACGAATCTCTCAATTAAATACCAATCCATCTATCATCAATGGTTTGTATTCTTACAATGTTAAATACATTCTTTGTAATAACAGTTCGTAATAGTTCAATTTAATGTAATGAACTTGTAGTGTGTTCACTTAAATCATCATCAATTTATGTTTTATGAATTGATCTAAATTTTGGTTTAAATTGTCGTACGACTTCATTCATTTCCTCTTCCATAGGTATATCTGTATCGAACATTAATTAAATAAATGCAATTATACGATGTATATAATTTAAACCTTAATCTTTCAATGCTCATATATAAATAATAGTAGAAGATTATGCAGGGAGTGTTATTACTGGTTTTTAGAATTGTTTTGTATTCTAAAAGACATACAATACATCAAATCAAACAGCTAATGTATATTATAAAGACAAACGATATGATCCAGATTGTTAATATAAACAAATATACTACAGATTATTCATTTATATACTTCATAGTAATTTCTTATGAAAAATTGTTTGTGTCTTAGAATGTCCAAATATTTAAGTTTCTACAATTCATAGTTAAAAGCTCCAATAACAACATCACATATCACTACAACTCATAATTCATAACTTAAATATGTTTGTTTACATTTTATAATCGTTGTTCTAAGTATTTTATTTTGCTATTAACTCTAACTGGATAACTTTTGCAATCAATAATTTGGTAGATATTTTGTTTTGATACAATTATTAAATCAGCATCTGATTTTTTCACAAAAATGTTAGCATTATTCTAGTTTATTATAGCAGGTTCTTTATGTGTATGATATTGATAATAAGTAAAAAGTGGATAAAAACATGTATAACATTTAATTTATCATAGAAAAGATGCTTCATCTATCATAATGGATCAATCATTTTAGGAGCTCTACTATTGGATTTAGTTTCTATATTTAGATCATTCTTTGAATATCTCTATGTATAATATATTCATAAAAAAAAGAGGAATGCTGAATACAAATAGTTTTAATTATGTTTCAAGTGTTATGCGTATTGCATAGGTGTTTTGAAAGATTTTTATGTCTAAATCAATATCACTGAAGATGATTTATTTCATATTGCTAAAAAAACTCTAGATATTGTCTATTAGTCCTTCTATTGTCATATACGTTATTGGATTAGGATATTTAATAAAAAATTAAAAAAAAGAAACTTAATTATATTAAAAATTCTAATTTTCTTTTTTTCATCTATTTAAGAATGATCACAATTGTTTTTGGAGGTATTGTAATCAATCGATATAATCCAAAATTATTGTTGGCGATCATAATTTTTGTTATTGTTATTGTCTTGACAAATATTTTTAGAGTTGCAATTGAAAGAATTATTCATTTATATTATATTGAATAAGTCCTGCAGTATTATTTATTATTTTAGGTATATAGAGAAATTTTAAATAAACAAAGTTGTACTTAATAATAAAAATGAAATATTATAAAGAATAAATAATCAATAATCTTTTTTGGTGTTATTTCTTGATAATTTATTATTACTACTTTTATGACTTTAATTTAATTCTTCTTAATCAAAGGTTATTAGAAAATCTTTAATCTTATTTACATTTTCGTTTAAATCATTCAACAATACCCAATAAGAATAAAAGCTTTCTTTATAATATTTAAAAATTGTTTTACTTTTATTTTCTTATTTAAATTCAATTAATTAATCATTGTAAATCTCTTGTTGCTTTGTAATTGATTATACTTTTGTTTCTAATTCTACAATTTGAACTTAAAATTAAGCTATAATATAGTACTTTAAATTTCATTTGATTTGATTGGAGATTCTTATTTTTCAATTTTAATAATCTCTTTATTCTTAGGTGAAAATAGATGATGAAAAGAGATTAATTGACTTTAGAGCTAGAGAATCTAGGTTTCTTAAGATCTCAATTACTCTTCAATTGGACGTATGTACATTTAAATAGTATTTTCAATAATCTTTTCTATGAAGCAAATAATCTGTATAGTTAATTCTTCTTTTTATAAATCCTTATCATTATTGACAGATTTACTCTTTTAAATTTTCTTAAATATTTGAATAGATATACTTTTTCAACCAATGATTCAATAATATTTTCGAACTTAAACATTTTACAATTATTATTGTTTAGTTTAACTATTTAATATACACAATAATATATTCAGGATGCTTTGATATAAGAAGCAGCTTTTTATAAGAGTCCTCCAGACTTTTTCTTTTCTGTTTGTTCATCTAAGTATTTCTACATTTTTTCAACTCTTTCATTGACATCACCAAGAACTACCCAACAAGCATTACATTTCTCTATTAATTATAAATATATTAATACCTTTAACTTATCTAACAGTGTCATTAACTCTAGTATCATTTAATTCCTATTTAAGTTAATAAATTTTGTCATCGAATTGAGAAAGTAATTCTAAAATTTAAACATCTTTTTATACTTGATTGTATATCATCAGAAGTATTAAATATCTATAATGTTTATTTCAATTATGCTCTATTTAATAAGGAAATAGTAATTACTATGTATCCATTAATAAACTTATCATATTATCATGATTTTGTAATTTTTTTCTAACTCTATCAATTTCTTCTGTTTCTATCTACTTCCCATTCTCTATTACTTTTTCAGATACTCCAACACTTCTCATNTACTTAATAATAAAAATGAAATATTATAAAGAATAAATAATCAATAATCTTTTTTGGTGTTATTTCTTGATAATTTATTATTACTACTTTTATGACTTTAATTTAATTCTTCTTAATCAAAGGTTATTAGAAAATCTTTAATCTTATTTACATTTTCGTTTAAATCATTCAACAATACCCAATAAGAATAAAAGCTTTCTTTATAATATTTAAAAATTGTTTTACTTTTATTTTCTTATTTAAATTCAATTAATTAATCATTGTAAATCTCTTGTTGCTTTGTAATTGATTATACTTTTGTTTCTAATTCTACAATTTGAACTTAAAATTAAGCTATAATATAGTACTTTAAATTTCATTTGATTTGATTGGAGATTCTTATTTTTCAATTTTAATAATCTCTTTATTCTTAGGTGAAAATAGATGATGAAAAGAGATTAATTGACTTTAGAGCTAGAGAATCTAGGTTTCTTAAGATCTCAATTACTCTTCAATTGGACGTATGTACATTTAAATAGTATTTTCAATAATCTTTTCTATGAAGCAAATAATCTGTATAGTTAATTCTTCTTTTTATAAATCCTTATCATTATTGACAGATTTACTCTTTTAAATTTTCTTAAATATTTGAATAGATATACTTTTTCAACCAATGATTCAATAATATTTTCGAACTTAAACATTTTACAATTATTATTGTTTAGTTTAACTATTTAATATACACAATAATATATTCAGGATGCTTTGATATAAGAAGCAGCTTTTTATAAGAGTCCTCCAGACTTTTTCTTTTCTGTTTGTTCATCTAAGTATTTCTACATTTTTTCAACTCTTTCATTGACATCACCAAGAACTACCCAACAAGCATTACATTTCTCTATTAATTATAAATATATTAATACCTTTAACTTATCTAACAGTGTCATTAACTCTAGTATCATTTAATTCCTATTTAAGTTAATAAATTTTGTCATCGAATTGAGAAAGTAATTCTAAAATTTAAACATCTTTTTATACTTGATTGTATATCATCAGAAGTATTAAATATCTATAATGTTTATTTCAATTATGCTCTATTTAATAAGGAAATAGTAATTACTATGTATCCATTAATAAACTTATCATATTATCATGATTTTGTAATTTTTTTCTAACTCTATCAATTTCTTCTGTTTCTATCTACTTCCCATTCTCTATTACTTTTTCAGATACTCCAACACTTCTCATAACAGGAGTAAACTATTGTAAATATGTAATATTTATTACTTAATTAAAACTTTTAATTACAAGTTCTTTTATCTTAGCTAAATCTGATTCTAATTGATCAATCTATTACTTTATTGGCTCCACTAATTCATTACAAGTGATTTTAGCAACTTCTGTAAAAATGTTTGCTATGCTTGTCATCAATCTCTCTTTTTCAACCAATTTATCAATCATGCATTCATTATTATGATGAAAGTATCCTTTTTATTATTATTATTGTGCTTTCTTGCTTAAATACTATTTATTAATTATATTTAGCATACTTTATCAACAGCTTTCTCTACTTTCTCTTCAAAATCCTTTTCAGTATACTTTTTCATTATGTTTATTCAATGTATATTTTAAAAGAAAAAGAAAATATTTAATAGTTTTTCAATTTATTTAAGAACATAATTATTTTTATTAAACAAAACTCACATAATTGCTTCTTGTTGAATTGAGATCATTAGTTTGACTTGATTTATATTTCAATCTACGTTTATCGATAGATTAATTATTACTATTATTATTAATTTCACTTTAATGATGTGATTTTGATTCAAATTGTTTTTAAACATTTCTATATGATGCTTAAATAACTTTTTAAATCTATTTTGCTTTTTTCTCTGGATTCTCTGATTTGAAAGCCTATTAATATATTAAAGACAAAACAAGATTATCTTTATTAACTCTTGGAAGTGTACTAAGAGTATCAAATACTTTCTATAATGGAGGATTTTAAATAGTATGAATAGAAGGTAATGAACCATAAGATTAATGAACATTTTCAGTCTTAATCACTGGTTAAGATGATCTAGTTGTTAATGAATTGAATTCTATATTATTTTCATTCAAAAAATCTGCTTGTGTTTTTATTGTCATTTGATTTCTGATACAATTTTCATCTTGAGATTATTAAACCACTTAAGGTTTCTTCAATAATCTTGCTTAGTATTATTATAAAGTATTGCTGTAAACTTTTTATAATACACTTTAATTTTGACTATTAACTATTTTTATGCTCCTTAAATCTTCATCTGTTATATTCTATAATAATTTAACTTGAGATAATTTTTATCCTTAAGATTCAACCAATTTTTTATTTAAAATGTGTTTAGCTTAAAAATTTGGTTTATTTTGTTAGACATCTTGAGCAGCTTTAAAGATCTGATAATAATTAATAAAATCTTACTTCATCTTATTAGTGTATTGTTTATTATGCAGTTTAACATTTATTTTACCAATGTTTAAAAATAACATCAGAATTCTTTTTCATATTTTCAAAAATTTGATAATTACCTAAATTATCAAAAAATTATCTCTTTCTAATTCTATAAACATGTAATTTAGGTGTAATAACTTTGGCTTTAGTGAATCGAGGAATCTTTAACATAATTTCAACTTCTCCAAATCCTTAATATTAACCATAAGATGACAAAACTATAATTTTTTATCCAACTTTTTTAGATAATTCTATTTCACCATCAATAATGAAATATATATGGGTTGATTTATCATCTTCTTTAAATATAATTTCTCCTGCATGATGTGTTATTAATTTACATTCTAAAATTATACCCATAAATTCTGAAGGTTCAATATTGTAAAACAATGGCGTTTTAGAAAAGTAATTAATTTTATTATCTAATGCAGCACTCATATAAGGATTAATTAATTCTAAATAGGCCATCTCACTTAAATATATTAGATGAGTCTATTCTAATGCATAAACAGTTGATGATCTAGCAGTGTCTAACTTAATAGCAGCCTCTCCAAATGAACTTTTTATAGCTCTTTATTTACATACTCTCCTTAAAATAGTACTTTCAATATAATGTAATCTGGAAATACATTATTTAATCCATAGGGATCCTACTCAGTTTTCTTAACAGGTTTAGTTTCTTAATTTTCATTATAATCCAATTTGTTAGATCCAACCATCTTCTCTTTTGGCTTCATTATTACTACTTTCCCTTCTAAAATTATATAAAATCGCTTATTTTAATCACCTTATCTATAAACTGGATTCAATTAAGCCACATATTAATACCTAATTACTAAAATCTATTTTAATACCTAAATTCAGAGTATATACGACCTAACAATTCTGGAGGTACTTCTTTTCTAATCTCTTTTATCTTTTTAATTTAACTTAATTATTCAATTAAAATAGATGATGTTGGAATTATCAAATTCTATAATGTTCCAATACTCTTTCGAGAATATCTACGATAATAATTTTCAGGATTAACATTCTCATTTATTGGTCTTACTCCTAATTCATGTTTTATAGAATCTATATCAATCAGTTTTTTTTATTTTTTTATATCTCTCTACTAAGTTTACTTTTAAACTCCTGTTAACATTTTCTTTGATTCATCATCTGAATCAGAATCACTTGGCTATTGTAGAAAGTCAAAATTAGCTTTTGTTTGTATACTAAAGGTTGATTGCATAAAAGAAGTCATTTATATGAAAAATAATTGATTTTATTTAATTTAATCCTTATTTGATTTTATAGCCAATTCTTGATACAATAATTATTATTTTATTCACTTTGATTATTTAATATAAATACAAAGATTTCATTACTAACTATTTTATTAGAAACTATATTTCAGTTATAAAATGAATTAATTTCGAATTTTATTTGTGTATCAAATCTGATTTTGTTGAATTTTTTAAATAGTCATAATAATTCAATCAAATTTGAATTTAATTAATCTGAATGGATATAAAAAATAACAATAATATTAATTTGATAAAGATACCTTACTCTAATTTGAAAGATTGATTAAGTTTCAAAAGACATTTATTACTAATATAACATAGTATTAATCATTCCTTTTTTTTCTTTTTTTTTTTCCCCTTTTTCTCTTCAAATGGATCAACTAACATAGATTAGCCAATATCCATAAGTTTATTATTAAAGTCTTCTTAAAATGTTGGTACCATAATACCAGATAAGAGCGAATTAATTTAAATAGGAATTTTATGTTTTGCGAATCTATTTTTGATATCTAATACTTCTTATAAATTCAATTCATTCATTCTTGCTGGACTGTTTTTTTATAATAATTGAGAGAATTTATTATGAAGTGAATTTGATCTAAGTTTAGTTGCATAAATAGATAATGATGATGGTTGTTCATCAGACTATACATCAGCAGCACTTAGATTCAATAAATCTTTATATGCTCTTCTTGCATTAACAACTCTTTATGCAGATGCTTTACTTTCTAAATTGGAAGTATCAATAGCTGAATCACATTATCTATTTTATGATTATATAATTGTAGGTAAAGGATTAAGATTGACTACTTTTGTATCTTATTAATGTGGTAATCCAATAGATTTAGCTCTTCTTTTATCTATTTCTGAATATCTACTACCATAATGTTATGAATCAATTCTACGATCCATTTCTTTTTCTATTCTTGCTTTATTTTTAGACCATATATTCATTGAATTAACAATCTCTTCATCCATTTTTTTTTCTGCTGCTTCTTTTTGTCTATATGATATCCATCTATTTTATAGATTTAATTCAATCTCTTAATTTGATGGTTAATATGATTAATAATTTTATCTACTTTCAAAATTTTAATTTAAATCTTTATATTCTAAATTAATGTCATCTTTTTAAAATACTTTAATCTTAGGTACCATATTAACATTGACTTTTTTCTTTTCTTCATCTTCATTTCCTAATAGATCTCCATCAATAACAATCTCCCCTTCTGTTTATTCTTAACTTTATTATAAATTATCTTCCTATTCTTTTTAAGGCTATGAGACAATTTTAGGAAATGTACTTTTAGCTTAAATCTGAGGGATTATGTTATTCAATTAATTAAATTGTCTTCTTTTATATAATTTTAATCTATAATTGTCAATAACTCCATATACCTTAATTATGGTGCATCATAATGTTTATGCATTGTTCTTCTCTTCTCATTATAATCCATAAGTTATTCATCAATTTAATTACTAGGTAATTAATTACTTTAATCTTATATTATAAATCTTGTATCATCACTTTTATTACATATTTCCTTTTCTTATGTTTTCATTACATCTCTATTATTTTATATGAAAAATCCGTAAACCTTTTCTAAAAAGATTAATTAAGCATCTCTCCCTTTTGCTACTGCTGCTTCTCTTAATAAATTTACAATATTTTAGTAAAAATTATAACGAGTAGGCATATTTGTAATTGTTTTACCTTATTTTAATGATGCTTATATCTAAAAGAAGTATAAATTGATGATTACTTCTTTATTAAAATTTTAAATAGACTTGATAATCGTGATAAACTTTTTATTGTCTTCGAAATGAACACTTTTGAGTTCTTCAGTATCAAATAGTTAATAATTAAATTTGGTATGCCATAATCTTGTACTATTATAGAATTATAGTTTATCAGCATCGCTAATACTCTTTAATACATGTGACTTTTCGAAAACTGATTAATTCATTATATTTATATATAAATTTTTATTTTCTTAACTGATATTTTTAAAATGAACTCTAAACAATAACATATGACAGTTTGTCCAGCAATTTTAAAAGGAGATGATCTTCCTAATGATACTCCACTTAAAGTATAGAATTCTAATTTACCAAAACCTATGATTTAAAAGAAATTGATATCATAAATGAATAATGAAATACTCTATGAAAGACTTAATTAAGAGGCTGAAATATTTAAGTAGAACAATTAGATGTTGAAAGAATATTATGAATAAGAAGAATTACGTCCATGTTCATTTACTCCTTAAACACTTAATGATGGTTAGGATAAAAGATCACTTTATTAATTTTTATTTGATCAATAAAATCATGTAATGAAGGTAGAATAGAAATTAGAATAAATTAAATAAAATGAATTAGAACGTGATTTATAATATCCATATCATCCAAAAACAAATGAATTTAACTTTTAAAAAAGAGATGAAACAATTCCTACTTATGAAAGATTGTATAATTTGAATTAAAAGAAACCATCTGAACCAATACTATAATAATCCGAATCTACAATTGATTATAAACCATTAATTTAATAGAAATCTTAGAATATAGTTCGTAATTAAAAAGTAGAAGATATTTTGTATTAAGATGCATAAAGAAGATTATAGAAATAGAAGGAAGTATAAGAAAAGAAAAATACAACTAAAGTGGTGACTGTAAATGTGAAATATACATCAAATAATAGTGAGAAAATAGTTGCATAAAAATTTATAAGAGAATTTGAAACAATAATAGATTGGATATTTGATTAAACAGGATAAGATAGACCATCGAATGTATCATTTTCAATTGATTATTTGAAATTAGGAGAAATATTATAAAGATTAGGATTTTTGAATTAATTATAAGTTAAAGATAGTAATGAAAAGGCAGTAGAATATGAGAATCTTCGTTTATCTGAAGAGAGAGCATTATTATGTGAAATTTGGACAGTGTTGAGAGGAGATGAGTTGGGAGGAATAAGTAAAAGAAATTTATGTTTATTTTTATTGACTTTAATTGGAATAACAGATTTTAAAATTAAAGAATTACCATCTGTTTAAAATGAAGAAGTTCCAAATTATTAGAAATCTATATAACCTTAATAACATAAGATAGTGACTGCTCATTAACCAAATGATAGACCAAAATTAGGTAATATAGATAAAGATGGAAATATAATATTTACACATGAAGAAACAAAGAGGATATAAAAATAATTTGATATTTTATATAGAAATAGATTGGGTTCTGAAGAATTGAAAAAGACTGATTGGAAAGATGAAAATCCATATAAACCATAAATATTACCATAATCTAAATAATTGGCTAATTAATTTAGAGAGAAAGTATTAGAAGAGACAGCTAATTTAATTGATAATTAATTGATTAAAGTTACTATTCCTGAGAATGGATAAATAACACATGCAGATTTATTAGTATTATAAAAGAAAGCAGTAGAATATCATAAAGAATTAAAGAAATAAGAAATATTGTAATAACAATTAGAAAAATGTCCATTTAAACCTTAATTAATGAACAATGGAAATAATTAATCTGTTGATGAAAGAAAGAGTTAATAAAAGAAATCAGAGAAATATTTATAATTATATTAATTAGCTAAACCAACTACATAAAAGAGAGATCGAACAAGAGAGGAAATAGAATATGAAAAATAATAGGAAGAATGTACTTTCTAACCAGATATATCAAATAAGGGAATTTAGTAATAGAAATAAGAGAATCATTTTGTAAATAAAGATATTGATAAAACAGTTTAGAGAATGAGATAAGCAAGACAAAGAAGAGAAGAAGTATAAGGAATGTTAGAAAGAGGATATAAAAGTAATAAACCTGTGTAATAATAATAAATTAGCTAATAGATAAAAGAGAGCAGAAGCTAATCTTAGAATCAATTAAAATAGACTACATAATCATCAAGATAAAAAAGTTTATAATCTCAAGAATCTTAACAATTGAATACTTTTTAATCATAGAATTTCCATATAGATGAATCTTAACCTAAAGAAGAATAGAGTATTGTTAGATCAGGCAGTTGTAAATTTATAGTATTATTAATTCACTGTAGAACAAGATGAAAGAATTCCCTTATTATTTGTAGATGTTAATCTCGGACCTAATAAAACTGAAAGAATCGTTGTTTATGAAGGAGATTAATCTATGGATTTAGCTGCAAGATTCGCTTAAGAACATAGTATTTAGATATATATATATATGTAGATCTAGATGAATTTATGTAAGATAAACTTAAAGAGTTACTAGATTATTAAATTAGTGGATTATTAACTAAAATTGATGAAGAAGAAGGAGCATTAAGTGATAATGATTAATGACATATATATATATATACTAAAAATATCATTATGATAATTATCTAAAAGATAATTTACTTGATTCTTAGGATCTTCTTTCATTTTCCCTCTCTTTTTATAATTACCATTCAATATAACGTTCATCTTTTTTCAAATTTTCAATTCCTTATCTAGTCCATTAATTCACTAAATTATTATATATATTAGGTTAATATCGTGTATGTTACATATCATATGTCTCTTAATTTTCAAGCTTTTCCAAATCTCTTTAATAATATCATCAATTACCTTAGACTAAGCAAAAAGAAGATCAAAATTAAAGGAAACAATAAATAGATAGATATAAGTATTCTTTGATCATAAAAGTCTCGAAAATAAGATGATAATGCTTCGCCTAAATAAAACTCTGATGCCATTTATTGATGTTATTTAAATTAATAATCATATAAATTTTTGTCATTTTATTTTCATCAAAAATTATTTTTTACATAAATCATCAATGATTATTACTGTAATATTGAATAATCTATATTATGTATCTTATCTTCACTTATTTTGATAAACTACTAATCTCATGCTTCTTTAATCTATTCAAATTAAACTTTATTCATTTATTACATCATAAATCAATGTAAATATACTTAATAAAATAAAAGATCTGATTCTTAGAGATATAGATATCCTTAACCATTAACAATACTCTTAGAATGTATATTTATAATTGTACCAATAAATCATATTTTCTTTATATATCTGATATTCATTAGATATTGAATTCATCTAATTTTATATACCAAATTTATATATTAATTGTTACTTTTTGATAACTTTCAATCCTAACTCTTGTTTTCGTATTTTATGTTTTTAGTTCACAACTAATTTTTACTAATTAACTGCAGATTTGTTTATCATATCAATATAAATCATTCAAACTATCATTATAACTTGTTTTTGAACAAGGAAATATGAAATCGTTAAAGTACATTATAATTATTAATATAATGAATCATAGGTCAATTAGACCATCTAGTGCTTAACAAAATATTTCACATATAAGTGATAAGAATGTATCCTTTCATAAGAAGTACTATATACCTTTTAATCTAAGTCCTTATAAGTAACCCAATCTACACAACGTTTCACAATATAGAGTCAAGGAAAGTGAAAAACTTTTTGAAGAGAGCTTGTAACTTAAGCTTTTAATTAATTAATTGAAAGATGAGAATATTAAGCTCAGAACAAGAAATACTAATTTAGAAGTAATATTGCAATCATCATCTAGAAAGACTTATAAAAATGTTAAAAAATTATAGAAGAAGTAGAAACTACTGGAAATATGAAACGATTTTATGCTAAGCCAAGCACTGATAATTAAATGATTCTTAGTTTTAAAGGTTAAATTAAAGAATTGCGATTTAATCTTGATTAAAGAGAATAAGAGATGTTAACTTTGAAAAAGTCTGCAAAATACACAAAATTGACAGAAATGGAAATAGAACGTAAAATGTTCCAAGATGAAACAATTCGATTAAAATAAGTTATCGATGAATTGGTACAATAAAATATATATGCTTAATAAAAAGAGCATGATTAATAAAAATTATAGGATAAGATTGCATAATAAGATAATCTAATTAAATAAATGTAATAAGATATAGAATCATATGAAACAGATAATAAAAATCTTTAATCACAATTATAACAGTTGATTTAAGCTTACCAAGATCTTGATAGAGAGTTTACAAAACTTGATTAAAATATGTAGACAAAATTGAAATCAAAAGATAAACAATTAATTGAACTAAAAACTTAAATAACAAGATTAAAAGAATAATATGATAAAGAAAAGAAATTACATCAATAACCAAAATTTAGTCCTACTCTAAAAACACATAATAAAGTAACAAAACGTATTTAGAGTGCTAAACCACCTGAATAGATTATAAAGCCAATCTAAATAGATGAAGTAAATCACATAATTTAAGAGATTAAATATAAATTAATAGCTTTATCATTACATTCAAAATAGATTGATACTTTATTATTAAATTAATAATAATAATAAACAACAATAGGATAATTGACAGAAAAGTTGATAAATGATCCATTTTTTTTGAATAAAACAGATGCTAATAATTTAGCTAGATTTTTAATAGAATCTCCTTAATAAAAGTATCCTTATACACCAAATCTTTAAATTGCATAAGATAATGGATTGATAAGAGGAATGTTTTTTAAAGTGATAGGATTTTGGGCATGTTATGATTAAGTTGAGAAAAGAGTATTAGAATCAAGTTTAGCAAAATTATTTTAAGGATAAGTTAGTTAAGTAGAGAGAACAATGGGCAAAAATATTTATACAAAAAAGGATTTTATAAGTTAAATATAAAAGATACTATAAAAGAAATAAATAAGAGAATTAGAAATGACATATTTAATATCAAAAGTAATAATTAATATTAATAGATTAGATAATATTGCAATCAAAGAATTTAAATTCTTTAAAAGGAGATGCATTAGTGAAATATTTAAGAGAATTAGAGAAACTTGAAAATGTAGAAGATGTTAGAGCTGAGGATTTATAATAATATTATGATAGTTTAGGGTAATATAATAATAAATAAATAAAATTAGATAAGACAAAGGTTTCTTTTTTTATAAATAATTGAGAAGTAAATAAGAATAAATGATAGCATTATTGGAGACAAAGGAAGATAAAGTGGAAGAAATTGATATTAATTTAGGAAATGATGGAATTCCGTAAAAATCAGTTTAACAATATATTATAAAAGGTGGATTAGTGAGAAGTCATTCTGATCCAGATCCATTATAATTAATGTTAATATAAAAGAATGAAGAAGATGAAGAAGAAGAATAAGAATAAGAGAATTATTAATTATAATAGCAAAAGAATTAATAATAATAATATTAATATAAATAATAATAAGAGAAATATCCATTTAATTTTGAAGAACAAGATGGTGAATATGAAAATGATGAAGAAGAAAATGATGGATATTAACCAGATTTAAATAATGCACATATAGAAGAATAAGATTAATATTAAGAAGAAGATGATGATTATAATATAAATGTTGATGGTGTCTTTGAAGAAGATAATGATGATGAAAATGATTAATGGGAAAAAGTAGAGAATAAAGGCAATTTTCCAGTTCGTTAAGAGTATATATATAATATTTATAAATAGTCGATAAATACCAAATAGCAGACCAACCTCAAGTTATGTAAATAAAGTTAATAGAAGCAATAGTGATATTAAAGCTAGTCTAGTTTCAGAATTACATCCAACTAAAGAAATTAATGAAGAAGGTATATTATTATATTATAAATCTAAAGAATATTAAGAGGAATAATTTGAAGAAGAAAATTGACATATAAATTTTATATAAATTAAAATATGAAACGAACAAAGGAAACCATTTTTAGAGAACATCCTGATTGGTAATAAAGATAAGGTATAAGTGGCTTAAAAGAATTTGATGGAGAAGATTTATGTAAATTCATCATTCTTATCGTAAAGAATTTGATTCTCGTAATAAATTCAATAAAGAACAATAAAAATAATGGATATTTGAATAAATTGAAGAAAAGAAGAGAAAATAAGAATAAGAAAAAGCAGAGGAAATGGCATATGCTTAATAAACCTTAGAAATCAATAGATTTAGAGGAATGCTTTAAGATAACTTTGCATCAAGAAAGACTGATATGGGTGTTGCCACAAAATAAACTAATCTCTAATTAGTATTTATTCAAACTCAATTATTTTTAGGCTAAAGAAAAAAAAGATAAAGAAGAAAGAGAAAAATAAGAAAAGTTGGCTGCTGAACGTGCTGAAAGAGATCTATTACTTTAACGGGGTCGTAAGTAACCATATTAAGGATGATCATTATTTAATATGTTTCATCTTTTAAATTACATCATTACTTATATATTATTCAATCTACACCTATATTATAAACAATCTTTATGAATTTTATCAATTTTCAAAACCATTTTATATAAGTGATACTCATCATATTTATATAAATTAATACATAACACATAAATCAAAAACTTTAATATTCAAGACATTAAATAATATATACCCATAATGTTATAACATTCTTTTACATTTATTTTATCTTTATTAACATTTACTCTCATCTTAAGAATTATTATATGGATAGCTTCTTTTTCTTATTGAAAATTTCACTTTTAACCCAGATATAATGATTTTATTTATTTTTTTTTAAACATATATCTAGTTTTTATTTTCTTACAGGATTTCTAAATACAATTCTCATGCAACATCCATAATATAAAGTATTTACAATATATATTTGATTGAATGAATAAAGTTTAGAAACTCATTTTAGAATTATTCTAATATATTGCTTGATTCGAATATATTCTAAATATTATACTCGAATATTATATCTTATAAATGATAACTGATAATTTAATATATTTGTATCGAATTAGGAATTTATTTGAGATCTGAGCAAAATCATATTTCTATAAGAATAATCATGCATAAATTATAAATCTAATGTATTCCATCGATTTATGTAATAGAATTAATAACTATTTATAAAAAATTATTTATTTATATTTAATAATATGATATTAAATTAAACCAGATTATATGGAATTTTGGTTGATATTTCAGGATCAATGAAAGAATCTTATAAAAAATTAGGACAACAGAACAAAACTTTTAATTCAACATAGGAGCTTGATCAAAATAAATTAAATTCTGTTTGGAACTTTATTTTAAAAGTAATACAAAATAATGATTTGAAAAATGATTATATATTTTTGTCTGCTTTTGGATGTGAAAATGAAGTTGATGTTATTGATTTAATACCTTTTATTGCATCAATAATAAATACTTTAAAATTAATATCTTAAATAAAAGGTTTAAAAATATATAAAAAAAATAATGAAAAAGATTATTATACACTTTTGCACAATTTGGTAAGTGAAAATGGAGCACCTAATTTACATAAATTTTATAAGATTATAAACTTAAAGGAAAACATTACATAATTTAAAGCTTAATTATTATATCATGAATTGAATAATAATAAATCATTATTAAAAGCTTTTATTGAATAATTACCATCCTAAGTTAAAATAAACAATACTAAACATAAGATTGAAGCTTTTTTTGCGACTTCTTATAACAATCCTTTGAAGTAAATTATTTAAAGGTACATAACTTAATATGAGAGTCAGCTAGATAATTATATTTCTTATGATACTATTTTTTAAAAGATTGAAAAATGTTTAAATGTAGTTAAGCAAGAATTAATTTCATATAATAATAATGAAATATCCAAAATTCAATAAGAATTAGTAGCAATTATGAATAGTTTGAAAAATAATTAATAATTTCAAACTTCATAATAAAATCTAGAAAAATTAGAAAATATTTTATAATAATTGGCATCTATTTATAAAGAGATTTTAAATATTTTACATAAAAAGAGTTTCAATCCATAAAAAATAATTCAAGAATAAACAAATTTATAATAAATATCAATAAAATCTGTTAAAAGTTTAATAGAATTAATAGGAATAGGATAAGAGGGATCCAAAATTAGAATAGATATTGAAGACTTAAATATATTTAAATAATTTGAAAGTATAGCTTATGGTGGAACTCCACTATATAAATGTTTGGAATTGACACTTAATAGTTAATTCTAATAATTTAATAATAAATTTTTATTTATAGTATCAGATGGAGATTCAACTGATGGTAATCCTATTGAAAAGGCAAACCAATTAAAAGCTTAAGGATTTACAATATTTAGTTATTATATTACTACATCGATGAAAATCACATAAAATTAATTATATTCTAGAATAGAATTGATTAAGGGTGATGGAGCTAAAGCAATGTTTGAAATGAGTTCAGAAAAATCTAATTTTGAATTTCCATTGAGATGTATAGAGAAATATACAAATATAAAATTATCAGAAGAAGGAAAGAGTAGATTATTTTTATAAGGTAATGATCCTTAATAATTCTAATAATTTTTTGATTATTTTGTTAAAATATCACAAGATAATGATAAATTGATTGAGATCATTTGGAAAATAACATTAGAAAAATATATAAATTCTAGTGAAAAATTTGAAGCTAAATAATAAAATGGAGGATCATGTTATGCAAATGCAATAGCAGCTGCTTATTCAATAATATTATCATAAAAAAATTAAGATTATCCTGGGTTCTTTTTTATTCGAGAAATTTTAATTAATAAATATGGGATAAATGGAGCATATACATTTTAAGTAGTCCAACAAACTTGTGATTATTTTGGATTAAAATATCGTCAAATAAAATCTGTGAGTTAAATAAAATAAGTTTTACATTAAGGAAGACCAATTATTGCAAGGTTTGAATTATGTGAGGATTAATGGGATGCTGATAATGATGATTAAATAGGATTTAATTAATTTTNTTTTAAATATTTTACATAAAAAGAGTTTCAATCCATAAAAAATAATTCAAGAATAAACAAATTTATAATAAATATCAATAAAATCTGTTAAAAGTTTAATAGAATTAATAGGAATAGGATAAGAGGGATCCAAAATTAGAATAGATATTGAAGACTTAAATATATTTAAATAATTTGAAAGTATAGCTTATGGTGGAACTCCACTATATAAATGTTTGGAATTGACACTTAATAGTTAATTCTAATAATTTAATAATAAATTTTTATTTATAGTATCAGATGGAGATTCAACTGATGGTAATCCTATTGAAAAGGCAAACCAATTAAAAGCTTAAGGATTTACAATATTTAGTTATTATATTACTACATCGATGAAAATCACATAAAATTAATTATATTCTAGAATAGAATTGATTAAGGGTGATGGAGCTAAAGCAATGTTTGAAATGAGTTCAGAAAAATCTAATTTTGAATTTCCATTGAGATGTATAGAGAAATATACAAATATAAAATTATCAGAAGAAGGAAAGAGTAGATTATTTTTATAAGGTAATGATCCTTAATAATTCTAATAATTTTTTGATTATTTTGTTAAAATATCACAAGATAATGATAAATTGATTGAGATCATTTGGAAAATAACATTAGAAAAATATATAAATTCTAGTGAAAAATTTGAAGCTAAATAATAAAATGGAGGATCATGTTATGCAAATGCAATAGCAGCTGCTTATTCAATAATATTATCATAAAAAAATTAAGATTATCCTGGGTTCTTTTTTATTCGAGAAATTTTAATTAATAAATATGGGATAAATGGAGCATATACATTTTAAGTAGTCCAACAAACTTGTGATTATTTTGGATTAAAATATCGTCAAATAAAATCTGTGAGTTAAATAAAATAAGTTTTACATTAAGGAAGACCAATTATTGCAAGGTTTGAATTATGTGAGGATTAATGGGATGCTGATAATGATGATTAAATAGGATTTAATTAATTTTTTAGAAAAAATCCAACAGGAATTTTAGAGAATGTTGGACCATAATCAAATAAAAAAAAGAGTGGACATGTAGTTATTTTGAAAGATTATACTAATGATTATTATACATTTATAAATTCATGGGGTATTGATTGGGGAGATAAAGGTTATTTTAGATTAAAAGATTTGAATGTTTTAAATATGGAGTTTATAGAAATATATTATGATTATAATGATTTAACAGAAGTAGAGAAATAGATGTTTAAGAATAATGTAGGGATAGAAATAACAAATTTTTATTAGAATCATTTAAGTTGTTTAGGAAATATATAATATAGGTGTGTAAATTGTAATTCTAAATCAAAAATAAAAGAATATAAGGGAAATTATAATGAAGCAGAATGTCCAAAATGTAATAAGAGATTTTAACCGGAAGCTCTTGGTAAATTATTTGCTGATTATATATATAAGAAGAATAGATGATTGATAAATATAGAATAAATAATTAATATAAAAATATTATATATATAAATTCAATGCTTACGTTTTTTTTAAGGACATTTATCAGCAGCTCCAATTTTAACCATTTTAATATTAGATAATTAGACAAGATATGAACCATCAGGTTGAGGATCAAAAGAATAGATATTAAATTCTGCAGAAGCAGGATAATAATGATCTTTATAAAAATCAAGTCTCATTTCATTTTATATTTAACTATATTAATAATATTTAAATACCTTTTTAAGACTTAATACTTAATAACAAAGAGACCATTTTTGTCACTCTTTGTTTCAGCATTCAAATCAGTATAAGTAATACCATTCCATTATTTGAGTTTAACATTGACACCTTCTAAGCCTCTCCAATCTAATTAGTTATTACAATCAAATTCTGCCATTACTACACCACTAATTGATGAATATTAATAATATTTAGTAAGTTATCCTTAGAATTCTGGTGTTACTTCAGCTTCAGTAGATACTTTTACTATCTCACTATTTGGAGTTATATTAAATCTATGAGATGTTTATTTAAATTTGGCTGTTTCTTATGTTATTACTAAACATTCAACTTTAGAATTACAATTCATTAACATATCCCATTCAACTTTATAATTACCTTTATTATCAGTATTTGTTTTTATATCAATAGGTCTATTGTCTTTACCAAATGCATCACATTACATAGAAACTGGAACATTTGATGGAGCTATCCCTCCTTAAGAAGTAACTTAACCATCTATCTCAAAAGGTAAATAATCATCATAAGTTTATTTTGGAAACATTAATTCTGATTTATTATCATTTGTATGAAATGGTAATGTAACTTTATGAATTTATCCACTGCCATCTTAAAATTATTCAGTTAACTAATATTTTATTCCAAATTATAATTAATCATCTATTAATTACCATTTCCCATCAGATCCTGTTTTCGTTTCTAATTATTTTGTTACTGGATCTGATATTAATTTTACTAATACTCCTTATTACCCTTTACCTTTTGGACCTATTATTTCACCCCCAACTGTTAACTTTGTATTTGTAGGAGTCAATTCTTATTTTATTTTTATTGCAGGCAATTCAATCTCAGGACCTTTACATTCAAATTCTATTTTATCACTTTTTGTATCTTTATATTTATCTGCTGATATATCTAATATAAAAGATCCATCAGTGTTTTTATAACAAGGTATTTATAAACTAAATTTACCATTTACATCAGATTTCCCAGTTATTTTATTCTTTTCAGTTCCTTTTACAACTGGTTCTAATTATTCAACTGTTAAAGTAGATACAGGAGATGCTTTTCCTTATGGATCATTTAATGTTGATGAAACTGTTGCCTTTAAAATTATTCTATCTAATGCAGCATTTTATATTATTTCTTAATCTTTATTTGTTATTATTTCTATGTTAGCAGATTTGTATGTATTAAAATCTGGATGATTTATTTATATCACTGCCTTATAATTTTAATCTTGCACAGCACCAAAACTTAAAGAATACTTACCATTTAAATCAGATTTTGTTTTAAGTTAAGAAGCTAATGGATCTGAAGGACTTAATGTTATTTCTATGTCTGCATTCTATGCATTTTTAGTTATACCACTGCTGTCTGTTAATACACCTGATACAGTTATTTGAACTTTCTTTGTAGACACCTATATTGCTTTTAGTTTTATATTCTTTTCACCACATGTAAATACTTATGGAGGCAATGGTGATTTAGGAAATTAATCTGATTATATATCCATTTTTAAAGTTGTTGAAACACTATTATAACATTGAAAGGGTATTGAGAATTCTCCTTTAGGAGCAGATGTAAATTTATTATATAATTAACTATTTTCCATTTAGGGAATAGAACTTATTATTTCAACTTTAGCATTTTCTGCAGGTTTATTTTATGAGTCAACCAAAGATCCACTAATTGTACAATCAATTACTACTCTCTTTAATGAAATATTTTGATTAATTTACAATTTTTCTTCTTTTCCCTTTAATTATAAATTAGTATTAGATGTTTAAAATTATGGTGAAGCATCAACAGTAATTGTTGCATCATAAATAATATCTCTTAGTAGTTCAAATTTAAATGTGAATGTTCCATCATTTGAGCTTTTAATTTTGATTAATTAATCAGTAAGTGGATCTTTTTATTTTAAAGATAGGCTCATTTGTATTTCAGGTAATTTATCTTCAAGTTTAGTTTCATCAATTAACTTACCACTTATTGTATAAATAGTTGATTTGAATTTACTTTTAATAGTGATTCCATCAGCTTAGAAATTTGGAGGACTTAATTCAACTTTGAATCCATTATCTTAAATGATATCTTTTGGTTTTATCAAACATTGAATTTTATCATCATGTTTTGCTAATACTTAAAATTAGACATCAATATTTCCATTTTTATCTGTTGTAAAATCTTTATTAATAGGACCTTTTGAATCCTTGAAACCTTAACAACTCAAATTCATATTCACAGGTTATGTCAATGTTCCTTTTTCCATCTCTATTTTACCTTTTATATTTGCATTAACTAAATCAACATAATTTATATCCTTTAATGAAACTTTTTAATTATCACTTTAAACTGTAAAACTTTATTCTAATTTCTAATCTTATTTATTAATATCTTAATATTTGATAATAGCTTTGTATTCTGTATTAGGATATATCTTAGGAACAGTTGCTAACCAAGTACCGTCACTTTAAGTTTTTGAAGTTATTGTAGAACTTTCTGGTTATGTTGAGATTGTTAATGGTAAATTTGCAACTGGTTTTCCATGAGGATCTACTACTTTACCTGCTAATATAGCTTTTATTTCTATTTTTTATAATGTTAAACTTAAAGGATTTAATTCTATTTATGGTTAAGAACATTTAAATTTTGAACTTTTAACTTTTTATTCTTCAAATTAAGGTACATCAATTTAGAATGCAACAATATATTCAAAATCTTTATAACATTCAAAATCGGCAATAAATGATCCTTTTTCATCATCTTTTATAGCTAAATTGTAGTATTTTGAATTCAACATTAATGGTTCCGATGAAGTCATTTTAATTGTAGCATTTGGAATAGGTTTCTTATTACTATCTAGAAGTATAGAATGTAATTTAGTCAGCATAGTAATTCTATCCAATTCAAAGTTTTCAGTTAATGTAACAGATTATAAGCACTTTTCTTCAAATTACTTATCCTAAGCTTTGAACAAAGGATTAGAAACTGAGATTTAAAATTTTAGATTATATGCTTAAATAGCTTTAAAGTTAAATTAATATGAACCGTCTTTTCCAGTTTTAGTACTTAATTTAGATTATGTTTCTGTACTTTAATAATGTTTTTTATAGAATAAATATTATTCTATTAAATGTTTATTTTGTACATATATATCTTAAGGTGTAATAATTAAAACAACATCCGCATTTTCTATTGTTGAGATCACTTTAGTTTTATCACTAATCATTCCTTTTATTATAATGTCTACAGTGTTATAAGTAACTGGAATATTAGTACTAGCAGACCAATTAGGTGCTTTTACTTCAACATTTATTTTTATAGGTTAAACAGAGGAAATTGGATTTTTTTAAGCTTATCCAGATTATCCTTATGTTCCTGATTATCCTGATGGAACTGAAGCATTAGTGACTACACATTATAATGGTTTATCTGATCCAGATAATGTTTCTAATTCAACAGAATATGTTCCATCTTATTTAGTAATAGTTTCTACAACAATAGGTTTACCATCTCTCCCTTTAGAATCACATGTAATTACTAATGGAATAGGAACTGCTGCTTTTCCATCAGTAGGTGTTATTTTACCAGATAATTTGACTTTGACAAATCTTTAGTACCCAATTATTGGAAAAGTATAAGTTTATTCTTTATCTAGAGATGGCGTAAAATTAGAAGAAACTTCAGTCAATTATTTATTATCATTCATGTATTCTATAGTAAATTTATAATTAGTTGAAGGAATAACTGTGAGATTGTCAATTTACCAATTACCATTAGCATCTGTAGTTAAATTAGGATTAGCAACAGTTAAAGTAGGATCAGATTTAAATTTAAGTGCTAATCCTTTCATAGGTTTTTAATCTACATCTATAACTTAACCCTTTATTGTAAGACGAGAAGTAGATTTAGATAAAGTAATTTAGGTTTTAATTAAATCCTAATTTTAACATTCTAATTAAGGTGTCTTATATGTGATTGGAATATATTATTAAACTTAAAATACAAAGGTTGCTGTAAACTTTTAATCTTCATAACAAGCAAAAATACATTCAAATGTACCACTATTTAATATTAAATATAAAGTACTCTTATTTGCCAATTATTTCTTTATTATAAAGTGATTTATCATTCATTAGAGGAGTACTTTCAATTATTTTAATATTAGCATTTTAAATAGGAATTCCATTTGAATCTAATAATTTATCTTTTATTGTTATTTTTTTAATTTTCCTATCAAGAATAACATCAAATTTTAATTAGAATGGTTATTTTGAAGAAACATTGATATTTTTAGGTGGAATAATTTAATCTACAAATCCTTTTGCTGTAACTGTTGCTTTAACTTATAAATTTTGATTTGAAGGAACAAAGATATGTACTTTAAATTTACCTTGAGCATCAGTTATTACTTTAACTGGTTATATACTGTCTATTATTGTAAATACTATTTCAGCACCAGAAACATATTAAACTAATTTAGATGAATCTGTTATAACTCCTGAAATCTAAAATAATAATATAAAATATAATATACTTCTAAATCACCAGAAGCATCTTGTAATTTAATTACACCTAAATCATGAGTAAATTAATCTTTTTTAATATTTAAATCAAAATCTTAATCAAACTCTAAATTTTAACTGAGATATCCATTTTTTGTTAATTCTTCTTTTATATGTAATTTAGGAGTAGCTTTTAGATCATATATAATAGATATTTTTCCATCAGATCCACTAATTACATTATTTTCTTATAATTATTGATTTGAACCCAAATTGATTGCTGTTACTTTCATTTTCGCTCCTGGCAATGGTTTTTAATTTTAATCTTAGACAATAGCAGATAAAATATATTTAAATTGACCAGGAGATAAATCAATTTTAACTGATAATTCATATTTCTTTTCTCTATTATATAATAAATGAATTTTATTACGGCCATAAAACGAACTCTTAAGAATTTCTATTTAATTGTTAAGTATTCCAATACTCTAATTTCGATGCAGTGTACAATACTATAAATGAACCTCCAGTTGTAGGTAATAAAAATCGAACATTTTCTTCTCCTTTTTCATTTGTTACTGCTATGAATTTAACTTCTTTTGTCTATTTATTAATATCTAAATATATAGCAGTAAATTGAATTAATACTCCAGGTAATGGTTTTGAATTTGACAGAGTTTTTATCTTTAATTACAATAGATATTTACAAAGATTAAGCCACGCTAAAATACATCTTTTACATAAACATCAGATTAAGTAAATTAAACTCCTCCATTAAAAACTATTGTTCCACTATTGTCAGCTATTCCATTAATCTAAGCTGATGCTTAAATGTCATTAAAGCTTGTTGATGCAACAGCAATAATTTAGTAAGAATTTTATTTTACAAATTTTCCAGTCATTGTAACTGTACCACTGCTGTCTGTCATTAGATTCTTCTCCCCTATATAAGAATTGCCATTCCTAATATTTATATAACCAACTACTTCACATTTATAATCACCCCTGATAAAGCATAAGCTGAAAAATCTATTACTTTTATCACTATTTTATAATTCACTTCTTCTAGTTTCACTACTTACATCTCAAAATCCTACCCAAAACAACTACCACCCAAAACAACCAATAATAACAAAGATTTTAGCATATTTTGAATTTAACAATATAAATTAATTATAAACACTAGACCACTCTATCCAAATAAACAATCTCTATTCTTACACTCCTCTCTCTTAATTATGTACTTCATCAGAAAACATAAGAATATTATAACAACTAATTTATCAAAAATATAATTTAATTCACATTAGGATTATCAGTTCATATTTATTTCAATTATTCCTATTTTAAAATGTTTTTGTAAAGATAAGTACCTAGATAAACATATTCAGAACACTTATAAGTTTTTGCTGCATCCAGTTATGGTCGCCCACAAATTAATAATGGAAATAAGATATTGTTACCAGCATCAGCACTTTAATAATTGATTTTTATTAAACAAAATGGACCTATGATCTTTAAAATTTCCTCAACACAATCATAAAGATTTACATATGTTGGAGTACTTGAATTTGTAGCAGAAGAAGGTACTTGTATTATACCAGATTGGCTATTTGAAAATATGAACTTTTTTCCAGAATGTTTTGTTTTAATCAGCCTTGAAAAAAGCCTACCTCTTGTATCTTAATTCTATTTATAAATTTAGGGTAAATTAATTAAGATTTAACCTCATGAAACTGCTTTCGTTGATCTTCCTGATCCAAGAGCTATTCTAGAAAACTAATTTAGAAATTACATATGTCTAACTTAAGGAGAAACAATCACTATAACATTTAATAAGAATAAATATATGATTGATATTGTAGAAGTATAACCGAAAACAGAAAAGCTTGCAGTCTGCATTAATGAAGCAGATGTTGAAATCGATTTCTTATAACCATTAGTACTCAAATTTTTTAAAATAGGATTATAACGAAACACCTCTCCCAAATCTAATTAAAAACAATTCTTCTTTGGGTATGGAATAAGATTAATAGCTATAATAATAATAATAAGCTGTATTTACTGGAAAAGGAGTGAGATTAGATGGTAAAACTGGAGTGACTCAACCAAGAAAATAGTCAGAAGATGTTAAAATTGTTTCTGAGCCATATAATCCAAGAAAAAATAAGTTAGTGAATGGACTTCGATAAAGTGAAGAAGCTCAAATATTTATGGGTAGTTGCACTAAAGTTGGAGCATAAAAAAAATAACTTTGAGTTTGGATTATTTATTTCATTAAAAAATTTTATATTTCTTAGATATTTTGATTACGCTTGATCAAATTGGAAATTTTTGTAAAAGTCTATTAAAATTTTTTATATTATTTCCCTAAATGATTGTTTCATTCTATAAATTCTTTAATAATTATTGATTTTTTTATATTTTTATTTCCATAATTATACTTTATTAACTTTTAGTATGCATAAAAAAATTTAATTTTGATTTCGATTTCGATTTCTTATTTCAAAATCATTTTTACTATTTATATGATGAAAAAGTATTAAAATTTATTTATCATTTTCAATTTTTAGAATACACTTTGTATCNATTAATGAATTTACAACAAAAATACAGCAAGATATTAAACAACTATATATAATTGAATATTAATTAAATTAAAAAAATTTAAATATATTTAAATTCAATTTCTAGGAATCTATTATTAAAATTGGCATTGATACTTTTAAGTTAAATTTCAAGTAAAGCCAAATTCAATGATCTATAATATATGATAAACTATTATTAGGTTTATAACCAAATTCTAAGATTGGTTGAGAATCTTTGTTAAAATAAAAAAAAATATAAAGGAATTCTACTTTTTAAATTCTTCATAATCATACATATATACAAAAGATTCTCCTAAACTTTTTGCTCATATAAGTTATTTTATTATTTTTATAATATTGTTTTTTTTTTAAATTTGGATGGACTTAGGGGTTATTATAATTTCATTTCTTTATAAAGAATGATATATAATGGAAAAAGTAAATGAATGAGATTAGCTAAAAACAAAATTGACTAGATTAAAATTCTTATATTATTATTATTAATTTATTGTATACTACTTCCAATTCTATTCTTCAAATAAAAACACCTTGTTTAGTTATTATTACCATTATCAATTCCTGAGATTTCATTAATATTTATTGAACATGATTTTAATTATTAATTTAAATAAAAACCAGATATATTATAAAATATTGAGCAATCTGCATAAAAGTTTCCTTATCATATTTCTAACATTTAGTAATTGTTCAATTGATAAAGATACATTCCATAAAATGATTTTAGAAATTTTAAATAAAAACTTAGATCACTATATTTATCTTCTTAACATTTAATTTGGATCATAAAGTATATCCATCCATCTTTACTTATATTAATTTGATCATCACATTATCCATTTATATTATTGATATTATCTTCACATTAGATTTATTGGTATCCTAATTCACAAATAAAATAGATTCCTTTTTAAAATTGCAATTACACTATTTTCATATATATTTGGACAAGGTTTGATTGTAGATTAATCAAATTTTGAGCATTTATTATTATATTGAAATTAATAATTAAAACATTTATCATCATCAAATTATTAATATATATTAATTCTTAATCAACAAAAATTAAACGACATTTATCAAATTCCATAATTAAATTTATTTCACATTAAGTGTATATTTCAGGATGTCAAATATATAAATTATTATCACACTATTTATAACATTAAATCAAAAAACTTTCTTATAATTTTGAACAGGCTATGGAATATTTAAATTGATATCTATACAAAAATTGTATAATTTTATAAATTTATTATATATATATTTTATGGATATGAGCAATTTGATACCACTTTTTATATCATCCTTATATTTTCACATGATAAAACATTCAATATTTGTTCGACCAAAACAAGTCTCACAAAATTTATATTAAAGTTAACAGATTGAATTATCATAGGTTGGATAAAAATCATCAATACAAATATATTATCCATTTTAAAAGTTTTCTATTGTTGAACATACACTAAATAGAACTTAAGCATTAACTAAATTCTTTTATATTCATATTTCTTTATTTTATAAAAAAGGCTTTCTTTTTTTTTGTTTAAGTAGAATTATCTTAAAAAGATAAACAAAAAATTGAGAAGTGCAACTCCAACAAGAAGAAGGATAGTCTAAACAGTTAACTGTAGGTGTATTACATATTGATTAGACAAATATTCATCTTAAGAAAACTATATTTAATTTGAATTATAAGTATACTAATTATATAAATTATTATCTATTTTAATTTGTAAAATATAAAAAACAAGGTTAAAAATAAAAGTTATAAACAGCACACTATGATTAAAAAAAGGTTCTTTATTTGGCCCAAAACATTCTAATATAAGCGTCATTTAATTACTATTATTACTTATTCTTTTTTTAATTCTCTGAACTGATATTTTGTACTATCTGAATGAGGATGATATGCATTGCTTATTGATTTTTCAACTTGAGTAATAGAATGAATTTAATATATAAATAGACAATCAATTTTGAAATTAGTCAATATAAAATCCAATAGTGCACTATTATGAAGTTTTAATATGCTAAATGTTGTTTAAGATTTTATCTTATACCCAAACATATTGACCTACAAAAACCAATAGGTATTTGAACCTTTTTAGAAATTAACACCATTAAATTCTAAAATCTAAAATTTTGAATCTAATTATAAGTATATATTTAAGATATTTCAACATCATAATCTTAAAAATATGAATTGATAAGATTCTAATAAGATTGAGAACAATTCCATATGCAATTACATTAATTTGAACTTAATTAATCTTATACTTAATTTTTAATTATAAGTTCCACTTCTGCAAGTTATGAATGATATAGAACACAAGTCAAACTAATTGTTAATGAATTTCTAGTTTTGTTATAGATGATGTATATTATGTATAATTATTCCCTTATGATCTTAATAGAAATGAATATGGAGGTATAACAAAAAATCCATATAATTCATACCTTTTTCACTTTGTACATCACTTACAACAAGAAGAGTACGCTTAGGTATTTAAATCTTGATTTTATGAGTTTGAATATTGGTGCATAATAAGTATTATTATATATAAATTTAATTTATATATATAATTTTTAATAAAGAATGTCCTAAAAGTAATAACGATCAAAATGCTTAAGACTACAGACAAAGTTCATCTAAACTCATTTCAATAGAAATTGGAAATGACCTCTATAGAACTATTTAGTAATTCAATAAAAATAATTCATATATTATTGAATTTACGATTAAGATATTCAACTAGAATTCAACGAGGAAGGTTTATCTATCTATATTGGAATCAATTACAATAGACTTCTCTGCTACTGCTTTTTAAATATCATTTAATTATATATATTAAGCAACTTGTATTACATTACTTTCTTTATTATAAATTGGTAATCTTAGTTGATTGGACATTTTTATTAATTCTTTTTCTTTTTTGTTTATGTTTACACTTTCTTTTCAGAATTTAAAAGTGTTATTTACATTAATTTTTTTAAATAACAAATATGTATTTATCAGAATTTATTGCAATCAAATTAAACTAAATTTTTATTATAATGATTAAATGTGGTCTTTAATTAAGAAGCCATTTTAAAGGCAATCTCAAATACTAAAATTTAGAACTAGAGCTCTTTTAAGTTATTTATTTGATTTATACTCTCCATTTTAAAATATTAGTGTGAATGTACTTCAAAAAAATGTAGTAAAAAATAATGCTGAATGTATTGTATATCATCATAATTGCAAATTTAAATTTGGAAAACTGTATGTACAGAATAAACACTGATTGATTAGCTCTAATTATGCTGAAAAACAGATATATTGTAATTCTATTAAAATATAATCAGTAGTATTGTATTAATCTCATACAAAAGTCGCAGGACCATTTTAAGATAGGACATACCAGTTATCATTTATAGGTCAGCATATTGATTGGATTTCTGTGCCATAATTATAATGAAAAAGCTTCATGCAAAATAAATAGTTCTTTTTGTTATAAATTAGAATGGTGTTATTTGATGCTCACAAATTCAGTTACTCCAACAAGTCTCTCTTATGATGCAACTAACATATTTGAAGAAATCATTAATTTAATAAGTGTAGCAGTCTGAAATTTTCAAAGTATCACCTCAATCTGAATATTAGATAAAAAAAAAAAAAATAATTGTTGTTAGATTATAATCAATCAAAATTTTTTAGAAAAAAATTGTGATTTTGAATACATTGATTATAAAACTCAAGAACCTTAATCGAACAATATCAAGAGTTTGAAAAATTAAATAACGCAAAATAAAATCTTTTTGTCAATTATTTTTTATAAAATAATTTTATTTAGAACAATAGATTACCTTTGATTATAAAAACTAAGTTATTTTATATATATTTTTTAATGTTTAAATGCGGTAATGAAAAAAGGAAGAGCAAGAACATTCTCATCTTGAAATAAAATTTAATTAAAACTCATAAATCATTTATATATTCTTTATTATCAAATGTCTATATTAAAAATAATTTAAATCTTCAAAAATCAATATTTTTATCAGATAAAATATTCATAAGAATATATCTGAATATTAGAAAAATGACTTAATTGATTTAAATACAGCATTATATTTGAATTACTAATGTAATTTTTTTTAAAAAAAGCATTTTATTTGAATAGCATAGTTTCTTATACATAATTTGTGGTGAAATAGAAACATTTATAAGTAGAATTGTGATTTATAATGTCTTATTACTATTTTTTATTTTTTTTTATTCATGTAATAATAATATATATACATAGAAAATTATGTACTCATAGATTTAGAGTTTTTGCATCTAATTCTTTTTTTAAACAATGAAAACAATCGATTAATAAAGACAATATAACAATAATTATTTTTTTAAATAGTGTTAAAAAAAGACAAAACCACTAATAAATCTGACTATTTAAGGATTTTAGATGAGGATTATTATCAATAAAAATAATAAATAAGAAATGATTTTATGGTCATTAAAGTTTTTAATCATCTAATCAGCTTTTGGATGGAGAGATTATAAATAGGATTTTCGCACAGTATTTCCAGATGGAAATGATTTATGTCCTGAGTTTCATGTACACATGCCTGGTTTACATCCACATTAATGTGTTTGTAAGAATTATTAATATTATTAGCGTATGCCTCTGTTTGTAATGGAGTAACAGAAGTTTAAGCTATATTCTCTAATAATTTTTATTATTTATGTCATCCTAGGTTCAAAACAGAAAATATGACAAAAGATGAAATATCAGTATTTTGTTAACATCCATTTTACTTGAAAATTGAACTTTCATTTACTGATGGATTGATGTATTATAGTTGTGAGAAAAAACGTGAAATTGAATTATGCTTAATACATTTAGCTTACCCTAAAGATTTCGAAATTGATTTAGGATATATTTATGATTGTTAATTTTGCAAACCTCCTTATTTTGGAAGAGATTGTTTAAAAATAAACCCAGGATACGATTATGAGAGAAGTAAAAATTCTACTGGAGGTATATATAATTTTTANCAAGAGTTTGAAAAATTAAATAACGCAAAATAAAATCTTTTTGTCAATTATTTTTTATAAAATAATTTTATTTAGAACAATAGATTACCTTTGATTATAAAAACTAAGTTATTTTATATATATTTTTTAATGTTTAAATGCGGTAATGAAAAAAGGAAGAGCAAGAACATTCTCATCTTGAAATAAAATTTAATTAAAACTCATAAATCATTTATATATTCTTTATTATCAAATGTCTATATTAAAAATAATTTAAATCTTCAAAAATCAATATTTTTATCAGATAAAATATTCATAAGAATATATCTGAATATTAGAAAAATGACTTAATTGATTTAAATACAGCATTATATTTGAATTACTAATGTAATTTTTTTTAAAAAAAGCATTTTATTTGAATAGCATAGTTTCTTATACATAATTTGTGGTGAAATAGAAACATTTATAAGTAGAATTGTGATTTATAATGTCTTATTACTATTTTTTATTTTTTTTTATTCATGTAATAATAATATATATACATAGAAAATTATGTACTCATAGATTTAGAGTTTTTGCATCTAATTCTTTTTTTAAACAATGAAAACAATCGATTAATAAAGACAATATAACAATAATTATTTTTTTAAATAGTGTTAAAAAAAGACAAAACCACTAATAAATCTGACTATTTAAGGATTTTAGATGAGGATTATTATCAATAAAAATAATAAATAAGAAATGATTTTATGGTCATTAAAGTTTTTAATCATCTAATCAGCTTTTGGATGGAGAGATTATAAATAGGATTTTCGCACAGTATTTCCAGATGGAAATGATTTATGTCCTGAGTTTCATGTACACATGCCTGGTTTACATCCACATTAATGTGTTTGTAAGAATTATTAATATTATTAGCGTATGCCTCTGTTTGTAATGGAGTAACAGAAGTTTAAGCTATATTCTCTAATAATTTTTATTATTTATGTCATCCTAGGTTCAAAACAGAAAATATGACAAAAGATGAAATATCAGTATTTTGTTAACATCCATTTTACTTGAAAATTGAACTTTCATTTACTGATGGATTGATGTATTATAGTTGTGAGAAAAAACGTGAAATTGAATTATGCTTAATACATTTAGCTTACCCTAAAGATTTCGAAATTGATTTAGGATATATTTATGATTGTTAATTTTGCAAACCTCCTTATTTTGGAAGAGATTGTTTAAAAATAAACCCAGGATACGATTATGAGAGAAGTAAAAATTCTACTGGAGGTATATATAATTTTTAAGATAGATTGTGCTTCCAAACAATGTAGTTCATGTGAGACTAAACAGAAATGTAATTCATGCATTCATGGATATATCAATCCAAGGGATGGTCAAGTTTTCCAGTGCTAAGTTAGTAAGACATATAAATTTATAATTTTTTTTAAGGCTGCCCAATCTATTAGGAAACTTGTTAGATGAATGAATCTGGATTAGCTGTTACGACCTAAAATTGTGCTTAAAATTATGCAAGATTTGATGTAAATTATTGCGTTTGTATTTATATTATTAAAAGCCTTTATAGATTGTACGGATTCATGTTATTCGTGTTATTTTTATAGGAGGCCTGATGGCGTATAAATCTTTACTTGTAGTTAGTGTTAATAAGGCTATAAATTATTGCTCAAATATAATAGTACTGTCTTTTAACAAAATGAGTGTTAAAGCAATAAGGACTGTGCATCAGAATAGCAATTCTCACCTGTATATGAATAAACACAACCTGATGGTTCTATATATGTAAATTATTATGATGTAAAATTATATTAAAAGTATTTAGGTGTCATGTAGACAATGTATTTTAGGATATTTCTATTAATATGTTACAAAATATGATTAGGGTTGTAAACCATACACTAAAAGATCAGATAATTGCTTCTAAATAAGCCATAAAAATAGCAATTAATGTATAGCTTGCTAACCATGGTATTCATTAAAACCTGATGGAACATGCACATCTGATCGTATAAGTTGTGGTCCTATGTGTCAAACATGTTTGGACAATAATCCTCAATTTTGTACAAGTTGTGATGGATTAAAATTTCTAACTCTTGATCCTATTAATGGTACTTGCTCATGTTAACCACCTAATGGTTAATATCTTGAATTTTGTAAACCATGTAAAGATGGGTATTGTAATGAATGTGAAATTAATGATTTTTTTTCATGTATCTCATGTAAACCAGAAATAAATAGAATGCTAGTGAATAAAGAATGTGTTTGTGTACCTGGTACATATGATGCTGGAAACGATGATTAAATTTGTGTTGGTATATTTATTTATTCATATTTTAAGCTTGTGATAAATCTTGCTTAACTTGTTCATCAATTTCAGAATGTACTGAATGCTTAGATGAAAGTATATCTTTCAGGATTAAGATTGATCATTTTTGTCTATGTAAAATTGGGTATGCTGAATATTAAATTAAAGAAACTCAATGCGGATGTATTTTCTAAATTAATTAATTAAGTATGTCATCCAAGATGTCGAACCTGTTTCTAACCTGCTGATGAAACTACAAACTAATATTGTCTAACTTGTAATCCTGATGAAAATCGTATTTTATCAGAGGAATTCAAATGTGAATGCAAAGATAATTATGGTGATAATAATGGAACTATAAATATTTGTTTCAGTAAATTACATTTATTATCATAGCTTGTGATTATACTTGTGGAAGCTGTTATAATTCTCAATCAACAGGATGTGTAACTTGTTTAGAAAGTTCAAGTAGATACTTGACAATCTTAGATCAATGTTTATGTAAACCATCATCTTATGATGATTTTACAGATAATATTCAATGCTAAAGTAATTATATATTAATTATATAATTAATAGAATGTCATTACGCTTGTTAACAATGTGCTAACAGTTCTGAAAAAGCTGCTTGTACAGAATGTCCTGAAACTCGAATACCTAGTAATCCATCAGCTAGTAATTATGAGTGTATTTGTCAATATTCTAACTTTTTTGATGATGGGTTATCACTAGCATGCCAATAATGTCATTTTACTTGTACAAGTTGTAATGGACCACTTTCATCTAACTGTTTAACATGTGATAACACATATAGATAGCTTGACTTTTCTACATGCATCTGCCCACCTAAATATTATGATATTGGAGAATTATAATGTGCAGGTATATTTATTAAAAATTATAAATAGGTTGTCACTATTCTTGTCAAAAATGTTTTGATAATACTGAAAATGGTTGCATCGTTTGTTCATTTGAACTTGATTTTAGAGTATTAAAAGGTAACACATGCAAATGTGATAATGGATATTTTGAAGAATTAGAATAAGCATAGTGTAGCAGTAATTAGATAAATTATTAATTTATAGAATGCTCTTATAAATGCGAAACTTGTGTTACTCAAGCAGAGAATTGTATAACTTGTCCATCAAATTCTCTTCGTATTCTAGACCCAATAAAAGGTTGTTTTTGTTCTGGAGAATTATATGATAAAGAAAACGAGATAACCTGTTAAAGTATTTAGTTTACTAATTAATTAAAGAATGTCACTTTAAATGCAAAGCTTGTACTACTTTTGGGGAAGATAAATGTCTTGCTTGTGATTCTATTGCAAATAGAGAATTAAAAGAGGATTAATGCAAATGTAAACCTCATTACTTTGAAATGGAAGTTTAGGAATGCCCAGGTAATTATTAACATTATATTTAGTTTGTAGTGCCTACTGTTATGAATGTATAAACAAATTCGATAATTGTACTTCTTGTAATGAGGACAGATATTTAGATGGAAGTACTTGTGAATGCATCACCAAAATTTTGGGTGGTATTATAAGTACATTTGACTTTAATGGATAAATTAAATGTTAAAGTATCAAATTCATTAAATATTAGAATGCCATTATTCTTGTGGATCTTGTGATGGTACTGAAGAAACAGATTGTCTTACTTGTATGGAAAATGAAAATAGAATTTAAGTAGGAAAGACTTGTGTCTGTAAAGATGGTTATTATAATAGAGGATTACCTGTATGTGAAAGTATTAATGAATTTTATTAATAGAATGTGGTTATTAATGTAAAAATTGTAAGTAATAGTCAAATAGCTGTACCTCATGTCAAGATAATACCTTTAGAATATTAATTTCAAGTTTTAATAAATGCTAATGTATATAAAGATATTATGATGACGGATAGAATGAAATTTGTCAAGGTACTTATTATTTAAAATAATTTATAGAATGCCATTATTCATGTTATAGATGCAATGATATTTCAACTAAATGTGAGTTTTGCTCTGTTGAATCAAATAGAAGTTATAATGAACAACTTTTTACATGTGATTGTAACTTAGGATATTATGATTTTGGTATTGAAATTTGCTAAAAATGTCACTATTCATGTTTAAATTGTAGTTCAGGAGATTCTAATTCTTGTATATCATGTGTAAATTCAAATACATCTAAAAGAGCATTCTATAATAATACTTGTAATTGTTTTTTCGGATATTATGATGATGGTAAATTAGTTGAGTGTTAAAAGTGCGATGTTCAATGTCTAAGTTGCATAGAATAATCTTATTAGTGCTTATCATGTCCTTAAACTAGATTAATCTAAAGCAATTGCAAATGCGCAGAAGGATATTATGATATTGGGGAGTAACTTTGCTTAAAATGTAATCAAAATTGTATGTCATGTGAACTTAATTCAAATAAGTGTACATCTTGTTATATTGAATAATTTCGAGTGCTTAACTTAATTAATAAAACATGCGATTGTTAAATTGGATATACTGAAATAGATGGAATATGTTAAAAATGTTAAGATTGTTGTTTAACCTGCTCATAATCAATTAATAATTGTACTTCCTGTGGTTAATTCCGATTCCTGAAAAATAATACTTGTGTTTGTAATGATGGAATGTTTGAATCTGATATAGATAAATCATGTAAACTTTGCGATAAAACTTGTTTAACTTGTAGTTCATCTGAAACTCATTGTTTAACATGTTCAATTGATAATCATAGATAATTATAACTTGGAAATATATGTGAATGTTCATAAGGATATTTTGAAAATCCAACTACTAAAAATTGTGAATAATGTGAAGAATCATGTTTGACTTGTTCTTTATTATCTAATAATTGTTAAACATGTGATTCTAGTCTTCATTTATCATTGGTAGGTAATATATGTTAATGTTCACAATCTTACTATTTTAATTCTTTGAACAAATAATGTGAAGGTAATTATTAATTTATATCTAGAATGCAATATTACTTGTCTAGAATGTTCTAATAATAATTAATGTACTTTATGTAGATAAACAACCAGACACTTAGATTAAGATCAAAAGAAATGTTTGTGTAATGATGGCTATTATGAAACTAACTAAAAAAATTGCCAATGTATTCTATTATTTTTTATCATTTATAGAATGCTATTTTTCATGTGAGACATGTGAAAATATTAATACTTATTGTTTAAGTTGCTTAGATATCTATTAAAGAATATTAATAAATAATAAATGCTTGTGTTTAGATGGCTATTATGATGCTGGAATAGAATTATGCTAGAAATGCGTTAATATTTGTAAAACCTGTTAATCCTCTGCCTCAACTTGTTTAACTTGCTTTGAAATTGAATAATTTAGAATACTTTAAGGAGATAAATGCATATGCTAACCTGGTTATTATGATTAAAATTCTAATATTTGTTTAAGTAAGTATTTTTAATTTATAAAGAATGTTCAAATGAATGTTTAACTTGTAATGGATCAGCTGATTATTGTACAAGTTGTGATACCAATTAAAAACGAGTTGATTAATCAATAATCCATAAATGTCCTTGTATTATTGGATTTTATTCGGATCAAGATTCTATTTGTTAAAGTAATTTTAAGATAGTAATTATTAGAATGTCATATTAAATGCTAAACATGTATCAATTCATTTGATAAATGTTCAAGCTGTAAATTTGGATTAAATTTAAATAGAATGCCCATTTCTGGATTATGTGATTGTAAAGATGGATATTTTGATGATGGAACTCAACTTTAATGCTAAAGATGCCATTTCAAGTGTAAACTTTGCTAAAATAAAATTGATAATTGCTTAATTTGTTCAAATTCTTTAAGAATCAATTAACCAACTTGTAATTGTATGAATGGATATTACGAAGATGAATAATTCTCTTGTTAAAGTAAGTCATATTTATTATATAAGTTTGTGCTCCTTAATGTGATACATGTTAAGGTTCCCCCTCCAACTGTTTGACTTGTAAACCAGGAAGAGTTGGAAATGATTGTGAATGTGTTGATGGATATTTAGAAATGGGATCAATTTTTTGTGAATGTATTCCATTATTAAACTTATTTAGAATGTGCATTTCAATGTTCTACTTGTACTTTAGATTCTAAAAATTGTAAAACTTGTAAAGGTAATAGAATCTAAATACCTTAATGTATATGCCAATCTGGATATTTTGATGATTCAATTAATGAAGATTGTTAATAATGCGCAAGTAAATGTTCAGAATGCAATATTGATGGATGTCTATCTTGTTTTGCTAATAGAATATTAGATGAAGAAATGGATTGTATACCTCCACCAAACTCAATTTGGTATGATAATACTCCTTGGTGTTCAAGTAAATTATTTTCAATATTATAAATAGCTTGCCAAGTCGCAGTTGTTAAAATCTATTTATCCGACGATATTAGCAAGATTATTGTTCATTTTGATTTTCCTTTGAATTCAAAAGGATTTAACTTATAATTTGAACTTAATAAATGCCTGTAATTATTTGAATAAGAAACTGTATAAAGTTTTGGTTAGAATGCTGTCTGTTACCTTAATCCAACAAATAATCAAGAAATATTAATTTAATTAGGGTATAGTTCAACAATTAATATTGGAGACGAAATCTTATTTGTAAGTAATTCTTTGTCTCATATTGATTGCGAAAATTCTCTACAACAATTTATATTTACAACTTTATAGATGCCAGTAAATCCACTTCTTCCTAAAATAGAATATGATGTTCCACTTCATAAACTTAATCCAAAAGCAGAAAACTCAGTAATTTTAAATTCACTCAAAAATTATGGATTTCGAAAACTAAATAATATAGTTTGGAAATGTGAAGTAGAAGGAAGTGAAGATACATCAGCTCTTTATGAATTCTTAAATTATATTAACTTTATATAGGAATATAATCTAATGATACCTCGAAGTACTTTACCATCTAATTCAGTATTAAAATTTATGATTAAATATTCAAATTTCATTGGAATTGACTCCCATACATAATTTACACTATTTACTCATTCAGGAGATCTTCCTTAAATTAATTTAATTGTAAAATCCTAATATTTTCTTTATGAATCAATAAAAATTTCTGTTTCTGTTGGAAATTTAGATGAAGTTAACACAAAATATTAAATTGAGTTATTTGAAATAGATAAGAAACCTAAAAAATCATTATCTTCAGGATTAAATATATCAACAGAAGTTAATTCATTTGAGATTGTTTATGGAAATATTTCAAAATACACATTAAGTCCTAATACAACTTATACATTTTAAGTTTTTGCTAAAAATATGAATTCTAATTAAATCCAAAATTAAATATTCACAATTGATATTCCTTTTTCTGGGTTGATTTGCAACTTTAATAATCAAGGAATTTAGAGCATAAAAAAAGATCTTCATCTCTATATTGAATGCAAAGATTTAGATACAAAATATGAATGGAACAAAGATCCAGATTTAAATATTTAGGTTTCGTGTAATGATCTATCATAAAATAGGACTTGTTAAAGTTAATAAAAATAACTCATTAATGTGAATAAAACTGATTTTATTCAATATATCAAGAAGAATACCATACCTGCCTATAATGTTTAAAAATGGACAGTAAATGTTTAAAAATTTGAATAAACTTCTCAAATTGACTTAATTATCGTTTATCTTGATGATGATTTTCCTTAATTAGAACTTGAATATAATTAGGGCTATTTTATGAGAAAGATTAATAATTATGAAAAGCTTAATTTTACATTTATAATTCCAATTCATTAGAAACCCAATTTATTAGAACTTTCTATTACAATTATATACAACTATGAAATAATAGAGATAATTCAACCAAAATATGTTTCCCATTCCTTTAAAATATTTAATAGTATTAAAGAATTGATACATGGAAACAGCGTCAACCTAAAATTTTCAGCTTAATTTACAAACAATATAATGCCAAGTTTAAATCCTTTAAAATTAAGTGTCAATTAGCCTCCTTCTTGTTCAAAATTGTAAATTACTCGCTCAAGTGACTTAGCACTTACCAATATTTAAATAGCAACTACTTGTTAACAATCTGATGATTCACCTTATAAATATTAACTTAGAATATTTTTGAGAGAAATACATCTAACAAATTTTTTAGAAGGACAATCTGATTATTCCTTGATTCTTTAATCATTTCAGAAATTAAATTAATTCTCAATTCAAACACCTTCTTCTGTGAATTCATCAAAAATTGGAATTTTATTGTAAGTGCTTGATAGTAGAGGGTCAATTACTTAACTTTATGAGAAGATTAAAACAAAGCCTGCTTAATTAAATTGTTCTAAAATATAATTTGAAAATTTGAATTTATAAAGCAAAATTTTATTGTTGTTTGAAGCAATGAATCAGAAATGTGATTAACTTCATCATTAAATTTATCTTAATTTGCTCAAATAATAAGTCTTTTCAGACCCAAATGATAACATCCTTAAATTTTAGGCAATAAAATTATATAAGGAATTTTTGATTTCAACAGGATCCAATTAATCTGTTAATAGAATATTAAATGAAGATACTCAAAAGTATTGTTATGATATAAATTCAACCCATTTATTTATTACTCCAAGTTCAACAGAATAAAATTAAAATTTAACCAATAAAATTGAAAAATTTAAAGAAAATCTTAATAATTTAGACAAAACTCTTCAGTATTTTATTAAAATGAAAAAGTAAATTCAAGAAGAGCTTAATGAGAATTAATTCACTTGGAATGAAGAATTCTCTCAATAATAATAACACTGTGAAGAGGGTTTAATAGCTTTACTATATTATCTTGATGAGATTTATTCGGATATTTCTGTAGTAAATGCAAAAAATGAAACTATTTTCAAAAGTATTGTTGAGTTATTGAAACGTATCAATATAATAGTAGATTAAATATAAAATACAATTTTGGTAAACTCTAAACCTTTATCTATTGTTGGAAATGAGATTATTTGGCAGATTAAAAGAAAAACAAAATAATATTTTAATGAATATTTTAATATTGAATCATCTTAAGTAGACTATTTGGTTGATTTTATTCAATTTGAATAAACATATCTTAAATCAAATCCGTTAAAATTTTCTTTAGATATAGAAAGACAACTTTAAAAATAATTTAATGACTAAACTTTACAAGTTTATCCAGAAAATTATTACTAATTTTAATTAAAAAATGCCTATCATAACAGATTTATTTCATATGAAAATCTTTCATTGTAATATAACTCAAATTTTTTTACATATAAAGTGTGTTCAGATAACACATAACCATTTGAAGAGTATGAAATCTAGTGTGTAATGAGAACCTTATCTATGGAATTCAATTAATGTATGTTGATAAAAGTTAAAAAGAATGAAACTTTTGAATTTTATTGTCAATGCAAGAATGTAGGGGATATTTTCTTAACTACATCAACTAATTTTAGTTAAGTAATTTAAGACACTATTAATAAAGAAATTTATGTTAATGTTAATTCAACCATATAAGATTTACTAATATTAAGAATATGTACATGTTCTTTAACAGTAATATTTATTTCAATTTATGTTTATTAATTAAAAAAAGATTGTTAAGACGAGAAAAAGCAATTGTAAACTGAAGAAGGGAACTTGTAGGAACCAAATATTTAAGATAAAAATTTTATTTACCAAGGTAACGCAAAAGTATTCAAAGATAAATTAAAGGTAATTTTAAAATATTATTATTAGTAAATCCATCAAACTATATCTTTATTTTATTATAAAGAAAAAACCATTTAACTAAGTTATAGGATTTTAGAAGTTTTCACTTAGTCTAATTTATTATTAACCTTAGCTATTATAGAATGTTATTGGTTAGAAAATTAGATTGTTTATATTTGTTTATTTGCTATAGCAAATCCAATTGTCATTTTGATATTGAGAATTCTTTATAAGATAATAGAATCAGTCTATATGTTTGGGAAAATTGCTGCTCTTATCAGTCATTTGCTTCTGATAATTCTTTTGATAATACCGATCTCTATTTTATTTCTTTTCTAATTATTGAAGTATTTTATTAGATTAATTTAGTTTATCTATGTAATCAAAATAATATGAAGTTTTTATTATATTTGGAGGGAATATAATAATTTCTTAAATCCTTATAGAACCATTTACAATATATGCCAGAATAACAATTTATCGGTTGATAGCACATAGTATAAAGAACAGGGAACTAAACCCCATCTTTCATTTATTGCATTTTTTTGTCATGCATAGCATTTTAGAAGAGATTTTTGATGATTTTGCAAGAATATGAAAAGTTAATTTATATATATTATGAAAAACCAAAATATTTTAAAAATATCTTCAAAGGAAAAACTCAATGATACTTGGATTTTTAAGTTTAAGACCATTTTAGATCAATAGAAAGCCAATAATCCTTTAATCTTTTTAAAATTGATTTGCTCATTTTATTTTATTTTAATTTTTACATATTAAGGAGATATTACTATGATTATAATATATTTATAAAATAAAGTAATAAGTTTATGGATGAGAAAATCAAGTCTTTATTACGAAGAAAAACCTTTTATATATTTTAAAAAAAATAAGAAAAATTTAGTGCTTTATACTTATGATTGATAATCTAAATAGTTATTTAATATTTTGTATAATCAATTGGTAATATTACAATGCATCTTAATAAAAGCGAATCTGTAAAAACTAAAATTAATGTTAATTTTGTTTAGGATAATTGTCAAACACTTTAATAAACTTTTCTGTTATATATCATTATCACAAGAAATATTTTATTTTGAAAAATTTTACATCAATGCATTAAATTAAAATTTTAATAAATTAAATTAATTTTTTATTAATATTAACTTAATTGTGAATAGGTTAGTAATTATTAATTAACAAATCGAAATTGATAAATTAAAGAAGGTTAAATAAAATGAAGGTTAACTAATGTTGTTTAATTATATTTATATATGATAAGCATCAAGTATTTATCAAACTATTATGACGCAAAAATTTGCTTTTGAAGAAGAAATAGTATAGAGTATTCATTTCTATTAATATGATCAAATGGATAATCATGAGAAATATAAATAAGAGTATAATAAGTCTATGCTTTGAAACTAATTGAAATTAAAAATCAGCAAAGTTACTTTCTATTCAAAATAAAGCTGTATAGAATCTTCGATAATATTTTGTTGATCAAAAAAGAGAAGACTTAATGGATCTAATTAATTTTATAAGATTAAAAGCCTAGATTCCATTCTATTGCTGATTTATATAACAGATCCTAAAACATTATTAAACAACCATGTGTTATTGCTTATTGAAAAAAATACTGTAATAGATAAGCTGCCTTCAACAAAAAAATCAAAAAAAATGCAGATTAATAGTTGCTTAAGAAGTTTGAGTTTTTCAAAACCCTTCTAATGTATAAAGCAGAATGCACTGGATTAATTTATCTTGATGAAACCAACATTCGTAAAAATCTTGTACCACCAAAATTTTGGTAGCTTAAAGTTAAGTAACCTAATAGATTAAAAGTAATCTAACTAAATAGTGTACAATATTAGACAATAAATGATAAGCAAATTAAATTTTGGAAGCAACTGTAATTTAGAAATCTTTAATTTAAAAGAAAGTCATCTTAGTATTAGATAATGCGTCCATTCATACTGCTAACAAGTTGAAAAAAAGATTCTCACCCTAAAGATGGAGTATAACAATTAATAATAACAATTTTATTAAGCTATTCATGAGAATCATGTTTTTTTTTCGAAAGAAACATCATCTAAAAGGTCCAAAATTAAATATCATCTAATAGGTTAAATAAAGCCAGATTATTTCAATTTAAAAATCAGCAGTAAATGCTATAAAATATACTTATTCTGTTTTAAAATAAAATCAGATTTTTAATTTAAT